ATGTTCCGTGGTTTTATTGGATTACCATCAATGGCGAGATAGCAGGCTGATTTAATGCAGAAAAATCATGTGGGATGATAGTGCCAGAGATAACAATCTTCATATTGAATTCGGGGTCATAGTTATTGATATAAATGAGATAAGTAATAAGCTTGGAATCCAGGTTATTACTGATTTAGTAAACTATTTAGGGTATCAATCCTCCATAGTAGGTTAACTCGTGACACCTATAGGAATTTTTTTTCAAGTAATATCAAGGTACAATAGTTAGATCCTCTACCCAAAGCGACAATTAGTGAAGCCACCCTACAAAATCAAAGGAAGCTATCTCTACAGGGGACAGCAGCAGGGCTTGTCTTGCCACTCTATGGGCAGCCCAGTTGACAGTCCTCGGGACCGAACTAAAACGAATACAAGAAGAACAAGAATTCAAGAACTGAAGACAATCACGAAGCAAAGGCCCGCCCACCGATTCTTCACAACAACTACCGTCAAGTTGCCGAATGACCACTTCAGAATCACCTTCGATTATGACATGGGGGAGATTGCGAGAATGCACTAACGAAATGGCGTCCCTGGCAGCAAGCAGCTATGCAAGATAAGGATTCAAAACTCCTGAATGATGGAATCCCAAGGCCAAAAAGACTTTCCCATCCGTCCCTCGAGCGACGAGTCCAGACTAGCATCCTGAGTCACGAACAGCAGAATCGAAGTAGATCTTGATCAAACCTTCGGGAGGACCAACCCAAACGGAGAGACGGGAGAACTGGAGGCGGGTGAAGGGGTCTGGGGCTGGAGGGAGAATGAGGAATATTCTTGGACTTGGAAAAAGAATTGATGGGAAAGGGAACTGGCTAGTGGTTGAGTGAATTCAAAACGCACTTTATTTCTAGATTTCCAAATTCTCCAAAGAAAAAAAACGTAGGGGAGATAGTGGATTTGAAAGTTTTCTGAGTTCATAACATATCGCCACCAGATACCAAAATTTTCAGTTGGGGCGAAGAAAAGTAAGCTACAAAATTTTCAGTTGACTATCCCAACAAACTGGGCAACGAACTTGGCAGTTAATTCCCCGGGATCTAAGAGCCACCGTAGTTGGCAAAATTACTTTCAAACATTGTCATATAAAGAACTTGAGCTTTGGTGTGAAATCAGAAACCTATAAGTATATCTTGAAAAGATGGACTAAAATTCAATTATATTGAAGGCTAAAACTTTATTGTTAGCTTGTAGAGTCACCCTTGCTACTGTCGTCCTTAACGTGATCCCGACCTATGCCATGCCAACTACCTTATATTTAGCTACTGTATGTGTTGAGATTAATAAGACAATAAGGTTGTTTGCGTGGGGTCTCGTGAGGGTAAGTGTAAGGTCCATTTAGTCTCACAGGAGTGGGTGTGCAAACCTAAGAGTAAAGGGAATTTGTTCTTAGGAGTGCTTAAGGTCTGAATATGGCATACATGGTTAAACTCGCATGGAAAATGTTTAACAATGATCTGACTTGTGGTTGCAAGTATGTCCAAGTAAGTAAAAAAAGCATACAGATGGGGATATCGTTGGGTTGAAAACCAACAACCAGTCAAACCTTAGGAGGGATATAAAAAAAAAAAAAAAAGAAATGTCACTGATGAGGAGTGCAACAAGCTGGAGCTTCAAATATGGAAGATCAACAAGGTTTTCGATCCATCCATGATTGGAAAAAAATATCACCCTGGAGGAACACCTGCTGCCAAACTTAACTGAATAAGAAAAAAGGTCGCTAGTGGCGCATTAGCTCATTGACGATGGAGAATGGGATTGGGAGAAGTTGAGAGGACTATTTCCCAATGAGTTTTGTCAACCATTGCAGGAATGTCAGAGTTAGGGATGACAAAATAATTGATGAATCGAGAGATTCAAACTTAGGCCCACAACCTTGCAACAAACAAGACAAATGTGGAACCTTTGGAAGTCTAGAAAAATCTCTGTAAGTGGAAGGGACCAAGCAGAGTCAAAACACTTTGTGAAACTAGCCCCACATAAAAAGCTCTTTAACAACAAAGCATAAATTGAGAGGAAGATGACTAGAATTAGCGTCTGTAGTTCTTGTGAGAATGTTGACGAGACAACGTGGCATATACTTTATTGCTACATGAATACAAGAGGATTCAGGGAGTTCTTCATAAGTATTGTCACTTGTAATGTTACTATTGTTCCCTTTCAAGACTGGCTAGCACAAACCTCCACAATGAGGAAATAAAAGTGGAGTTTGGGATTATATATTGACGGATTTTGATGTAGTGGAATGAAGAGGTAATGGATGGGATGAGATATTCTAATATGAGGTTGATTAAAAAACATTAGCTTGGTTCAGCATCATTGATACGGAAAAGCAAAACATGGAGATGAGCACCATGCTAAGAGTACAAGGACCTCTTCTGAGATAGGATGGACACCTGCAAGAGAAGGTTGGATTCATGTGAGATGGACGTGTTGGTGTTAACACATACTAGTCAAGCAGCTTCTTAGAGATCACATGAGTTGTTCTGTGGATGCTTTTGTGTGCATTCTGGAAACATTCTCAATCACAGAGCTAAGCTTCATAGGGAGGCTGAGACCTAATGAGAACTTGGGGAAAAGGTTTCAAGAGGTTGAAATCAACCTATACACAGCACAATCATAATTATTATTAGAGAATAAACTGTTAGAAACCGAACAACAAATTAGGTTTACTGAATCTGCCTAAGTCGCGGACTAGATCGCTCTCTTTAAAACGTTCGTGGGAATGTTTCGTAATATTGCACAACATTCTATCATCTGGTTGCCTCCAGGATAAAACAACCACTCGTATACTCTCGATTTGTGCGGAATCGGAGTTCTTTGAATATCACTCTCTTTTGTGTTTTTTCTCTTCGTCAGTTGGGCATCTAGAGGGTTTGAGGAGTCGGGTATTGATAATGGAGCTAAGACCCTCAGAATATGCCCTCTTTTGTGGGGAATAAATAACGATTAATTAGGGTAATTCAAAATTTCTCCAAAAAATATAGGCACAACAAGTCGACCACCGACCCGCCTACTCGACCGACCGGCCTGCGCGTTTGTGTGGTATAAAGGTCCTTTAGTTCCTCCCTCTTACACAAAAGTGGGTCACCCCAATGTGTATGCTCTTAAGAGAGAGAAACCTATCTAAATACACATTTAACATATGTTCACCTACTAATGTTGTAATTTCTCTTGAGACTTCTCTTATAGATATCAAAACTATTCATTCCCAACAGAAAATAACAAGAACTATAGACATGGTCTTCTGGGTAACCAAATAAGAAATCTTATAAATAAGAATTGAGAAGTTAGTATCAATCATATGTTTAGGGAGAGCAACTTAGCTTTTGACTTTTTAGCTAGCAAGGGGCATATGCTTCCTTTTGGCTCACATTCCTTCTTCGTGAGAAATGTGAACCTTAGACATTGGATCTCATACGAGTTGGTCTCAATTTTAGTCATCAAATTTTATTTTACCGATTACTTTGTCTACAAGATTTGAATTTATTGCAATTTATATTCTTTTGCCCAAGAAAAAGACGAGATGTAAAGAAGAATCTTAGGGTCGTTTGGATGTTGCGTATGTTTGTATTCTTATGAATCACTATGCAATAGATGCATTTGGACATTGTATTGTTTGGTTGTTAAGATTATAATTTATGAATTGATTGTCATAAATTTACTTTATAAAGAAATGTCACATTTGCTCTCCACTTTTAATATAAAACAAAAGAAACTATGAATATAAATGGAAAAAGAAAACAAGCTTATACTATTAAACCATCAATCACAACAATCTCCACTTTTGTTGATGGTAGGTGGGACCTACACAAAACAATATATGCATTGTTTTGCAACTTGGCACTTTCAAACATTATATGGGGTCGTTTGGTTTTGGTGATAGTTAAACTAATGCATTGTCATCAATGCATGCATAATAATATGCATGTATATATGAAAATTGGTGTATTATAGTTTACATCGTTTGGTTCATGTGATAGTTATTGTAGTATTTAAATAAGGCATATTACTTTTTGGGTGAAATGTCACTTTTACCCTTTGTTTTTAATATTAAAAAGCAACACACACATTAAAAGGTAGGGACATAGTTGGAACAAAAGAAAACCCAACAATCTCTACCAAACAATCTCAACAATCTCCACCAAAACTTGAAATTTAATCACTCATTTTGAGTGATAGTTTGTGTCAAATCAAGCAAACAATGCATGTATTGTTTGTGCAGAAAAAATCAAAAAAAAAAAATCAATGCATTGTGGACAATGCATGTATTGTAACTATCTCAACCAAACTATCACCAAAACCAAACGACCATATTGATTATTGTGGACAATGCATGTATTTAACCAATACAACACTTACTATCTCAACTTTCAAACCACCGTTAGTGTTGGTGATATTGTAGAATTCCTCTGATTTTGGTTGTCGTTAAGAGGATGGTGGATAGAGGAGACTGAAGTTTCATTGGCGCTGCTTAGGACTCGTTTGGAAGTTGCGATTGTTTTGACGAGATTGTTGATATACATGTATTGTTTAGAATGCATCATTATTGTTGAGTTGAAATTATTTTATTTTAGCTTTTAGTTGATATGACATACACAATCACACATACTAAACATTGTATTTTACAATAGATCCAATTTTGACAATACTTATATATAATATTATACATGCATTTACAACAATACATCTATTTTTAGAGCACTTCTACTATGCTATATAGTATTGGTGCTTTAATGTACAACTTTAGGTTGTACCATAAAAGAATTTTTATCATTATGTTATGGTATAACTTTACAACTTAAAGTTGTACCATCACATAAAGGTACAACTTCAAGTTGTATCATAAAAGAATTTGCACAAAAAGTATATATACAATTTAAAGTTGTACCATAACATTAAAAATACAATTTCAAGTTATATCATAAAAATAAAAACCTATAACACCCATGCTATATAGCATTGTAAAATTCCTCTTATTTTTAACAATCACAAACGAGCCCTACTGTACATTTGGATTGGGTAATTAGCCCCGATTAACTTTTCCTACCCCTCAAGAATCCCAACTTTCAGAATTCTTGAATAAAGCGGTTCAAATACAAATAATATTGCATTAAACCGACCTAAGAAGACAACATTTGGCTGCATTTTACAGCAGAAACCACTTGGAGATACGAACCTCTGAACTCCGTGAATACAATTCTAACTCCGGTAAACAAAGGCAAAAGAGTAATGTCCCTTCCACAACACCACCTTACATTAACTTGGGTGTTAACAGCTTACTACTATATACTCAGATCAATGAAGAACCCGTTAACAGGACTACTGGGCTTGCACTAATCCATCACGTTGTGAAGAAAGTCCACAGCTTCTTTCCTATTGAGGCTTCACCGGGATTATGTTCAGACTCTTCTTCATCTTCATCGTCTCCTGTAGATTGGCTGCTATACTCTACTGAGTTCCCTCGATCCATTTCCATCCTTCCATTAACCTCTTCACTCATCGTTACATCCAGTTCCTCATGAGCTTCACTATCCAGACATTCGGCAGCTTCCTCCCTCTGCTGCAGAAAAGGAACAGAAACCAATATTAGGTAACGGGAAAAACCGCTCCACATTTCTTATTCCGCAAATAATTAGAACCAAAATAATTCAGTCCGTGCTCACCTTCACATATGGTCTGCTTTCACCATGCTCGGTAGCAGCTCCTTCTACTGATGTACCTGCATTGACTATCATGATATCGCGGTTTTCTACATGCACAACACCAGTGGCTTCTCCTTGTTCATTTTCATTGTTCAAGTCTGGAGTGGCTTTAACATTCACCACAGCATCCCTGTAGCCAAGAATTTTAGCATACGAGAAGGCTGAAGCTAAGGGTGACTGGGTGAGATTATCTTTAAAAAGTTAAACCAAGCACACTTTTTCAATCCTACTGTTTAGGAAAAACCTTACTTTCCAAAATCTTCTAAACAAACTATCTATCATCCAATCAATAAGTTTTGCATTACTAAACAATATCCTGTACCCTCACTAACTTTTTTTTATATAAAACCAAACACATTTTCCTTTGCTTTTACTAGAATCTGAAAAAAAGTTAGTTACTTTTAGCAAAAGCTAAAACAAATACACCCTGAATAAAAGTTTATGTGGCATTACAGTCAGATGACTAACATCCTTTACCCACTAATCACATATACGAAAAATCATACCGTTTCGATCGCCTGAGATTGTATCGTGTTTCAACAGGTGCAGCTCCTACCCGACTCTTCTTGCGCTTGCCAGTGATTATACTATCAGACTGTACATCGCTCTCATTGCCACCAAGTTCACTAGCAGTAGTCTGAGAAGCCTGTCCTCGGTTTCTCTTCCTTCCAATTCCTTGATGTGTAACTTTATCAGCAAGACCAGATTCCTCATGGCTTTCAGACCTCAAAGAATCTTCAGCCACATTAGGCTCCCCAAGAATCGCCTTGGCATCTTCAACAATGGCCTTCACAGTACTTGTTGTACTCACTTTACCTCTTGTTCTCTTTTGACGCTGATCATGCTTCTTCAAATCAGAAGGCTGGGAGAGTTCAGGCAATACCAATGACCTGCTCTTGGTGTTGCTTAAGTCATCCAATGAATCGTTTCTAAATGCGAAAGACAGCTCTTGTTCATCATCAAGAACATTAACTTTGTCAGTAGATGGAGCAGCCTCATCCAAATATTTGTCAAGTTGCGCCGGCTTAAGTGGAGACAACTTGAATATCTTCGTCGTGCATTTCTGTAGCCAAGATACTGGAGATACACTTTGGCTGGGAGTAGTAGCAGGCCTCTCCCCCTCTAGCCTCTCATCAGAAGCTAAATTACCATTTTCAGCATTGGAGTTACCTGTTTCTTGCAACGAGCTCAAATCAGAAAGCTGGAATTGGAAAGTTGTTTCCCCACAGTTACTACAGCCCTTGTGTTGCTCAACAAAAGACATGAACTGCTCTTTCTCTCTAATAAACTGTTCTCTGTAGACCTTGAGCTTTCTGCTAAGATCACCAAGCTTATCAATGTCTTCTCGCATTTCAAGTTGTTGTTGTTGAAGTTGCTTCTTGTTTTCAATAAGCTGTTCCCTGTCGTTCGCTAACCTGGATCTTTCCAATTCCATATTCTCCATTTCTCTTCTGGCTGCATCTCGCAAGAGATTTACATCCTTCAAGTCTCTCTGCTTCTCTTCCTCAAAACGCCTTGCCTTCTCCTGAAGATCTCTGTCCATTTCCTCATGAGCTTTCTGCAAGCTATTTCCAAGTGAAGACTTCTTTACCTCAATGTCAATTAACAATAAGTTTCTGTCAGTTTGTGCTTTCTCAACCATGAGCAACCGCTCATGGTCCAAGTTCGCCTTGAGAGATTCTTTTACTGACTCGAGAGACTCAAGTTCCTTTTTTATCAAGTCATCCATAGCCTTTCAATCACGTTTTATCCTTTCTTCTTTCAATTGCTTTTGCTTTTCAAACTTTTCCTTCTCATCACCAATGCTTTTCTGCTCTTTTTCGATTTCAGATTTGTTCTCATCCAACTTGTCCCACTCCCTTTCAAAAGTCTCCTTTCGCTGCTTTAAGTCTTCAGCCTCTTGCAACAGCAGCTCCTCCCTTGACCTGCACTTTTCTATTTCCTCTTTCAGTTCAGATTGTAAGCGAATATAGTCAGACCTCTCGTCCTCGCTTATTTGGAGCTGCTCCTTCTCTTCAGAGATTTTTAGGAGCAGCTTCTCATTGGCTGCCTTTATATGCTCAAGTTCAGCTTTGAGAGTTAGAAGATGTACTTTCTCAGTTCCCAGTTGTGCTTTCTCTCCCTCCATGCTTTCCTTCTCAGATTTCAAGCTCTTCTCCTTTTCAATAAGAGCTTTTGATTTGGATTCAAATTCAGTTTCTTTCTCCTTAAGTTTCTCAAGTTTCTTATCCAAAGCTTGCTCCCTTTTTGCTAATTTCTCATCCATATGCTTGATATCAACTTCCTTTCTCTCCAATTCAATTACTTTGCTCTTTATCTCCTCGTCAACGGTCGTCCTCCTTTGCTCAGCTTCCAACTCAAACTCACATCTTTTGGCATCCAAAATAGTATTATGCTCACTAAGGAGTTTTGGAATCTCAACCTGGAAAATTAAAGCACAAATGCATATTAAGGGGTGAGTAGTAACACGCAAAAGAACCAAAAAATGGTGCTACCAAAACATACTACCACCAAGCCATTGATTCCACAGGCACAATAAACGTCAAAACAAAGGTAAATATATAATACAAGCTCAAATATTTGTATTTTCTTATCTCAAAAAGTTAAAGAGACCAAACCGGGCATATTGCTAATCCACCGTAATCCAAGAAAATATTATTGTCCATTGCATCCGCAAAGCCAAAATACTCAAATTTGAGACAAGTAGAAAATTGATTTCTTTTTTTAACAAGAGCTAGTAGAAAGTTTTCAATACAATCATATGGCCACAGTCCACAGGCTGTATAGACTACGAAAGTAATGAAATTGGCATTCTGAATACGACCACATTTTCACACAGATATTTTAGACTTGGTACACAGATCAGTAAACTTACGTGGAGAACTATGATTCATAAATATGAAGACATAGTTAAATGAGAACCTCCTGTACAGACTTATTTCACTTAATATTTACTTAAAATAGAAAGTAGTTTCAAGAACGCACTTTTTCCCTCTCGTTCAACTTCTCTTCCAGGGTCTGTAACTCCTTCTCCTTCAACCGCAAATTCTCTTCTTTAGCAACAATTTCCTGCATGATTGTATCCATTTCTCGCAACATGAGCATGTGTATGAAATCCAGGACTAGAACTGCTCAAAACACAAGCATTAAATACTTACCTTTTCCATAAGGATCAAATTAGCTTGGCGGCCAGTAATATCATCTTCTTTCCTCTTCAAGATTGAGTTTGCTTCATCTATCTTCCTTTGTGCCTCTCCAAGGTCCTTAATTTTTTGTTTCGAGATTCTATTACTATGACCTTCCCTTTCATCTCTTACGTTGACAATTCTTAGACCATTTGATAGCCTCTCTTCTTCCTCATCTAATTTTCTTTCCCACACTTGCAATTCCTCTCTTTGCTTGGACATACTGGTATCATGTGCTTCTTTTCTGAAATGAACAACGAGCAAAATGCAAAATAATTAACCTGCAATGGTGAAACCCAGACAGATATTATTTAACGAGAAACTAAAAACAGGAAGACAAGGAGATGTACCCTGCTACGACAGAGGAGCGCTCCTTTCGAAGAGAGCTTTCTTGGGATTCCACCTCCCTTGATTTCCTCTCTAGCTCTGAACTCTTTCTGCTCACTTCAGCTAGCCTAGCTTCAATAGCTCGCTGTTGGGCCTCAACATCGAGATACTTCTCATCAATACTGTTAACCAGTTCATTTGCATCATCCAACTTTGAATCAGCCTTAAATTGCATTTCAGCAATTTCAGAACGCATCTCCTGAACTGCCTTCTTCAGCTGTAATGAGCACAATCATCTTTCAACATGATATTCAACTCCGAGGCCTAGTAAATTAGTCAAAGTGGCACACAGCCTACTGGGTCAGTTAAAAAAAATATGGAGCACAGCAGCAGATCCCAATAGCAAAACTTCGCTTACAGATTTATGCCTACAAACTTGGTCAGTATGCAGTAATCACAACTAGCAAGGTTGCAAATTTTCTACTACAAACCCCCTCCCCTCTTCTCTCTCTCTCTCTCTCTCTCTGCAGGATAAATTAAGTTCTCATCATTTGTACCACAAAATAAAATAAAACCAGCTATAGTATTACAACACCTGCTTTCAGCTTTCAACACATTTTTCAGGCAACATATAATCAAAATTAGACAGTTCAGATTGCTAGTTCCTAACTTCCTATAGTAGAGCGGACAAATTGGATAATTATCTTACATCTGTAGCACACTGCTTTTCATAGCCTAATGTGCTTCTCAACTTCTCTTCGTGCTGCTCAGCACCAGAGATTGCAATCAAGTGTGCTGCTTGCTCGCGTTTGTATTTATCTGTTGTGTCAGCTAATGCTTGCTTAAGTTCTTCAAATTGAGCACTCCAGCTCTTCTTTTCAATTATAAGAAGACCCATGTTGTACTGGTACTCATACAACTGAAATATAGATCGGTGGAAAACATTAGTAATGCAGCAGAACACGCTAAACACACATGATAACAAAATTCAAAATAGTGCAGATTCATGAACGATCTCACAAAGAGCTGGCTAGGCCAAGCTGGCCAGAAAAGGTTTTCAGTGTAGACCCTCGTATAGTTGACCTGATAACTTCAACTTGTGGTTCAAGCCGCTCAGCGGTGGAACATAATTATAGTATTGGAGTGTAATGAGAAGATGATCAATGGTCATCATGAAATGAACAGTAACTACAGGTACATAATATATTCAAAGTTAGAGGATGATAACTCGAAATTATGCAAGATGCGAAGCTTGTTAATCTGTCAGAGCCATGCCTGCAATATATATCTAATTAAGTTGGTCTTTATCAGAGTGGCTGTCATATTCTGTATTACTCAGCCAGCTTCTTCTATGTCTATACAACATCTATCACTTTTACTGGTCAAGTATATAAATCTAACAAGCTCAAAAAGCTATACCAAAAATAATTGGCTACAACTAGTTTCAAAGCAGGGACCAAGATTAAGCTGAGTGAGTAGCAAAACATCATCCAGAAGTACCTACAGCTGGGCAAGAACTATTACGGAAATGACAACCGTTACAATGGCCGCAATGCCCCTTAAGGCCCCAATGTTTGCTACACCTCGTACAGCCAAACAGTCGGAACTGCATTACTAACTTCAACCAGCTAATATCCATACTTCTCTTAAAAACCCTAATATCATTATAACATAAAGAAGCACTTAGTTCCCACCTACATCGTCGCTATATCTAAGCCACCAAAAAACTCTTCCCGGACCAGAAAAGCCAAATGGGGAACCATAGATTAAAGAGAAAAGATGAAGACTTTTCAGCAAGGAAAGGGAAGCAAGAAGCAACAAACCTCGTCCTCAAGCCTCTCAACCTTGCTCGGCAATTCTTCAGTGTCCAAATCATAACCAACCCCATTGGGAGTCAGTGCTTCAGCAAATGAGACGCTTTTCCCTCTCAGGAGACTCCCATCTTCAATTCTTGGGGCAACCCTGCGGATAGAATTGGGAGTCTGATGGTAAGCACGCCCGGGTTTCAGCGCCTCCGACCAAGACCTCCTTTGCGGCGTAGACATGGTGATACTACCCCACAGTTACCCCTCCCAATTACCAAAGAGGGGGCAAATTTACGGCCACCGAAATAAAATTCACAAACACAGCGAAACCCTTTCCCGAAGGGTGCCAAAAGAAAAAGGAAGCAACAAATTGAGAATTCAATGTGGGAGCAGAGAAGGAGGACAAAATCCTTAGGCGCAAAAATGGCGGTGCGGAGAGGGTTGAAACTTCCGACCGCCGGAGGAATTACTCGGTGGCAACCCTGATTCTGGTAAGGCGTTGACGGTCACCGTATGAAAATTCGAAACACATTAAGAGCGGACTTAAACCGGATTTTTCAAAACCCGCGGAATGTGGGCTTGGGGTCCGCTAACGTCTCCTCTCCGGAGTCCCTATTGTCAAACCGGTTTATCGTTGTGACGGTTTGGTAAGTTTAAGTTAAATGGTATGATCGACGGTAGGTCTGTGCGGATTTAACAAAATATGTGAGAATATAAAATCATTAATATTCATTAAATTTAAACATATATAAAATATATTGAAGAAAATTTATGACTTTAAAATTTATGAAATAAATAATTATTTTTTTCATTAATTAAATTCACTAAAACGTCATTTTGCTTAGAATTCGTATATTCATCATACTAATAGTGTTCACGCCGATTTCATAACTGACACTGGGTGAACTAGGTTCAACCGGGCGACATGCCTCCGACATGACAACCATTATCCAGAGTTTAACTAACTTTCTTCCCTCTAGGGTTGGTTTGCTTGTAGTTTTTAAAGGTTAAATTAAAAAGTAGTTTATTTCATGGTTTGGTTGTAGTGTTTGTTGGAGATGTTTTTGTGAAATGAATATTGAGGAAAAACTGACTTCATTTGATTTGATTGAGTACAAGATTATTATACACATACAATGAGTGTTTGCAGCAACAGAAAGGTAGTGGAGGAATACACGATCCACAAAGAGAGGAACAGAAGAGAGGGGGAGTAACAGAAATAAATAAAGAAAAGGAAAATTCCTTTTTATTTAGTTATCTATAATACGCCCCCGCAAGACGGTGGAGGTATCAACGACACCGATCTTGGACCGAAGAAGGAACCGTGTGGATGGTAACGGTTTGGTGAGAGAATCGGCAAGTTGGTGAGCCGTGGGTATGTAGGAAACGCGCAGACGACCATCTTGGACCAGTTGGCGGACAAAGTGATAATCAAGAGCGAGGTGCTTCATTCTGGAGTGGAAGACGGGATTGGAGCTGAATGAGGTGACGCCAAGATTATCAGAATAGAGCGTCGGAGGGGACTGTAGAGGTTGCTTGAGCTCGTGAAGGAGATTCTAGATCCACTCCAACTCGATCGTCGCATGAGCGATCGCATGATACTCGGCCTCAGTGCTGGAGAGGACCACGGTGCGCTGCTTCTGCGAGCGCCAGGAGATGAGGGTGGAGCCAAAGTAGACTAGATAGCGCGAGGTGGATGAACGATCATCACGATTGCCAACCCAGTCGGAATCAGCAAAGGCAGTCAAGGCAAGGGGACTAGCTGTGTGACGGATGGAGATACCATAAGAGAGGGTGTCGGAGACATAGCGAAGGAGGCGTTTGACACATTGCCAATGATGAGCCATAGGAGCATGCATATATTGAGATAGCTTGTTGACAGAGTAGGCAATGTCCGGGCGAGTGTAGACCAGATATTGAAGAGCACCAAGAACCTGACGGAAGCGTGTAGAATCAGTAATGGGACTGTCGTCATGAAGAGTGAGGGATGTGGAGGCAGCCATGGGAGTTTCAACGGGCTTCGCATCAAGCATCATAAAGCGATGGAGAAGATCAGCCATGTATTGACGTTGAGACAAAATGTAACCAGTAGGAATAACCTCAATGCCCAAGAAATAGCTGACCTCCCCTAGAGCCTTGAGCGAAAAACGAGTGGACAGGGCCTGCTAAAAGGTGGAGAGCAGGGCAGGGTCGTTACCGGTGAGGAGCAGATCATCAACATAGACCAGGAAGTAGAGAAGGGCCGAACCATGACAATACACAAGAAAGAGACATGGGCGAGAGCGGGGGATCAAATTTGTGAGCGGAATAAGGACAAAGCCATGGATAACAAAGACACACAAAAATCCTTAATTTATGATAATTAGGTGCCATATTAAAAAGGAGAGTATAGGAAATTTTACCACATAAGACAGAGGAGGGGAGACGATTAATAAGATAGATAGCGGTGGAAAAGGCAAAAGACCTGGAAAAAGGTAGGGAGGTGGGCATGATGAAGAAGGATAATACCAGTTTCAACCAGGTGCGCTGTTTACGTTCAGCGAGGCCATTATGCTCTGGTGTATGAGGTGGGGTGAGAAAATGAGTGATCCCATTATCAGCAAGGTCAGAACGTAATTTTAGGAATTCACCACCACCATCTGTGTAGAGACGATGAATAGTGGTACTAAAATAAATTTCAACCATTTTACGAAAGGCAAGAAAAACCTGGAGAACATCAAATTTATTTTGCAAAGGATAATACCAGGTATATCGAGTAAAGTGATCAATAATAACCATCAATGGAAGAAACCGTAGTTGGAACCCAAACGTCAGTGTACAAGAGATCAAATGGCCGAGAACTAGACAAAGAGGAAACTGAAAATAGAAGTTTATGGCTTTTATTAGAAAGACATGCATCACAAGGGGAACCAGTTATAGGAGACAAAAGTGGAAGAGAGGAGGACCGAATAAGAGTGGAAAGAGACTGATGAGCAGGATGACCAAGGCGAGCGTGTCATGTCATCGCAGAAGTCCGAGTAGTGACAAGAGCCATTCGAACACACCCCACCTCACGAGGTAATTCATACACATCACCGTTGTTTCCCCCCCTTCAGCAGCTGCGCCCCCGTGTGGAGATCCTTCACAATAAAATGTGTGGCAAAAAATTCCACAGAAATCTGATTAGTGTGACATAATTTGGCAACAGAGATGAGATGCTTCTTGATGGCAGGAACACATAAAACATCGCGTAAAGAAAAAATGGTCGATCCAATAGAGAGATCATAGGAACCAATATGCGAGATAGTCAAACATGTGCCATCACCAACTAATATTTCATCGTGGCCTGTATAATCAGAATAAAGAGATAGCTGGCCCAAGTTAGAGGTCACATGATGGGAAGCAGCAGTATCCATTAACCAGGGCCCAGAGGATGGGTCAGGCTGAGTGACAGTATGATGGGCCTGAGCCTGCCGAGATTGGACAGAAGCCTGGCGGACTTGTGGAAAGAGGTGGAAGCATTGTCTGACATGGTGCCCAGGGAGGTCACAATATTGGCAAATAACCTGGGCCCGGCGTTGGCGTGTGGGCTCGGCAGAATAGAATGGGCCTGGAAGTGACGAGGCCTAGCGATCTGGGGAAGAGGACTGGAGGCCTACTGATGGGGCGGAGAGGGTTTCGCCAAAAAACCCTTGCTGCTGTTGGCGAGTATTTCCGTCGTCGCTGCTGCGTGGAGTAAAGTGGCCAGAGGTATTGTTGCCGCTACTGCCACCGCCACGGCGAGACTGCCCCGAAAAGAACGTTGTGAAAACTGAGGAATGACGGGCCTGCTTCTTCAAATCTGTTTCATGCTCAATAAGAGAATCAAGCAGTCTTCGATGGTGATGGTTGTGCCTCTAGCACGCACAACAGCTATAAACTGCTTGTAATCATCGCGTAAGCCACGCAGACAATGAACCACTAAATCTAGATCATAGACAGGCTTATCAACGAGAGCAAGCTCAGCAGCAACAAGCTTCAGATCATTCACATATGTACGAACATCGCTACTGCCTCTGGTCATGCTGGCTAATTTTCCTTTTAAGTTTATGATGTGAGATTGAGAGCGTCCAGCATACAACTTCTCAAGAATCAACCAAGCCTCACGAGCACTAGAGGCGGCAGAGACAAAAGAATACGAAGATTTGTTAATAGAGCAACAGAGAGCATGAAGAATAAGCTTATCTTGACGAAACCAACGTCAATAAGCCGGATTGGGTCCTGACAGATTGTTCTCTGTAATCGTGGAGGGAGGAACAACACTGGTTCCATCAATAAAGTCAATAAGGTCCAATCCCATCAGAAGAGTCCCCACCTGCGAACGCCAAGAATTGAAGTTGGAGGGAGTGAGCTTCAGCGGCAATTGTGCGGCGGGATTGAACGTGATGATTGGGTCTTCATTCGTCGCAGAGGAGGTCACGACAGAGGTAGCAGTTCCTGACAATTTGGGATGAGATAGGTGTTGGATGATGAAAGTTTTTGGCAGAGAAAGACTAATGGAGATGAAGAGTGAATCAAGTCTAGCTAAACGTCGTTAGTGCTCTGATACCATGTTGGAGATGTTTATGTGAAATGAATATTGAGGAAAAACTGACTTCACTTGATTGAGTACATAATTATTATACACATATAGTGAGTGTTTGTAGCAATAAAGGTAGTGGAGGAATACACGTTCCGCAAAGAGAGGAACAGAAGAGAGGTGGAGTAACGAAAATAAATAAAGAAAAGAAAAAAATCCTTTTTATTTAGTTATCTCTAATAAAGTTTTGGTATACTTTGGATTTGTTAGTATTATGGATTTGAAAAGTTTATTATTTTTTTGTTGGATTTTATTATGGAATTTACTTAATTATATTTATTGATATGATGATTTTTTAACAATCACACAAATCTCGGGATTTTTTCCAGAAGTGTCACCCCAAAATTAAATATATTTCCAAAAATACCACCCTTTTAAAAAAAATCCATTCATACTACCCTTTCACATAAAATGCCACAGGGGGCAGCAGTTTTCAAATGAACCGCTGGGTAGGGGGCGGTTTTTATTTTGGGCACAAACCGTAGGGGGGCAGGTGGAGGTTTTATGGTTGACCTAAAACAAACCGCGGCAAGACCTGGCAGTTTTATCTCGGCAAAGGGAAGTGCTACCGTACCCAGCGATTTGATTTACAGACATAGAAACCGCAGGGGCCGATGGCGGTTTGCATGTCATCCCCATCCCCCGACAGCCGACATGTCGACATGCAGGGGGTGCAGACTTAGGTTTGCATATCAGGTGAAAACCGCCACACCGGGTGTGGCGGTTTTCACCTGACATTTTTCCTATAAAAGGCAGTCCCGGAAACCTCAGCTTTTCACTCCGTCTCCTTCTTCTTCTTTAAAATTTTGTTATGCTCCCTACTTTTTTCGAGTTTTTGCTATTAACATTACTTCGTAAGTTTGTTTTGTATACTTTTTATAGTGATTTGTGATTTTTAAATAATTTTTAAAAACTTAGGAAATATTTTCTTATGACAGTTCGGACTTATCTGCAACCAACATACCAATATTTCTTAAATTTTGAGTGGAGAGGGGGATGGGTAGAGAGAGAAGGGTTGGTTTTGGTGTGAAGAAAATGAAGAGTGGAGGGGGTTTTATACAACAAATCGTGTGGTGGGGGCGGTTTAGGCGGGAAGGAAAATTGAAAACCGTGGGAGCGGGGGCGGGTTTTGAATTTGAAATACAAACCGTGGTTAGGAGGAGCGGTTTCTGCGAGAAGGATGCGGATCGTCCCACGGTCACGCGGATTGTTGAGCTGACTTGTGGTCAGCCGTCGGATCGTGGGGGGATCCAACGGTTTGTCTGACTGCCATGCCCACCAGCAGTTTGTGTCCCCAAAAAATGCGAACCGTGCCCCCTACGGTCTGCATTTAAAATGTGACCTCTGCAGTTTGTCTGAAAAATGTGGTATAAATGGAATTATTTCGAAAATGGTGGTATTTTTGGAATTATCTAGTTTTAGGGTGGCAATTCTGGAAAAAAAACTCAAGTCGCACCTACAACCATAGAATTTACAAGTTTGTGCGGTCCACGAATTTGGACTCTTAAAGTTCATGGACCCCGCAGATATCACGCCTAAAAATTAACTAGAAAACAATTTGGAACACGTCCATAATGAATTAGGTTTGAGACTCATATCTCTCACCAAATTCATAAAGCAAATGCCCCTACATGTTTGATAACTCGGTTTATCAACTTGTTTTACATTTATTACTAAATATTTTCTATTGTATAATTGGCTACAGACTTTACATCAACATTTCACTACTAGCAACCCTTAATATAATTTTTTTAAAATATCCTACACGGTAGTCAATAATCTTATTGATCATCCAACTAAAGATGTATCAATTAAAGAATAATAATAAAATAAAATATTTATTTTCAGTCTCCATATCGTCTCCTCTTCCACTATGTCTTCGCTTGTAATGATTTGATTTCCTTTTATCGCTATCATTCACAAATTCTGACACCCTAGTAGACTAGTACTAGGGTTGAAATGAGCCGAGCTTTTTCCCATCTCGAGCTCAATACGAGCAGAGAAGGAAAGCGTTGCATAGGCAATGTTCCCTCTAGGCCTCCTAATCATGCTCCCTCGATTATTGGAGTAAACAAGCTGTCGATTTCTTATTTCATCATTTCGCACCTTGTGTCGAAGAATTTATCCGAACTCATGGGCGACAAGGACCCTTCAAATTCCTTGACGCCTCAAGTTGCTTGATCGAATGAGATTCGATCGAGTAGGACTGCTATTTCTAGACCCATCCTAAATGACTAGGATTTCTATCCTTGCACCTCGAAGGAGTGCAAGGTCAACTAATCAATCGTTCGAATCAACAACAAAAAAAGGAAATGAAGCATCACACATATGAAAATCAAAAATTGTATTAACCAAATCATCGAGTTTACATGGTTAGAACTCTTAGGGTTCACATACCTACACAAATAAGGAACTTAGCCAACCTTAGGGAGGGATTCCTGGATGTTCATCGATGGAAACGAAGACTCCAGGAGACCTCGGTAATCGATGGCCATAACATAAAATCGGTCCCAGCGGTGCTGATTTTGCCGCCGATTCTCCCTCTAAGTCATGAGGGTTGCTCTGTCAGTAGAATAACGACACTTCCTTGACCTCCCATCTCTTCCTCCCGAACTCTATATCTTGAAGGCTATTTATAGATCTTCGATTAGGTTTTCTTAGGAGGAAAACTCATCCTTTCTGCATCATTTGCTCAATCAGAGCGCTCCAAGCACGTGGCCAACGAATCAAGATGATCTGTGATAACTTCTTGATGAAGTGGATGACGCTCCAAACACGTGGTCACTAAAACGGTGCCATTGGCACCTTCTGATGTTTGAATCCTTGCTCCAGCAGCTTGGGCTCGATGTCCCCTATGGCTTGCAAGTGGTCCACTAGACTACTTCGCCCTGAAAATGCACAAAACGCTACCAAAAGCGCAATCGTATAAAAGCAATCCTAGGATTGCTAGAACCCACTTGAAGCAATCATAGCAATAATTCAATGTACTATGACAATAATTATGAGAAATGTATGTACTTTGTGTCACAATTTAAGGGTCTAGAATAGATACTTTCACGTGTTAACTCATTTCTTTTTATTCTTCTACAACTCTCTTGACTTAAATCTCAATGGTTTCAACTTTCAACCCAAAGAAAAGAGGTTTCAGCCTCACAATGTGTACTAGCAATGCACAAGTCGATGGATATTTGGATAAACCTTTATTATGTATGTGATATATGTTTATTTTTATAATTAGGTATTATTAAATGAATTTAAAAATAGAACTTCCAAATATATAAAAAAATGATAATACCACTAGACCAATAGACCAAACCCGTGTTCAATATAGCACATGTTTCGGATGGAGATGTTTAGTGGCAGTCGTCAGTATCATATCCTCGAACAATGAACCAAAGAGCAGTGGAGAACCGAACGTTTCCTAGGTTATAGCTAGGGATGGCAATGGGTCAGGTTTTACCAAACCCATGGGTTTATCCGTCAAAAAAACCGGGGGTAAAACCAATGGGTTTGAAAAACTCAAACCCAATCTAACGCCATTGGGTATCCGCGGGTTCATGGGTACCCATGGATTTTGTGGTAAAAAATTTACAATGACAAGTTACTATCAAAATAAAAGTCAAACATCAATTTATCTATACAAATTATCCATACATAAAACACGAGTCTAGAAAATTCAAAAAAATCACAAATTATCCATACAAATTGTAAATTAGATTGGGGAAAATTAGAATTAGGGTAGGGTTTGTAGAGAGTAGGTGACGAAATAAGTGTGGACAGGCACCCATAGGTCGGATATCCCTAAACCCAAACTCAATCCAACTCGGTGAAGATGTAACAAATTTAAATCTAAACCCGATCCAAAACCTGTTAACACGGGTTCCTGTGGGTTGAGATTTTGTTGCTAGTTACAGCTTATACCCAAGGCCCAGGGACTCCTCCAAGGTTGTGCAAGTAGATAATGCAAGACACAAAGATAATAAAAAATCGACAGTTCGAAACTTCACTAGCGTAAATGAAAACATCCAAGGAACACAACCCCATCAGCAGATCGATCAGACAATGTTAAGAAAATACTGTTATCTGGTACCACAATCGAATCAACTACGAATGTAGGCTTCAATATGAACTGAATCTGTTCCATCCAAAGATCAGATGATTGGCTCTACTGTTCCCGTGTTAACAGTTTTTAATACAGAACAGCTCCGAATTAAATATACCCTAAGTGGTAATCAATCAAACAAACAAGGGGTGAAACAAAACCAGGACGCTACTCTGTCTACACTTTTAACTTGTGCACCTCCTGGATGAATGCAACCTACTCGGCAAAAGGGAAGAATAATACACGCCACAAAACCCAGAAAAGGGGGGAAAAGGGAAATCCTGACTATATACTGCGACAAACAATCAAAGAGTCCGTCAAACCTTAAACTTGGCTACAACCATGTCACGTCGTCAAGAAAGTCCACAGTTTCTTCCCTATTGAGGCTTCACCAGGATGAAGCGACTCTTCTTCTTCGTCATCTTCATTCTCATCCTCATCGTCACTTTCTCTATTGGATTCGGTAGCATACTCTTGCTCCCCTTCCATTTCTACCCTCTCATTTACCTCCTCACTCATCACCACATTTACATCTGGATTAGCCTGTCTCTCATTGTGTTCTGCAACTTCCTCAGCCTGAACATAAACAACACCAGCAAAAACCATTAACCGCAAGATCTTCCTCTTCTAGTCAAGGGAAAAGGCTACTATTAAGAACAGACAACATAAACATAGTTGCATGTTACAAGACATACTGGCATAGCAGAGTGTCTAGTTGTCCCATTTTCACGAGTGTCCCCTGCTGGCATATCTGCACGACTTCTCAATATATCTCCATCATTGGGACTAACTAAACCGTCGCCCTCTTTCTTGTTCTTACTTTTAAGGTTGGATGAAGTTTTGGCATCCACAACAGCTGCCCTGCTGACAACAAATTAGCATGCCACCTTTTAGTAAGATATATTGATGACACAAGGCTAAAAGCCAGTCAGCCTCTCAGTTAAAATCATTAATGTAAGATAGGTAATAGCTGAAGGCAGTACCAATGATAGATCTACTGACACAATCATGTCTTAAGTCAAAAGAGACCAAAATTAGATCTGACGATAAGATGAGGAACTTACAGCTTTGACCGCCGGAGATTGTATCTTGATCCACCTGGAGCTTGCACATCAGTTACGTTCTGCTGACGCTTCCTGCGTTTTCCAGCTACGGTGCTACCAGAATGCCCCTCACTCTCATTGCCATCACGTTCAACTGTTGTGGTCTTGGAAGCATGTTTTCGGCTCCTCTTTTTCCCATTTCTATGAGTTCCCTTGTCGGCATGGCTAGATTCACCGTGGCTTTCAGATATCAGAAGTTCAGAATCTTTGGCCACCAAATCTGATTCCAAAGCCTCTCCAAGCACTGCTTTGGCATCTCCTACATCAACTTTGATAGAGGGTGTTCTACTGACTTTCACTCTTCTTTTAATGGGACCCCGCCCACCCCTCAGATCAGAAGACTCAGAGATCTCTTGAGGAGGTTGCAATGACATACTGTTAACATCACTTTGGCCATCTGCTGACAAATCTTGCATTGCTGTAATAGCATCTCCGGTACCATCATACTGTACCCTCCGGTCATCAAGCGAGTCATTTCCATAAACGAGAGATATTTCTTGCTCATCTTCAAAGATATCCACTCTGTTTGAAGGTTCTGCCACATCAGCCAAGTCTCTTACAAGCTCTATCCTTTTGAGCGGGGAGAAGTTGAATATTTTGGTTGTGCACTTCTGGAGCCAAGAAGCTGGAGATACTGTATAGCTTCTGGCCACTACAGAAGATTTCTCAGCCTCTGTTCTTTCAGAGGCTTTTGAGTTTTTGCAATTCCCAGCTCCTGACACTGCCAGTCTTGAAGCAGACAAGATACTGGCATTCTCAATTTCTTGTGAAGAGATTAAGTCGGAAAGAACAAACTGGGATGTCACTTCACCACAGTTTTTACAATCCTTGTGCTGCTCTACAAAGGCAATGAAGCGTGCTTTCTCTTTAGTAAATACTTCCCTGTGGTCCTTGAGCTTCCTGCTAAGCTGCCTAAGTCCATCAATATCTTCTCGAATTTCAAGTTGTTGCTCCTGAAGATGCTTCTTGTTTTCAGCAAGCTCCAGCCTGTCCTTTTCTACCCTTGATCTCTCCATCTTCAGTTCATCCATCTCTCTTCTAGCCACATCCTTCAAGTAATTGAGATTTTTCATTTCTCTCTGTTTCTCCTCCTCAAACAATATCTCCTTCTCCTGCAGATGTCTGTTCGTTTCTTCCTGCTTCTTCTGCAAGCTGTTCTCAGTTTCACTCTTCAGTACCTCAATCTCATTCAGCATTAAGTTTTTATCACTCTCCAGTTTCTCAGTCATCATAGACTGTTCCTGCTCCAGCTTGGCCTTAAATGACTCTTTCGCTAATTCAAGAGTTTCAAACTCCCTTTTGATGTAATCTTCTGTAGCCTGTCTCTCGTGCTTAACCTTTTCCTCCTCGGATTGCCTTTGCTTCTCAAACTTGTCTTTCTGCTCACTAATGCTTTTTAGCTCTCGTTCAATCTCAGCTTTCTTTCCATCCAATTCCAGCCACTCCCTCTCAAAGTTCTCCTTCTGCTGCTTTAAATCTTCGGCCTCCTTCAAAAGCAGTTCCTCGGTAAATCTGCACTTTTCTGTTTCCTCTTTCAGTTCAGATTGAAGACGAACAAACTCAAACCTCTCATCTTGACTTATCTGGAGTTGCTCTTTCTCTTCACGAATCTTCAGAAGCTGCTGCTCATTAGCAGCCTTTAATTTGTCAAGCTCAACTTTAAGGTTTATAAGTTTTTCCTCATCAGAATGCAGCTGTTTTTTCTCTATCATCAAGTTCTTCTCCTCAGATTTGATGGCCTTCTCCCTTTCCTTGAGAGATTTTGATTTGGATTCAAAATCCTTTTCTTTCTCTTTGAGCTTCTCCAGTCTCTTATCCAAACCCTGCTCCCTTTTTGCAACTTTCGCCTCCCAATGCTCGACTTCAGCTTCCTTTCTCTCCAAATCGAGTACCTTGCTCTTCAACTCCTCATCCAAGGATTTCGTCCTTTGCTCAGCCTCCAGCTCGAATTCGGAACTTTTGGCATCCAGAATAGCTTGATGCTCCTCAAGGAGCTTCTGAATCTCCACCTAACAAAAGAAATTCACAAATGCATGATAAGGAACCGCTAATCCAAGCCATTTTAAGAGAATCATGCAACAAACTATTTAATAAAATCTACATCATCTACAGAACACCATTATTCATAGATTCCTGAAGGCAAAGAAAACAGAAAGCACGCAGTTTTAATTTACAAAGACAATTTCAAGCCCCCTATTTCTTTACGAGATTAAATAGCAAAGGAATGCATGGTTTATCCACCCACGTCCAAGAATTTCATCATTACTTTGGACATACATCAACTACCAAAGACACGGAGAACTTCGACGAACAATTTCTATTCAATTATGGAATAATGACAAAAGGAAAATGAAACCCATCAAAAGAGAGCAGGATTTGGAAGAAGCACATTATCTACATTACAGAGACAGAACTAGAAGTAGTAGGGCAAGCGAAGAAAAATTACTTAAAGCATCAAATATCATTTACACATCCTATGTAGAACAGTGAAGGACTCACTTTCTCTCTCTCATTCAGCTTCTCTTCCAGGGCACGTAACTCCTCCGCTTTCAACTGTAATATATTTTTAGTAGTATCAAACTCCTGCATGAACCCCACAAATTTGTCAACAAGTTATACAAGGAAAGGAGAATCCACAACAGCTAACATGTTTAACACATACCTTTTCCCTAAGATTCAGATTAGCTGTGCGAATAGCTATGTCATCTTCTTTCCGTTTCAAATCTGAATTTGCTTCATCCAACTTCTTTTGTGCCTCCTCAAGGTCCTTCTCCTTTTGCTTGAACAGTCTATCATTCTCATTCGCCCTTTCTTCTCTTTGATTGACGATTCTCAGACCCTTTGATAGCCTCTCTTCCTCCTCTTGTAATTTTCTCTCCCATTCTCGCAAGTCATCTCTTTGCTTAGATAAAGTGTCTTCGTGTGCTTCTTTCCTGAGAAACAAGAGATCAACACGATGACTTAAACTGCAACATGGTGCAAACAAGCTTTAACTTTGCATCTTTAAAAGAAGTTCATACTCTGCAATCAAGGATAAACGATCCCTTCTTATGGCACTTTCTCGGGTCTCAACCTCTTGTGATTTCCTCTCCAGCTCTGAACTCTTTCTGCTCACTTCTGCCAGCCTAGAGTCAACTGACCGCAGCTTTGCCTCAACCTCAAGAGATCTTTCTTCAACACGGCTCATCAATGCATTTGCTTCAGCCAACTTAGAATCAGAAGTGAACTTAATTTCAGCATTTTCATATCGCATCTCCTGCACAGTCTTCTCCAGCTGAACAAGAATTCACCGTGTTACTAGTCTTTTAGATAAATCACAATGACTGATTGCTAACATCTAACTTTTTGTGCACATTGCCAACTAGATAAACAGATAGCCAAGATTGATTACTTGCAAAAAGAAGATTCTAATTGTCATGCTTTGTTCAAGATTTAAATTACCTACATCCATTACGTGTTGCTTAAAGGGTTTTCTTGTCCACAGGAAGAACAAGAGTCATTATAACAAGCTTTTCTCATGTACAGTCACTTCAAGAGGTAAGAATCAGAAAACCAACCTTAAATAATTCTTGTTTCAGGATCGCAAACCTACTTCATGCATAACCAATTATGCTACCTAGTCTTTTAACACGGATATTTTCATGCTTCAGAATATGGACAACACAAAATTTCAATATGAATGATTCAGTGAAACCCAAGCTTACATCAACCACACACTGTTTTTCAACCCCCAATGCCTTCCTCAAATTTTCTTCTCGCTTCTCAGCATCAGAGACTGAAACCAAGTGTGTAGCTTGCTCCCTTTTCAGTGCATCCTTCACATCAGCTAACGCTTGCTTGAGTTGATCAGCTTTAGCATTCCAATCCTTCTTTTCAACTAAAAGAAGCTCCATACTATATTCAAATAACTGAAAAAGAGATGACAAGAATAAATAATAGAACATAAACACAGCACATGAAATGAAGTAAAAGGAGATGACAACATATGAAGAAAATCTAACAGACACCACATTCTCTAGAAAGTTACATAAGCACAACCAAGTCAGGAAGGATGACAGGAAAATAGTAAGAAAACAGACAAAAGAAACAGCCTAAAACCCCAATGCTGCCAGCTGGAACCAACTTTCTAGATCGACCAGTTGAAATCTTTTGTCAAAGTCATTTCTGGCAATACAAACCGAAATATGTAGGTATCTACCCAAAGAAGAGTAATGTAATAGAAAAAGACTATGGTTACTGAAAACACATGGTTAATGACCACGACCCCTAGACCGTACCACTCAACAACTACTTACACCAATTATCAACTCATAATTCATTAGCAACTTAATTTATCCGTAAAATACAAGGATAAACAGCAATTCAGAAGCAATAATACATCATGAACAGCAATATAGAAGTGATCAACCCACGTGCCATCATGTATCAAACTCTTGAAGCCATATAATGCATAGGCTATCGCGAAAAATACATTATATACAAAATGAGGCCCTGCCACTCATTCTCACTACATCCTTCAACTATAGATTTCTATGCAATATCCAAAAGTTGCTTAATGTATTGGTATACTAGAACTGATACATCAAGAATAGTAGTGAAGTGATCAAATAACCTCACCGCCAAATATCAAATTCGGTCAACCTAGATACTATGAGGCTACATTCCAGCTTACAGCAACATGCCAAATACGCATACCAGTCCTCCCAAATTTTGGGTTTCTACAAGGATTCTGCAATACTTGTACAGCCTTCCCATTTGAATGCATCAATGGCGGCAAGTAAAGATAAATGTTATTTAGTAAGATCAAACTTGGACAACCCAATATCAAGAAGAAAAAGAAAAAAAACTGACCATTGTCAAAGAATAACACAACAGGGGAGCAAACACAGGTTCCGCGAGAAAAAATAACAGTACACAATCACCAACCTCATTCTCAAGCCTTGAAATCTTGGCAGCCAAATCCTGAGTATCCAAAGCACGACTCAAGCCATTGGGAGAAGCAGCTTCAGTAAAAAGCACGGCTTTCCCTCTGAAAGGGCTCCCATCCCCGGAATCGGAAGCCGGAGTGCCATTGGAATTGAGGGTCTGATGCAAAAGCCCGCCAGATTTGTGAGCCTCTCTCCGCGGAGACCAAACGGACCACATCTTCCTCTGCGGGGTAGAAGACGACATGACGAACCTCACATCCACAGTTTGCTTATCTAGGAACTGAAGTCAACTGAATTTCGTGCACAGCCGCCAAAATTGAATTTGATACAGAAGAAGCAAGTCACAGCCCCTATCCTGGGGGCAGGGGGGCGCTCTTCTTCAACTTTCGACTCTGGGAGCGCCAAGGGGAATCAATCAGTCGGGAGAAAGCCTGCGAAGCACGTATGCTTGCTACTGTGTCGCCGACGAGGAAGATGGACGAAACCCTAGACCGGACGCAAACCGGATTCCCAAATTTCGCCGCAGTGTGACGTTTGGAGTCCGGCAACGTCTCCAAACGAACTCTCTCGGTCTCTCTCTCTCCTCTCTCTGTGGAGTTTCTGTGCTTGTGGGGTGTCACTAACTAACTCAACTCTGGCAACTGGCAAGGTCCTCTTTTTTTGTTTTTCTGTTTATCTAAAGCTTGCTTTTTTAGCACGGTCCGAAGTTGTGGTGCGGCGACCGGCGTCGTGCGGTACATTAATGTGTGGTTTAGGAGTGGCATTTGGTAGGGGTGGGCAAACGGTTCGGTAAACCCGAACCGAAACCGAATTAAACCGAACCGAAATCGAATTAGTGCTATTAGGTTCGAAATTTGGAAGGAAAATATGGATATTTCGGAAATCAGGGTTCTTTCAACCGAACCGAATTTTTGAATTTCCGACCGAAAACCCGAAATACTATAATTGCAAGCTCCAAATGGTGAATTTTTATGTTTGTAGTTGTTTTTAGACTTAAATATTTGAAATATTTTCTGACTTATGTGTTGAAAAGTTTGATTTTATCATTGATGATGCATATAATTGATATTTATTGTTTATATTAGGGGTGAAAAATAATTTAAAAGTGATAAAATACAAGTAGCTTCACAAATTCGGTTTTGGGTGAAAAAATGAACCGAACCAAATTATAATTCGGTTTAAACAGACCGAACCGAATTATATTTCGGTTCGAATTCGGTTTGAGGTTTGAGAGAATTTGGGGACCCGATATTCATAATTTCGGTTCGGTCGAAACCGAACCGATCGAATGCCCACCCTAGTATTTGGGGCCAATGGCATTTGGTTAAATAACATGTCTTGCTGGAAAAAAAATTGGTACTTGTTATTCTCATCATTTTGATGTCACTTTTTGTCTTTCTTTTTTCAGTTATCTTTTTTTGTATGTCTAACGCTAACAAAAACTACTATATTAAAATAATGTATAAGTCTATGTACATATTAATACTATTTAAATTTTATATTTTTATACTTTATAATTGATGATGTGAATCTCTTAAACACAATATTATATTACAACATATACGAAAATTCGTACATATTAATACTGTAACATATGCATGTGGACCAAACATGCACATACGCAAACCAAGCAAGAAAAAGATGAGGTGAAAAAGGGAAAATTGATAAAAATAACTAATTTTGGTTGATTTTCGAGAGTACGATAAGCGAGTAAAGTTAAGCAGATGATCAAGTAAATAAATGATAGATAAGATAGATATGGGATAGCTATGTACAGGTAGCTTCGTCTAGATGATTATGCATACTCTTCTTATCAATGATATGCATCTATTCTATTATGATGTCTTCTTCCTTCCACTTAAACATTGCTAACCGAGCTTTTGCCAAATGCGAGAGGAACTACAACTAGTTAATGTGTATTTTCGCTTCATGTCAGTAACTAACTGACTCGCTAAAACATAACTTCTAGCAATGGCCAAGTGAAACCAATGAAAGGGGTTGTAGTATTGTGGCACAAGTAATAAATATCGAATCTACGGGTCTCTAGAGTTACTATTACTCAGCTTCAGTTCATTATCTAGCAAACCAGATTAATATAGAAGAACTATAACTACTCTACGAACTAAACTAGGTAAAAACTACTACTTATAGGTTGGGAACTATGATTCCCCCCTAGTCTGCAATTAGGCCAAGTTGTAATTCACCCAATCCAATTCAGTTGACAGATATACTGCGGAAAGTTCTTGACAAGTTTGAAATCTCGACTAAAGTAATCCAGAGCCACTTCGTTCGAATACCCGACAGGCGACTAACCTCCACCGACATAAACTAACCAAGTCAATAACACACCAAACTTCCTCTACTAGCTTTAATTCCAGTAGAGAGCAGTGAATCGACTTCTCGACTAAAGCAATCGATTCACCACTTCCAATTTAAGGTTGCTTTATTAACCTATGCAGAGACTATCGTTCTAGGTTAAAGCAGGAATCACACAGGTTTGATCGGGACTCATGCAATTCTGACTAATTCCTCAATTGAATGTATCAAATCAATCATTCGCAAACGGGGTTCATACAACCATTCCTAACATACACCAATAGGGTTCTTCATACCCAGATGCAGGGTTCAAGAAGGCGCGCCTAGGCGCACGCCTAGGCTCAATTAGGCGCTAGGCGGTGGAGGATCGCCTTGACTTGGCCATAGGCGTTGTAAAAGGCACTGGTAGCGCTTAGTAGGTAGGAATATCGCTTAGTTTGCGCCTAGTGGAGAGAAGGTGTGCCTGGGCGTTCCTAGGCGAGCTTAGGCGGTTAAACCCAATACTCTTCATTTTGTCCTAGAAAAAGAAACTTGCCTCTTGTCCTAGAAAATCAGAAACACTGGCCGCCTGCCACCCTAGCTCTCGCCCCATTTGTTGCTCTCTGCCGCCGCCGGAGAAAGTCATCGATCACTCTTCTCGCCTTCACACCGCTCCGCTGCTATAGTGGGAAATGAAGTCGAAACTCGTCAATTGCTGCTCCTTCCTTCTCCTCGGTACGTAGCACAAGCTTCGTGCCTTTATAAGCACCTATTAGCAGATGATTGGTCACTATTTGCTTGTTATTTGTTATGTTAAGTGTTTACTGTTAAGAACTAGGCATTGCTAATTTTATATGCACTTGGATTATATGAATTATTCCAGAAAATAGGAAATATTTGAGAATTTTTCCATTTATGCTCTAAACGCCTAGGCGCGCCTAGGCTACGCCTAATCGAGCAAGGCGCAAGTCAAGAGCCGAGCGCCTGCCTTACGCCTAGCGCCTTTTAGAACCTTGCCCAGATGAGAGGGAAGTTTACTCCATGGAGAGAAGTGGAAACATCATGCTAAGAGGAGAAATCATCATGTGGACAATGAGAATATGCTCATGGCGGCTAATCGGTACTCCAAGGATGTGGAATCAAGCTTCGAGGTCTTCAGATCGCTCCAATCCTTGCCCAATGGTTGTCCTTCGTCTCTCTCTCTCTCTCTCTCTCTCTCTCTCTCTCTCTCTCTCTCTCTCTCTCGGGTTCTCTTTCGGCTTTAGAACTCTCAAACTCTGGATCCCTTGCCTTTCCCGAGCAGCCCCTTTATAAGCTAGAGATTCGCGAGTTACGACCGTAACTTCCTCTCCTAACTCGTAACTCCTCTTAAAACGATGTCGTCACTGTGCTCCGTAAACTAAGAGTTACGCCTTCTTTGGAGGAGTTACAGTCGCAACCATAACTTCAAAAATCTTCTGGACTCCTTTGTCATCGCCTCCCAAGAGTTATGGGTACTTGGGGCTTGTTACAGTCCAAACCATAACTGCTCAGGTTTTGCCGTAACTTTGAAGACGCTCCTAGAACCTTGGTCCTTCCTTTGAGAAGTTACGGGCTCTTAGGGAAAGTTAAGTTCGCAACTGTAACTCCTAAAGTTGAACCGTAATTCTCTCTGCCTTCTGCCTTTCACTCCAAAACGTCCCAAAACTTGCTCCTTCGTACCTATTCACATGCTAGACCTGAAACATCATCAACCAACACAACCTAGCGTAAAATAGGCCATGAGAGCGAGAAACCAAGCTCAAATGAACAAGAAATTAAGGGGGAAACATGTTCAAATATAGCGTTATCACTAACCAATTATAACAAAGAAGTAAGGATATCACGTTGCTATTTAGGGTTTCTATGAATGAATAGCATTGGTTCTGGGATTTGGTGATCTAATGTACCAAGCATTGATTCTCATACGTACATGAAAGGATGATCATTCGATACATGCATACATAAGGCAATAGCATATCATATAAGAATTGTTTCCTTGATAACTTATGATGATATTATGATCAAAATCAAGAGTGCACACATTAGATAAAGATAACATGAAAAGACACAATCATATGATTAAATCCTATAAAGTAGCACATAAAAATCATAGAATTCACATTCCTAAACAATGAGAAGTTTAACTAACCATATAAGAGATAGATGACACCATTGATGATGAAGGGATCTCCTTGAAGCTTGATGATTCACCTCTTTTAGGCCGCCTTGGTGGAAAGCTCCTCTCAAAGGTGAGTATGTGTCTTTGTGTGTTGTAAACCCTCTACCCTAGCTCTCTATTTATATTACACGGAAGAGGATTTTTTAGGCTTTTTCCGTCTTGGATTCAGACGCAAATATCTTAGTGCAACTCGAACTCAGAATCCTTGACTTGGGGATGAAGTAAGAAGCTTCTTAGGGTTTTGGGCCATCAACGGCCAAGCAACAACCGAACCCATTGAATTTCTTCATGGACTTTGGTAGTTTGGCCCTCAAGTAATCTCTCTCGTTAATTTGGGCGCGACTTGTGATGCATGATCTCCCATCTCTATATCTAATCTAATATTCTAATCATATTTTTTGGTTCCCTCCAATGGCTAGCTATTTAACTTTCCCCAAAGAAATTACAATCTCATGTGATGAACTGAAATCTCCTTCTCACTTTTTTATGAGTGTTCAGTTACTCTTTAAAGGGTGAACATGGAGATGGTATCATATTTGGAGATGTTTCCATCCTCAACTCGGTGAGGATCCCACATCTCTTAGTGTGATCGTCATCCCCCCTCCCAAAAGTGAAGGTATGTGTCTCAGACCGTCATCTCTCTAGCATAAGCCATTACTAGCTCGTTGTCAATCTCCATTCCAAAAAAATCTCACCCTATACAACCCCTACTTTCTAGAGAGAGAGATTCGATCATGTCATATGGGCAAGTGTGATGCCCCTCTATGGACGAGGAGATAAGTTTTTCCCACATAAAATGCACAAAGTAAGTTATTTAATGATAGAAAAAATATAGCATCGCTTCAAAATAATTATTGAAAAACATGATTTCAATGGTCGAGTGTGCCTACTGGGTTGTTGATCCAAATAGCATGAGATCGATGCTTGCTCGATTAAATATCCCACATTCCTCGGGGGCGGGTTGGATACACAGTCTAGGATCATAAATATCTGCTGGCATCGATCATTATATATAAAGAAAAATAAAATTATTTTATTTGTAAACAAATCATGAAAATACAAACTTCAAAATACAATGACTTTTTTTTTTGTGTGTAGAAGGTCGACGTACCGTCAACTACAGAGCATACTAAGAAATCCTTGGTTTGGAGTATTTTAGGCAAAAATTATCATATTTTCAAAAATAAACCATTAGTGTTAAACTACTAAAACATTATTGATCTTATAATGTCCCGCCAATGATGCACGTTGATAAATCACAAATATACCAAATATATGAAAAATTTACTGAACAATAATTCATAAAATGAAAAACAAGCAGGTACTCCAAGAGCCTCTTCATCCATTTTTTGCAAAAGCGAAACAGAGGTTTGATCAACTTTTTTAGAGGGAGAGGGTTGTATCACAAACTCAAGGAAACTTTTTTGGTGTGGAAGGTAGGGCTTAGCCGCAAGCACATAACATACTAAGAAATTCTTGAGTGGTGGAAGAGACGAAGAAAGCAATTTTGTGGTGGTGTGAATGAATGGGGATGGGGATTTTAAAGGAGTGATGTAGGGACGAGTATCTCTTAGGTCGCAACAATCAATGTGGATCTCTTCCGTCTAACGCGATTGACGGTTCATCATCGCCCACATGAGCGATCTTCGTCAATCCGCAACCACGTCAGCGATATGTGGCGACTACCATGACCAATTGCGTTCTCCGGTCGCGACGAGCACGAATCGCGCCCCTCTTTAACCATCTAGCTGTTCGTTGCTTGATAGCTCAGCTATCCTTACCGATCGCATTTTCCTAAGGAGGATCAGTTTTTAATCGCTTTCCTCACCAACGATTTTGTATCAGATCGTTCCGATCTGAGTAATCAAGTAAAAACGTGAGATATATTGCGAAATTTTATAAAAACTATTTTATTTTGCGAATTTTTTTTAAGAATTAGTCTACTTTGGAAAAAATCTGGATTAAGGAGAGCATACGAACCCAGTGTTATCACGCTAGTGGAATGTCGTGTCGGTTATAAGACCGGAGTTAACACCACTGGTATGACCGGCATGATCGATTTATGACCTCTAAACAAAATGACGCCATATTAGTGAATCTAATTAATAAGAAAATTAATTTATAATTTATTTTATTAATTTAAAAGTTAAATATTCACGTTATTTGTTGGATTCAAGTATTAGCGTTTAGATATTCACGTTAAGTGTTTTAATTAAATATGAGTATTTGTTTTTTTATTTGAAATTTCATATTTTTAGTTAAATATGAATATAGATTGTAAGTAAATTCAAATATGTTTTACATATAATTAAATTTATTTGATGTTAATGTTTTCCATATTTCTATATATTTTATCAAACAACACAAATTTATTATACATGAGTCAAACCATTTCACTTGATAAATTGATACAAAGTGTATAAAGTATAAACCCATTTGATCACCTTTTCCGAACATAACTTTCATTGGCTTGCTGGTCACTTTTTTTCAATTCTCTCCTGAAGACGGAAGAGGAGAATGGCAGGAACTAGATCCAAAAATCCCCAATTAATTCTACCTAAAAAACCCTAATAAAAACGAACTCCCTCCACTTCACTCGCCAACGCCGGATTTCTTTCGTTTACATCACAGTCCGCTAGAAATTACTCTTGGGTGGCCGAAATGGCGGCAGTTCCGGTGGCCAGGTTCCCTATCTTCATCGTAGTCCGGCTGCTCGGGGTGATCATCGCCGCCTTAGTCCTAACGTGGACGCTTCATTACAGAGGGGGATTGGCTCTCGTCTCCGACAACAAAGATCTCATCTTCAATGTAAGGAAGATAACAGAACACCATTTCCTCTTGTAATCTTCCCCCCTCCATTCTCCCACCACCTGAAATTATACTTCGCTTCTCACTGTTTCTTCGTTTCGCTGGTGCTGTCCATTGCAGGTTCATCCAGTTCTTATGGTGATCGGGCTATTACTTATGAATGGTGAAGGTAAATATGAGTTACATTAAAATGCATTTCTTCGCTTCGCCTGTGGAATTTGTTTGACTTTTCTTTGGGGTTGAACTTTGCTGAATCTTGATCTTCATGATAATAATGCTGTTGTCAGTTCTGCGCCTAATCAACACCCTATTTCCGTTGTTCAATTGTTAGTCTAATTCGCGACTTGTTGATATCGTTTACTCTCGAGGATTAGTAGGAGACATGACTTCTTGGTGACTTTTCTACATGTTTAGATAGCTACAGCTCCCTTATGAGTTGCTTCCCTTATTGTTGGAGTGTTCTCTGAAGTTGATGCTTTGTTAATAATATCTGTGGGTGACTGAAAAAGCAACCTCTTAGCAATCTCAAATGGGACGTCTCGTTGAACTTAAACTAGATGTCTCCTAATGATTATGGTTTCTGGTTGATTTTCTCCTGTTGTGTTATAAGAGAAAGACCACCCGATATAGTACTTGAGCTGGACTACCTGAAAGCCCACCTTTTTCACAATGATTTTGCTTCTCTAGATTTGTGGTTTGTGGCTTTCCATAAGAGGTTCAGCCTCACTTCAGACATAAAGGCATTACAATCAATTTACTTCCAGAATGCTTTCTTCAACTGGGAACAGTACTTTCTGCTACGCATATCTAGAGCATTTCCATAGATTCATTAGTGGAACAGATTTCGTATATTCTGTAGATCCCAGAACGGGGGAGTTTATGGAACTCAGTGTTGAATAGTGTGTATGGATTGCTGCAGCCATGTTAGCCTACAAGACAATCTCAGGAACAAAAAACTTGAAGAAACTCGTGCATCTCGCGGTGCAGTTTGTCGCCCTCGTTCTCGGTTTGATCGGCGTATGGGCAGCACTGAAGTTCCACAATGATAAGGGCATTGACAACTTCTACAGTCTCCACTCGTGGTTAGGGCTTGCGTGTGTTTTCCTCTTCATCATTCAGGTCTCTCATCCCTCATTCCTCTTCTGTTCTAATTTTAAAACATCTTGATGTTCTCCCATGGTTCCAACTCAAACTAACAAAAATGATTTCATTTTTAATGCAGTGGGCAGCTGGGTTCATGACCTTTTGGTATCCAGGTGGTTCGAGAAGCAGCAGAGCGACCTTGATGCCGTGGCATGTCTTCTTTGGAGTCTATATATATGTGCTTGCTATTGTTACAGCTATAACTGGTCTCTTGGAGAAAGCCACGTTCCTTCAAGTCAACAACGTGATATCACGTTATTCAACTGAAGCTCTGATGGTGAACTCATTGGGTGTCTTGATTGTCGTTCTTGGTGGCTTTGTTGTTCTGGCGACAATTAGTCCTCTTCATGGCAAAGGGGAAATCCCCAGGAATGCCACGGAGTAGGGCGATGGATTGTCCTGTAATTCGAGGTTCGCTACTGCACATAGCACACAGGCTTCACTAGGGAAGAAGAATGCCCCTGTATAAAACCAGTCGATACTTGATACCTGTGGGGATACTGGAAAAGTGAGGCTAACGATGCCCCTTCTTCCTCGGGCTTACTGCAAAAATGCAATTTAAGGATGTGCAAACTTTCCTATTTGTTACCTTTTCATGCTCCTTTATCATGGTTTTCCCATTGATCAAGTTTGGTACTTACTGTTACTGGTTTCTCTGTATGCTCCTTTATTATGGCAACCATGGCAAACACATGGAGTTCCAACTCTTGAATACAATGCTCTGCATTGGAAAGTACTGAAGATGCTCCCATGAAAGCTCGAGTAACTTCATGCATGATATATCCGTATATGAGAATGCATTTATACGAGTATATCTGTACAGTTGAGGCCTTTTCCTACCGACTTTCGAAGCAATAACTGGCCTTCAAGTTTGGGGCGAGAGTCGACTGCTACAACCCTGAACTGCTTTCCAAGCTCATGTGCATGTAATAGTATCATTTTCAACTACAGAGGATGATCCATATGTGAGGAGAAAATCACCATCGATCCCTTAACTTGGTTGCTGCATGCTTTACAATCATTTTATCTGCCAGATCTTTTCGTGTATGAATCGATCAAATATCAGCCACCACAGTTGCTTTTGATTATGACTCAGACAAGTTTAGACAAGTTTAAGGGGAACTTGGCAATTAGATATCTAGTCCCGTTTCGGCGTTTCCCATGCTGATTGGCAGATTGAGAAGGTCTGACACTCGATAAGAAAACGAAACATAGCTACTGTAAGAAACATGAGTTTTGAGTATTTTTGTCATTAGGACCGGGTTTGTCCGTTTATTTATCTTTTATGATTTTTAAATGCATGTTCAAACTAAGAGCACATTACTAGACATGCCATATTAACTAACATATATAAGAACTTGACGATGATGGTATAGTCAGACGAATACTAGCAAAGGCCAGAGGGATCCGAGTGTTGTACATCTCCATGTTTATGAAACATTCAGATTCCAACAATAAGGTGAATTACATTTGTTGCACAATTGCAAGTCCCATTCCCCGTACTGCTAACATGGTGAAACACGCTTGAAACTAAACGAAACTTGGGCAAACTGGTCCTCTAGAGATCCCCAGGCGAACCTCCATTCCATGATGCATGTCCAGAGGGCAATAAACTTCGGATTCACGAGGATCTGCAGCAAACGAGAGCCCATATACATTGTCAGATGAACAACTTCTAATATCATAAAACTATCTAGCTTCACTTTCGAGCTTGTGTCAAATAGCAAGTTTGCAAAACATACACGAGTGTGTGTGTGTGTGTGTGTGTAAGAGAGAGAGCATTGAAGTACTTTCAAATAAACAAAAAAAAACAGATATAATTAATTATAAGGGGCTCATCATCAGGACTTTACCATTCAGATAATCTTCAAAACCAAAATCATCCAAGCTTCCTGTCATGGCTTCCAAACCAACCATTGAAGAAGGAATAGGTCCAGGAGGTCTCTGAAATCTGCAGACATTTTGTGGAAATATGAATGAGAAAAATATGAAGTGCATAAGAAAACCAACCCTCCTTTGACCCATTACCACTCCTGACAAGAAACCAGTACAAACCACCTACCAACTCATGGTATTTCTTACTCTGTGGTGATAATTCCAAGTTCAGAAATATGAGGACAAAGATTGGATTGAAAAGTGAAAGAAAAGAGGACATACAGACAATAATAAATTTATCCAGTCAATGGCGCAACAATGATATGGTCATTTCTAGCATATCACAAATATCTATGGCAATGACCATATCGGCCAGGATCTAAAGAGACTCCAGGGAATGAAATGTTATATACTTTTTTCTCAAAATTACAAGACAGAGATTCCTAAGATACAGTCCGAGATGCACCTTGACTGAAATAATCAATATGCATTGTCATCCTAACTTAATCACCCAGAAATAATACCATCACAGAGCCAATTCCCAGTTGCTTAAGCACTAGTATATAGCAATCATAACCCCGAGCTCCAACATAGTGAAATATGTCAAGTAATGTTTCTGTAACTCCCGAAAGTCTCAGTCAGGACCAAAAAGTACTCAATAACAGCATTTTTAGATGACCCATGATGGAAGATGGTCATTCCATAAAGCAGTACCGAATGTTCCAAGACGAAAGAAAGAAAGAATGCATCTTGCCCCCCGCAACGAAGTGTTTGAAATAAGTAACAAAACACTAAAGTTGCTGTGGCCGAGACAAAACTACACGAATGGTGAACAAATGAAATGCCGACATGTCCCATGTCACACCTAACTGTTCCAAGTGTCTCATACTTGATCAGTTCAGGGAACAGCTAGATATTCCTGATACCTATTTGAACAATCCAAGAACAAGACTAAGCAATCTTGCTTGTAATAAACTACCTCTAGAGCCGTGAATTCGAGTACTCTTATTATCTACTGAAAGAGACTGAAGTTGTTTGTTCCCATGAGAAAGGAGCTGTACTCTATCACTTACTGCAGATTATATACTATTGTAGCAGATTTCAAATGAAAGGATCATGTTCACCAGATATCACAATTCTACTAATCCAATGATACTAAGAGCATCTCCATTGGTGCAATGGCATCTGCAATTGCATTTATTTTTTTTATTGTTACTTCATTTTTTCGCAATCCAACTCATCTTACTTGCATTGCACCACATCAATGCAATTAACTTGCAATTGCAACTAATTTTCTTGATTTAATTTATTAAAACATAAACACTCAAATAATAAAATTAATGAATAATTTAATAATAAAAAAGATGATGTGGCTTGCATTCCATAATTGCATTATGTGCAAGCTTGCAAAGATGCAATTGTCATCTACATCAATGCAATTGCATAATGCAATTGCAAATGAATGTCATGTCATAATGCAATTCTAATTGCAATTCCAATGGAGATGCTCTAATAGTAGAGGTTCTTGCAGAAAAGGAGCTGAGCTGCATTGCATTGCTTTTGAACTGCATGATTCATGTATTCCTGCTCCATTACCTAAAGTGTCATGCCATATGCCAACTAAGCCATATTCCACATAACCAAAACTGGAAGAACAACTATTGCTGCAATAGCTCATGATATAGGACATGGACGAAGGCTACAGTATACTACCAGCCTATCAGTAAAGGGGACTTCTCCCAACATCCATGTCATGACCAACAACTTACTTTCCACAAACAATATATATCCCGTGTGCTGAGATCATGAAATAAGAGCGAGGAGCGATTTAGCATAAGGAAACAGTAAACATACCGAGAAAGAATTTGCCTATCCAGGTCCATCTTCAAAGGAAAGGCAGATCCATAAGTGTTTGCAAGGACTTTCCTCTTCATGTCTTCTTGATTCTTAATTATCTGCACACCAGGTTAAGAACAAAGATCATAACCAGAATCCAAACCCTCAGTAGATACAACTTCCAGCTAAAAACATAAACAGAAAACCCAATCATCAAGTACATAAAAAAACAGTCTTACAACTTTTTGGCCACCATAGTCCATAGCCATGTAATTTTTTCAAGTATCCTAAATCTGCATCTCCTGATACTCGACAATCAAAGTGCCAGGTAGCCCATGCATGAAAACCCTAGATAACGTCTACGTCTGATGACCGGGGAAGAAAGATTGCAATCCGGAATCATTATTAAAAAAAAAAAGATTGCAATCCGGAATGCTTTTGCTCCAATTATTATTAACAGAGATTGAAGCTAATAGCCATCGGAGGGTATTTCTCCACCAAAATTTTGTCGAGAACCAAGCAGAGAAAGAAAAGCCGGTGAATATAGTGAAGGGGGCGAGATAGTTACAGATCGGTGGGCAGCTTCGAGAGGGTGAGATCCGACGAGGTCGCTCTTAACGCCGTGGAGGCCGAAGCGAAGTGCATCGTTCTGGATCCCTCCGATTTGGTGAGCTAATGTCTTGGGTGCTTTTTCCATTATCGGCGCTGTGATTCGCTTCTTGTTTGTTCTTGCCTCTAGGTTTCTTCTCGGTGCTTCAGAAGTCAGAACCTGCTAGTAATTTACAAGTTACAACTATCGTCAATCGAGAATGCTCTTACTTACTGGGCAAGCCATTTTTTTTAAGTTTTAATTTTCCAGACACGAAGGCGGTAGAGGTGGCGATTGGGCCGATTGAAGCTGGGTTGCTCGGTTGGGCTGGATCAAGTTGGGTTCAGTTATCTTCCACGGACACGAAGTTGGGAATAAGGCCCCGAAATTCAAGCAGGACAAATACGGGTATGGGCTGCCATCGGACAATTTCCCTATGGTACACACAGAATTTTGTGCACCAACTCACACGGCGGGGCGAGGGTCACGTTGTCCAAGCCAGCAACGGAGGGCCAGGATTGAGCAAGCTGGACGTAAGAGAGGAAAGGGGAAAAGTGAAGCCGGCTGAGCCGAGCCAAAAACTGAAGGGAGGGAAAAGTGGTGGGGTCGCGCAGTCCGCATTTGAAATTGAAAAAAAAGAAAAATTGTCTCATCCAACCGTCACTCCTCCTCCACTCTTCTTCCTTCTCTCTGCTCCTTCTTTCTCTATTCTTCTTCTTTCTCCATTTTCTTTCTCTGTTTTGCTCTCGTCGAACCAGAGACCACACCTCCCAAACAAAGATATCTCTCTTGTCGATGAGAAAGAAGGACATCAGAACAAGGAAAGCGAGGATGGCGAGTGGAGTCCGGCGAGGAGCAGCGCAGTCGATAACCAGGAGAGCCTCGACGATGAAGAATCGTCCTTCCTCGAGTTCTGTATATTTAGGCCAACCTTTCTCGCGTATTAATACCGGTGAGGACGATTCTCTCTGTCCGTTTCTTTCTAGGTGTGGGTTTTTCCCTTGAATCCCCATTTTTGCTTCATTCTTTGTTGTTTAGGGTTTACTGAATACACATTTAGGGTTTTTTTGGTCACCTTCAAAATCGACTCAATTCTCAAGGGTATTCTTCATAATGTGTCTTGTGTGAGCGAGATATGTCAATTTTTTGTTGACTAAGTTTTTGGGTTCTTGCTTAGAATCGGTTCTTGCTTAGAATCAGAAGTATGGTTGAATCCAAAAGTAGTTGTTACCGTAATCCTCCATTTTAGTTGATTCTTGTGTTTCTTGTTCCCTGTTAACCTTCAATCTGTTGAATACTGGTTATTTTGGTTTGAAATATTAGTTGACTGTGTAGTTGACGAATACCCTTGAATGATTTGTACAATGTTGACTGTATTGTTGATGAATACTAGTTCTTCTGGTTTGAATATTAGTTGAATTCATTGAAATTGTTTGTCTGCAACTATTTTAATATATCATGTTGAAAGTTCTCAATATTAGTTCTCTTCATTGTGTTGTGTTTGTTCCCCTTTTCTGAATATATGTTTTTTTGGTCTACAGGTTTGGAATAATGGTGCGAACCAAGAAGCTTGTTCCGGGACCTAAGAAACGACCCTTAGTAGATCCTCCTGCTGCTGAAGATGTTCCTCCTGCTTTTGAAGATGTTCCTCCTACAACTGAAGATGTTCTTCCAGCAAAAAGAGTTAAGTTTGCTGCTGGGAAGTCCTGTGAGACCTCTGCAGGGAAGTCTGGTGAGACCTCTGGTGGGAAGTCTAGGGGGAAGTCTTCTGGGTCTGAGGAAAAGTTTTCTGGGAAAGCTGCTGGGAAATCTGCTGGGACAACTGGGGGGAAGTCTGCTGGCAAAGCTGTGGGGGAGTCTGCTTGGAAAGCTGTGGGGAAGTCTGTTGGGGAAAGGTGGGGGGAAGTCTGCTGGGAAAGGCAAGGGCAAGAAACCACATGAAACGCAGCATTGATGTCACACATCATCATTGTTGAGTGTTACTGAATTTTGGAAGAAGGATGAGGCCTACTATGAGGAATGCGAGAAGGAGCTTAGGAAGGCGGGCGTCGATGGATTGTTGGAGAAACGATTGTGCGGCGTCAATAAGTCTCTGTTGTGTGCAATGGCACGACACTACGATACTATTTCTGAGAGCTTCATTTTCGGAGAGGGAGAGAATAGGAAGGTGCTTCCCTTAGAGGACGTGGACATGGCTCGTGTTTATGGCCTTCCTCACGTTGGGGAAGAAATAGTGCTGGAGAAGTACCTGGACAAAACCAAGTTGTCGGCTTTTCAAGCCGAGATTGGGATGGGAGGAAACAGGTGCAGGAATTTTCCTCTGAGTGATATGGTGGACAAGTTAACGGATGAGAATGCTAGTCTTCCTGTTCGTAAGGCCGTCAAGCATATATGCTGCTTGCCCTTGCCTCGCTGCTCCGACCATCATGGTCGCGGAATCGTGAGCTTGACTATGTGGAGTTCCTCGTTGGGAAGATTGAGCGGATAAAAAGCTACAATTGGTCCGGCCTTGTTGTAGCAGAACTGAAGAGTAGTCTTGCTGCAGTTCAAGGAAAGGCATTCCTTGACTGGGTCCATGGAGATGTCCACTTCCTCGTTGTACGTTTTAAGTATTTTTTCTTTCATTTATGTTTTTGAATATGTGTGATTGTTCTGAATATTAGTTTTATCGTGCTTGAATAATACTTTGAATGTGTTTGAATATGAGTTCGAATGTGCTTGATTATATTGAGTGTGTGTTATTTGTATATGACTCTAAAGATGAATGAGTATTCATTAGAATGTCAATGAATATTCATTAGAATGTCAATGAATATTCATTAGAATGTCAATGACTATTCTTTAAAAGATAAATGCGTATTCATTAAAAGGCCAATGAATATTCTTTTGAAGATGAATGTGTATTCATTAGAAGGTCAACGAATATTCTTATAAAGATGAAGCGTATTTACGGCTAACTAATATTCTGTACCAACTAATATTCGATGACGTAAAAGTAATATTCATGAAATTATAAAGTAATATGGTCATTACGGCTAACTAATACTCGGTAAGCGATATTCATGTTTCTGTTCCTCCACCTGTGATATTCAGGATAGAACGACCAAGTATTCATGCAAGCACAGAACACCATGCAATGAAGAAACCCTAAAACATAATAAATGCAAGCACCATAAATGTAAACCCTAACACATTCAATGTTGATCAACAACCAAAACATATATAAGTCTAAACGGATCTGTTTTTTTGGTCTTCACATACCCCCTTCTATTTCATCAATTGCGGCCATCCACTCTTGCGAGCTCCACAAACCATTAGATGAACCATCCGCTTTGAGGATGGTATCAGCAAGGTCCACCTCTTCTGGTTCGTCTCCTTCGACATCACCTTTATTGTTTTTAGTCGACAGATCTTCAAGGTGGACCTCCTCTTCTGGTGCAGCATCTCCTTCGGCATCATCCCCCATCTTCGACAAACTATCTTCCTTTCATTGCATCTCCTTCTTCTCTTCGAAGGACCGATCTTGCATCAGACCTCCCCTTCCTGCATTTTTCTGGTGACTCTGGATCCTCGTCTTCTATGGCGGCAAGGCAGACGAAGAGAAAAGATGAAGAAGAAGAGAGCTGTGAGATTGGGAGAGAGAGAGAGGTTGGTAGGTGGGTGGAATTAAGGAAGCCAATTTTGGGGCTGGATTTTTTGAGCTATATCCCGCCAAAACAACCAAAAAATTGTGCCCAGACCCCACCCAGCTCTCACTCCTCGGCCCCACCAGTACCTTTAGCTCGGCTTCCCCACAGTTCAAGCACGGCTCGTCTTCTTCCCCGATCCCTTCCCCCAGCCGCTCAATCCTGGTCTTCCGTTGATGGCTTGGGCGACGTGGCCTCCCCCCTGCGCTGTGAGTTGGTGCACACAGATATGGTTGTGTGTACTATAGCGAAATTGTAAGTAGGAATGGCAATGAGCAGGTCGGGTCCAGGTCGGATAATTTATTACGGGTCGCGGGTCGGGGCAGGCCGATTCAATGGGTATGCAATCAGTGGCGGAGACAGAAAATTGGCCAAGGGGGTGGCTTTATCATATCATAAAAAATCACCTATACAATAGAAAAGTTAACTTTAAATGAAACAAAATAGTTTCACGTACAATTACATTAAAATAGTTTCACGTACATCGGTTACAACATCAAACAAATAAATTCAGTACATACAAGTCAAGACTTCCATTCATCAAATATTACAAATTAGAACTCAGAATTACCTTGGAATTGATTTTGTGAAACAAACGAGTGAACTTCAATTGGTGCTTCTTCGCTTTCAGCTTTGTTTAAACAAAAGATAAGAAATTTCTCTGTTGTAGAGCTACAAAAGAAATGAGCGAGTTTAAACAAAAGACAACAATTTATTACTATAAATAAAGACGAAAGTGCATTGTATAACAAAACTCACTTGGTCGATATGGTAAGAAATTCTTCTTGCAATTGAATGGTCACTGGTTCGAATTTGTATACACCCATACTCGGTAATTTTTTCTCCAAACCCAAGTGGCTCCGCCACTATATGCAATTTATATGAAAAATATTTGAAATATTCGTTATTTTTATTATAAGACCAAGAAAACAAACAATATTATGATAAATATAGTTAAATTATTGGCAAAATTGAGGTTTTCACTAATTTACAACTTTACTATAGCTAAAATATGATGTAATAAAAGAAAATTTCTGAGTAATTTGACTAAGATTACAAGTAATTTAGACAAGAACGAGTCAAGAATGGGGCGGGCCAGGGTAGGTCGGGTCGCCCCCCCCCCCCCCCCCCCCCCCCCCCAAAAAAAAACAGACCAAACATGTCGGTTAAAATGGGTCAGGTCGAAATTACCATCCCTACATGTAAGTGATAGTTAATCTGAGTAGTTCAGGGTCGGCTAACAGGGTGTGTCGAGAGGTCATCCGTTATAGAGCCTTCGAATATGATGGCTCTATTTAGATCTGTTAGGTAAGCTATACTTGTGGTATATGATTACTGATTATATTTGTACGATGTTTGATTTAATTTTATTAGTTAATACTAGCACCAGTCACTAGTGATCAGTATTCTCATGTATATAAGGAGACACATACAATGTTTTTAAAGTCTTACTTGTATGATGAAAGTCTCTTTTCTCTTAAAAAATGTCAGAAGAGGCATTAATGAATTAGGTATGACAACAATTAAAAAGGCAAAATACACTTGTGTAGTCAAAACTTTGACGGTTTTGTCAAATATAGCCACTTTTGGAGAAATACCAAAAATAGCCATTTCCGTCCAATTCTTTGACGGTGTGAGTTAACGTGCTGACTGGACTAACGGATCGTCTGATCTGGCGATTTTTGTCTGTACGTATTTCCCACGTGGATTTACTAATTTTTTAAAAAAAATAAAAATATTTTAAATGGTTGGGTCTTTTGATTTATGAAAAATAAAAACTAATAAATAAAACAAAAAAAAAACTTTTCTCACCCAACCTACCCTCTGTTCTCCGCCCTCTCCCCACCTCCATCGCCATCTCGATTCTTCCCTGCGATGGCATTGCCGCCAGACTAGGCTGGGAATGGATTTCGCCATGGACGAGATTTTCGTCCCACTGCCCCGTCCCTTCACCTTCTTCCTTCTCGTCCATTTCACAAGCAGTCGAACCGTCAGAGAGCTCCCCCAACGCAGCTCTGCCCTTCGAATCGTCATAGAGCTTGTCTAGAATTCCCAACGGGCCTCTCGCTCATGCTCTACTCTTTCTAGGAGGAAATTATCATCTCCGGGTGGAACGAGACAGAGTCGGCTTCGATTAGGGCTGATCTGAAGTGGTCGCCGGATTTTGAGGTTGAGATCTGAAGGAGCCGGAAGATTAGGGTTAGGAAGAGGTTGGATACGAAGGGGGAGATTGGCGGCGATTCTGCTTCCGTCTGATTACAAGAACCAGAGTAGAGCCTTGATCGATTACGGCGAAGTAAGGCGGTCGCGAGCTGCTGCTTCTTCTCCTCCTCCGAAAGCGGCGATGAGCACGGCGGCGACGTCGTTGGAGCGATAAAATCTGCTTCTTCTCCTCATCCAAACGCGGTGGTAAGCGATGGAAATCTGGTTATGTTTGCTCTCGTTTCTCACAACAGCCGATCTTCCTCAAGCATTCTTGGTCGTTTAGGGATTTTGGATGAACTAACTCGATTTGGGGTTCTTTTTTCGAGTGGAAGAGAGAAGAAAGGGTCCTAGGTTTGGGAATCCACCACCGTCGAGTTCGCCATCTCCGTCTCTGGTGATTCTCCGGTTGGTTGAGTTTGGTGCAAAAAGGGGTTTAAGCAAAACTGCGGGAACCCACCTCCGTCGAGTTGCAGAAGACGGCGACGATGGTTTGAGAGAGAGGATCGACAGCATGAGTGGTGGGAGAGGAGAGAGAATGAGAAATATTTGTGATTTTTTATTTATTTTTAAATTAAAATATGACATGGTATTCATGTGGCAAGTGTTGTTGAGTTGGCGATGATGTGTCGGTTAAGTTGGCAGCCATGTAAGCATTCCGTTAATTTGACTAACGGTGTGAGTGACGCCGTTAAAGAATGTAACGGAAATGACTATATTTGTCATCAAACATTCAAAATTCTGGCTATATCTGGTATTTGCCAAAAATGGTTATTATTGTCACAATCGTCAAAGTTTCGGCTATGGAAATGTATTTTGCCAATTAAAAATGATGTCCTCCAAAACAAAACTCATGGAGAATTTGAGTATTAGAGAGCTCACTGATAATTTTTTTGAAAAAATTTGAAAGATACTAATTTTTAAATAACGATGGTGATTTTTCCATATTTTATTGAACGGCTCTGAGCAGTCAGGGACGGAGCTAGCTTGAAAGGGAGCAAGTTGGATACTTGATACAAGAGTCCCTCACTATTGAGGGACACCATTGACAATCCCCTGTTTGCAACTTGCAATACAAATGATTGTCTATTTGTCTCTCTTCTCTTGTGAGGAAGTGATGGAGGAAAAGTGCACTCAAATGACCATATGTAGAGTGAATGGAAGTAGAGCAGAACTGAAGCAACTCGGCGGATCTTTACATCTTGAGCTGAATTAGTAAAGCAAATGCGAGAAAATCAAATCATGAAGAAACAAACAAATCGAGGTTCTGCTTCTTATTAATATGAATGAATCTATAGCTAGCTAGTAAGTACTCTGCCTCTGTGAATGGTATTTACACTTTTATCAGAAAATTGTAAAAATCAGTCAATCCCGCCAGCAGACGAGCATGACGACGCATCTCCTGATAACGTAGAGGCGGCCCTGTTGTTGCTTCAGGTACTTCCCCAGCTTCCCGCACGACGACATCGTCATCTTCGGCCTCTTAGTCGTTGTTGACCTTCTGCACGACGAGGCCAAATCAGATGCTGACGATGACGATGTTCTGCTGCTGCTGCTGCTCCTCATCTTTCTTAATTGGCCCAAAAGAAGAAGGTACAGTGAGACAATATGATCACTTTGTGTTTCCAACGAGTTGGGAGGAGTTGAAATTGCTTCAGGTAGTAAGTAAGATATGAGAGTGAAAAGGAATGAGTAGTTTGTTTGGTGTTGCAGGGGAGGGGAAGGGCGGGTATTTATAGGGAAGGAAGGAAAAGGGTAAAAGAGTATTATATAGTAAAGAGTGGAGTGGTCCAATCTTCCCTGTGAACATGCGCGTTGCCAGGAGATAGGCCCCCTCCCACCAATACAACAAACCAAAACAAAATCCAAATACCTAAACACAATAGATCTTTCCAATTTTATATTCTCTCTTTCCAATCTTATTTCTTTATTTGTTGTATGGTTATATTACTTAGGCTCTATGGAGATGACAAAATTGTTTTTTTTTTTTTTGTATCTCCTAAGGAGTTGGCTAGACGCTTAGTGTTAATTTGAAGAAGATGAAAACACTAACCACATTTTATTGGACAAAATCTTATTGACACTGCGTTTTGGGTTGATTTTTTAGCAAAAAAAAAAAAAGGTTGTTTTTTTTACTCTATTAAGAAAAGTAATAAAACTGGTGTCGGTTGGTATATTTTAGTATCAAAGCACCGAAGTCAATTGATTATGCAAAGTAAATATGTAGCACACCCTCCTTGCAATAGTTGACCACTATTTTGATCATTCACATTCAAGAGATTGGTCTAGTAGTATTACGAGGATGAAAAAACATCTATCAAATTTGAACTTTGGAGCATATAACCAACGGAAAACATAAAACCAACAACAATCTTTCACTCAATATACTTACATTCTCTACTAACTTTGCATACTTTCATTTTATAATAATAATAATACTCGGTATTGATTTGTATATTAATCAATAGTTATAATATAGTTTATGCTTCAAATGAGAAATATTAATTAAGTGGTAATTCACTAATTTATACTGCTAGGAAACTACCGCGATGCTTCTCACATATTCACGTCCGTAGCAATATGCACAGACAACATTGGGCCGTCTTTAATTTGCGTAAGCCAGCTCGACACGTCCGTCTCAAGCTGTCTATGCCTAATTGCCTATAATAATTCATCTAACGAATTGATTAACCAGTAATCCAACTTACCTTCAATTGTTTTTGTGAAACATTAATTAATTAAGCAATAGAGGTCATGATAATACGGAATTCCTTGTTTCATTTATCAACCTAGAATTTGTCTGTATTCTCTGTAGCAATTTAAGGAACGGATCATTTGGCCAAGCAAATTAAATACTATAAAAAAAATAAGCTATAGGATTCGGCTCGTGAGTTCCTGTAGCTTTTTTTTATTTTTTATTTTCCTTGCATCGTGAATAAGATCCCATTCTATGGGGATCAAATTTGGAAGAAGAGTATTATTTAATATTCCATAAAATCACACCATCTAATTGTACACATTAATGATAAACACATAAGATTATTTCTCGTACGTATCAGCCATATGGTCTCTATATGCATGTATGTATCTCAAATTCTCAATCGATGTCTCGGAAATCGAACTACTCGTCCCTAATTTTTGGAGCTGTAGCTGGTTTGGTTTCCATGATTCATGGGATATGTTGCTTAATTAGGATCTTCATTTCTGTGTTGATTCAGTAAGCGTGGTTTGTAAATAAAGACAGGTTGGAACAATTTCTGGGCTGACAAGTGTTTTGCTGTAAACTTCAAACCACGCTAAGGAAGCAGGGGAACAATTTCTCGGCTGACAAGTGTTTTGCTGTAAACTTCAAACCAACCTACTCCCAACACTAGCTTAATTAATTAATTTCACAACACTAGTAGTATATATCTTATAGGCAATCCTCATTCCTCATGGCAATTCTATCTATAAGGAACTGAACGCACAAAGAAGATGTTATTAGTACGGAGGTTTAAGAATGAACGTTTGAATGATGCTTTATTTATCTCATTTCTGCATTCTCTTAACGAAATCAATCCCTAAGTTTAAAACTTGATCATGCTCTAAACGACGATCGTATATTGATGATTAATCGTTATGATGAATACTGTTAGGGGGTTGGAAGCACTTGACATGTGACACATCCATGTCAATAATTAATGTCGCGTCGAGAGAACCAACTCATTTTACTAACTCGAATCACACACATTATTGTATGAATTACGGTTTAATTAATTACCTTTGAATATTATGTTAAACTAATTCCGGTTACTTATAATAACAAAACCAATATACAGACACACCCCTCCTTGCAATCATTCAAATTTGGCCCCCTCATTCCTAACTAATTAAGGACTGCATATATGGTTTGTTTTTTTTTTTTTGTGTTAAACTGGAATAAGAATGTAATTGGCAGTAGTGTGAAACACTGATCAAAGACAATAAATTAAATAAATAACGGCCTGGTTTTTTTCTTGATATATGTATATATATATACTATCCAGGCTGTGTACTGGTTCGTTCCTAGCTAGTTTGACCATGAATTATTGATATTTGTGGGGACGAAACCAAAACAAACAAGTGACAGCTTATTCTCAATTATCTTGTTATGTAACAAGAAGTTGTTAGCTAGTCATCATGATTCATTAGATACATTGGTAGCCAGCTGCATGCTTCTAACCAGCTATAGCTAGGATGATGAGTTGGTTACGGAAATGGACGGTCCAACGGTCCGAGTCGGACCAAAATCATGAAACTTTAGTTCAATAGTGAAAAGACATCTTAAGATAAGAAAATCTGGACAATTATCTATTGTATTATCAAAAGGTTTACGGGTTCAAATGAAACATATAAGTATTATCTTAGTTTCTTGAAGCCATTGCCATCACCTCTGACCCCGAAATTTGATGCTGCTTTAGGAAAGAAAGACATTCCATTACTATTTGAGTTAGTGGTAAAAGACTTATTAAGATTAAGCAATAATCGATGGTGAGGACTTTTGAGTGAATTAGACATATGAGAGCGTGATCAAGAAGGAGAAGATTAAACGAAAAATAAAAAGGAGAGAGAAAATGTTCGAGAGTTGTGGGAACTTTGATTCCTCTAAAGACAAAATAGTTGAGAGAAAAGAGTGAAGAAAACAAAAATATAATTTGCATTAATGGTCGAAAAAACTAGGGTGGTGTACAACTGATGAGCTCGAGGGTTTATATGGAGCGATAAGAGCTGGAGTGTCGTAAGGGTTATTTATAAAAGGATAGATACAATTCATACTTGTATATCCTTATCTATATAGAAATGTTACCTAGTCCTAAACTATTACATTTTGACAAACTTGTCCTAAGCAGTTCTCACCACCTAAGCCATGATCTTGATCAAGTGCTGATCATGGTCTCTCGTATAATGACCTTGTGAGGGTCTCATCTTTGTCTAGAGAACTTCTCGCACGACTCAATATTCTGTTGCCATGCGTCTACTATACGAGTTGCGCTCAAACATTCAGATTTTTTTTTAATTTTACACCTTAGATCACAACTTCTCTGTTCATTATGTTATTTTTCCTTTTGCTAATTGAAGCATGAGCAATAATCAATAATTAGATTTTAATAGTAACAGAGCATAATCAATTCAAAGGCAGTTGTTTTGGAATGGGGGCATGCATTACCTAGGCCCATGAGGATTGGAGGATAAAAAGAGGCATAATTGTGGGTATATGGGAGATGTTGGGTAGGGTCAATGACAAATGCATGAGCCATTCCCTTGTAATTGTGTACATGAACAATCACACCCATACCCAAAACCAGACACAAAATTTCAATGATTTTGATCTCACCTATGCTTTACCTAGGAAACCCAATATAAAAGAAAAAGGAAAGAAGAAAAAAAAAGAAAGAAACGGAACCCAGTAAGCTAATCAAATCCATTTGTGGGTTTGTTTATTATAGGCAGATAAGATAGCCAAATGATAGGAAGGAAGCTGGGTAGCAAGAACAGTGCAAAGCAAGGAGTTGTTTGGAGCTAAGCTAAGTCCAGAGGTGGGTTTCCCTTTCCTTTCTTCACTTTTGTCCTTTTACACTGAACTTGGGAAGAAAAAGCATACAATATCACAAGGCTGTAGCAGGAATGGAGGACATACCCCCCACGTGATGCTCTCGTGACCAGGTATGGTCGCTGCCTTTTTGCATCCCAGACAGACAACCTTGATTCTCCTTTTTGTTGGGTTTATATAAACACATTAGACATGATTCTCGTATCTCTGTCTTGGTTAACCCGAAGATTACTGTCAAGAGTAACAAATGGGTTTATATATACACTGAACTTAGCTAATTCCCAGTTCCATCCACCGACGGCATTTCAGGGGAAAAGTTCGATTAGCTCTTCTACACGACAGCTCATCAGGTGATAGAATCTCAGCGTATCTGTGTCTTGACTCTTGACTCAGACTGTGGATGGGATTAGTTTATACTATCCAACAAATAATGGAGATAACGACATTAATTAGTGTAATTAGCGGGATGGGACTGTCCATCATTGTAATGTACGGTACACTTGGGGCTCTGCATCTGCTCCCATTCCATTCCATATGAGAGAAGAGAGGAGGAAAATATAAAGAGTTTTGTTTTAGTGTCTATCCAATTGTGTTTTCTTCTTTGTGATTTTGGTTGGGTGTGCCAACATTAGGCCTGTTTTGTATGGGTTACTATGGCCAGCTAAACAGAGCCCATTTCACGAATAGGTGACTCTGGTTTGATGTACTTCACTCCACAAAACAACCAATGGAACAATATCTAGGTTCAATGGCTGACACACACAATGCCAAGCAGGTCTAGAGGAAATGATTGGACAAATTCTCTGTAAAACAATACTGTATTGACAGTTCAATTGATAGATGATTTTTGACGATATAAAACAGACTGAATCAAGATTTCAATGCAAAATTTCAAATCGTTTGTTTTTTCTGGTACAACTTCCGATAAGATTTAACAACTATTTGAAAATTCCTTCCAAAAGACCAAGAGTGAACCATGAACTGCCCCCCTGCCTACTGGGAACCTTCTGTCTCTTCAGTTTTTCTCGACTTCTTTTACTTTTTACAACAATGAAAAAGACTGCCACTTTCCAGTTTGGAGACACCTAAGTCCTAACCTAAACAGACATTTCACACCTTAGATTAGATAGTATCAGAATTGGTCACAGTGACTGCAGAAGAAGAAAGCTTTCAACACCGATTTCACAGGTTCCAACAATGGAGTAGCAACTTGTACAGGCAACGAACGACACCCAAAATCTCTGTCAACGGGCTGATTTCTCCATATACATACATACATACAGACGACAACAAAGCTGCAGCTGATACTGATAGAACAAGAGGATCAAGTCCAACCCTAATTACAGTTTCTTACTCAAAAAAATTACACTCGACGCTCCGCAATAACGAAGAAATCCCAAATTACCCAATCCAAACAAACCCTATTTCAAATCAAAGCAGACCATATTCCTAGCTAATTACACAACGCTCAGCGGATGCCCGTTGTTAGCTAACGGAAGTGCTTGGCACTGCGGAGATCGTGCTTGGGAGTGCGGCGGCCGGTCTCCATCTCCGGCGAAAGGAGGAAATCCCTCGCCGCTCGGAACTTTTTAGTCGCGTCGCGAATTGCGGAGCGGGATAGCCTGCGCTTTCCTGGAGCTCTGAGCGGCGCCGGGGGACAGGTTATTGGCTTCGGAATCTGGTGCTCCTTTGCCTCCGGAGTGGAGAAAGCAGGATCAGCAGCAGCGGCGGCCGGAGTCGGCGAGAGGTTCATTTCTTCCGCCTCGTCGACGAGCTTGTCGTCGTTGTCGGCGTCGGTGGAGATCATCGGATACGGAACTTGAAATGTCGTATTGGTGAATGCAAAATAGTTGGGCCATCTTATCACTTGTTCATCTCGTTACCAAAACGTTGGGCTGACATAAAACTAATAATGGCAGGCCCAATAGACGATTCAACTGCCTTTACAGCCTTACTATATATGCCATTTTTTTTTGTCAAAAGATACCATATATTAATGGAAACAAAGAGATAGTTACATCCTGGATAGTAGTCAGGTCCTGAAATCAAAAGAACGATTTCCAGACGGGTACAAAGAGAAGACCTTTCTAGCTACCGAATGAGCTACCCTATTGTTCTCCCGACCTACAAACCGCACACTAAACCCCGGATGGGCACGAAAATACTGACAAATCTCTTCCAGGATTGCCCCCAAGTGACTGTCGCTCATATCAGCTTGATTAATCTTGTCAATAATGACCTTCGCATCCCCCTCGAACCGAACTCCAGACAAGTCGTACTCTAGACACCAGATGATAGCCTCCCGAAGCACAAGCAACTCCACTACCAATGGTTCATCAATTTGCGCAAACTGCACACCTTTAGCCCGAATGAGCGTCCACCCTGGATCGAAAAGAACCATCCCACCAGCCGAGTGGGACCCCCTCCTAGTGGCCCCATCCCACATACACACCAACCGAGAGTCAGCCACTTGGGTCTCTGGTTAAACGTCCGGACAGGTTATCCTCGGCGGTCGGTCGACTGGCAAACCCACCCATTCCTCATACTGTTGGTGAAATTGGCGCATTAAAGCCGGAATCCCAAACTGTTTGCCTTCAAAGACAACCCAGTTCCGCGACCGCCAGATCAGCCAAAGGGTGGCAACCACAGCCATAAACCACGTCGGGTGATGGACAAGGGCGAGCAGCCGCTTGAGAAACAACGGAAATGTGTGCCGAGGCAAACCTTTCCCCAAATAGTTCAAACCTGAGTAGTCCCAGAGAGCCCTCGCAACCGGGCAGTAAAGAAACATGTGCTCCATCGTTTCAGGACCATCCCAGCAAACCGGGCAACGGGGCAACACAGGAACCTTCTTTTAAATGAGAGCCTCAGTGGTCGGCAAAGCCCGATGAAGAATTTGCCAGACAAAGACTTTCAGCTTAGGAGGATCTTTGCTTCCCACAGCCGGATCCAGCTTTGCCTATCCATCCAACTAACCGAGGCCCACCACCCACCCCCCCCCCCTCCTATCCAGCTCAACTGTCAAATGATAAGCCGTCTTAACCGAGAACACCCCGTCAGGAGTATTATGCCAGATCAGCTTATCCTCAACATTCCTCCTCGGAAGGGGGATAGCCAAAATGGCTCGACAGGTAGACGGATCAAACCATTGACTAAGCTTATCTTCCGCCCAACGCCCTTCCCCTTTCCTAATCACCTCCGCCACCAAGGGATCCCTCCCATCTGATAGGACCCTGGGATTGTAGCAAGGGGGATCCAGCTGAAGTCCTGGGATCCAGTTAGAGTGGATAAGGGAGGCTGATCGGCCATTACCGATTTGCCATCTTAACCCCTTCTCCAACAACTAGCGCCAAACAGAATGCTCTGCCAACCCCAAGAAGGGCGTGAACGAGTTGTCGCCATCATAAAAGTTCCCTGAGAAAAGTACTTCCCTTTATACACTTGTGCAAGGAGGGACTGAGGTTCGTTGAGAATACGCCAGCCTATCTTAGCCAATAGGGCCTGGTTAAAAATGCTCAAACCGACGAAATCTCATACCCCCATCATGCTTACTCCGGCAAAGATTACGCCAGGACACCCACCGAATCCTAGGATGGCCCTCCTCAGCTCCCCACCAGAACCGGGCCACGTGCTTGTCCAACAAATGACAAAGAGAGAGAGGCAACCGGAAACACGACATCACATGCAGGGGCAAGGCCAAAGCTATTGACTTAATTAACGTCTCCTTTGCCGCCCAGGACAATGTCTTTTGCTTCCACCCCTGCACACGCGCCAGTAGTTTTTCTTCTAGATACCGGAAAGTGGCCATTTTGGAGCGGGCAATCAAAGTGGGTAACCCCAGATACTTATCATGGACCCCTACTGCACCGACCCCTAAAATCGCTGCCAAAAACTCTTGATCAGGTAAGGCAACATTCTTACTAAAGCAGACTACCGACTTTTCCAGATTAACCCGCTGCCCACTCAGCTCTTCATACTCATCAGCACCACAATCAAATTTTCACACTCCTGAAGAGAACCTCGCAGGAATAAATAGGAATCATCCGCGAAAAACAAATGCGAAATCCTAGGAGCACGCGACGCCACTTTCACCCCCTCCAACTTCTTTTCCGAGATCGCCTTCCGAAGAAGTGCCGCAAACCCCTCCGTGCAAAGCACAAACAAAAGAGGAGATAACGGGTCTCCCTGTCTGAGTCCCCGAGAGGAGCTGAAAAAGCCAGAGGGAGTACCATTCATTAGAACCGAAAAAGAAGCGGACCTGAGACATTCATATATCCATCCTCGCCAAACCGAGTTAAAACCCATTTTATCCAAAACTGCCAGAAGAAAGGGTCATTCAACTCTATCATAGGCCTTTTCCCTGTCAACCTTTAGAGCCATGTACCCCTTCTTCCCCTGTTTCTTTATTTTTTTATAATGCATTAACTCATGCCCGAGAAGGATGTTATCAATGATTTGCCGGTCTCTTATAAACGCATTCTGGCCTTCAGAAACGATCTGAGGAAGCAGACCAGCAAGCCGTTCAGCCATGATCTTGGTTATTATTTTGTAAACGAATTGACATAGACTGATCGGACGCAGCTGGCGAACTGTGTCCACAGATTCCACTTTAGGAATCAACGTTAGCCAAGTGTGATTAAAACTTCGCAGCATTCGACTAGTTGAAAAGAAAGAACAAACTGCATCAATCACCGAGGTGCCCACAATATCCCAGAATGCCTTGAAGAATTTGCCAGTAAAGCCATCAGACCCCGGAGCCTGCTTCGACCCCATTGAAAAGACCGTTCGCCGAACCTCATCAGGCAAAACCTCCGCCGTCAACCTCGCATTCATTTGCGGAGTAACGGTACGGGAAATGGGGAGACTCGCCACCCTATCAGCCATATTGGGAACCTGGGACTCCGAAGTAAGCAGAGCTTGGTAAAAGTTGGTAGCAATCCCAGCCTTCCCACTTTCCTCAGTAACCCACTCGCCCTCATCATTCCGGAGCCCAGAGACAAAATTCCTCTTCCGCCGAGTGCGAGCGACCGTATGGAAATAAGTAGAGTTTTGGTCCCCTTTTTTTAACCATCGGACTCTGGACCTTTGCTGCCAGTATAACTCTTCTGCGTCCCACTGACGAGTCAACTCCGTTTCCAGTGATCTGATCTCATCCCAATTGATCGGATGGATTGACTTGACCCGGTCAATCTCAGCCTGGAGAGTCTTTATATTCCGCAAAGAGTTCGTAGTGCCAGCTCTACTCCAATCATAGAGCAAGTGACGGAGTTTCTTGAGGCGCTCCCAAAGTCGAAACATAAGGGTACCTTGTATATCCTCCTGCCAGACATAATGGACCATAGCCCTAACCTCTGGGTTGTCTGCCCAACGAGCATCAAACCGGAAAAGAGGTCGACTACTCCGAGTATAAGGCTTGTCAGAAAGAAGTAGGGCACGATGATCTGACCCCTGGTCCGTGAAATGTTTGACCAAAGTCTCAGGATAAGTATCTATCCAGGATTGGGAACAAAGAGCCCTATCCAGACGTTCACGAATGCACGCCGCCATACGCTTATTGGTCCAAGTAAACTGATCACCTTGGAAGCCAAGGTCATGGAGTCCCAAATCATGAAAAAAATCGCGAAGGCTAATGGCCTGCGCCGCATTCCAAGCACGACCCCATCCTTACTATATATGCCATGAAAGTAAGAAACTAATAAAATTTCATCATCCTTACTTTATACCGTAAAAAAAATATTTGTTAAACAACATACTCAAAATTAGTTAAAGGAAAGTTTTCGTCCCTCAAGTTTTCATATGACTTAATAACCAATAAAATATTGATTTTAAATAAATTAAAAAATCTAAATAATTGGTGTTTAGAAATTGTGTTCTTTTAATCTCATCTTTAAGGAGTTTAGACCATCTACAATGGGGTGCCAAAAATTAGTGCCAAATTTGGCACTCAATAGAGTGCTTTTGCTCTAATGGAGTAGAGCCAAATGCCATAGTGCTACATTTGTGATTTTTTTATGTGTTAGTTTATTGTACATTTCATTGCTTTATTTTTATAATTTTGTAATTGTTTTTATATAGTTAGTCATAATTAATTAAACCAAACATTTTGATATAATTTTTTTTAATTTGATATGTTTTTTCCGATGATAAATATGATGTCATCAAAGACGAAAATACAATGGTTGGTGGCAATGACCACAGATTTATCACATGTTCGTCTGAATGAGTTGTGCCGTCAACTATTCATCCAACTTTAAATATAATGTCTTGTTCCATCAATTGTTCATCCAACTTTAGTAAGAGTGAGTTGTGTCATCAACTGTTCATGTAACTTTAAACATGACTGAGTTGTTCCATCAACTATGCATCCAGCTTTAATCATCCAACTTTAATCACATTGTTGCAGAAGGAATCTTTTCATGTTCCTATAAATGAAGGCTTCACTTGGTCATTCACCATTCAACCTTCTTCACATTATCTCAACTTCCCACTTCTTTCTACACACCAACGATTCCTTCTGTAACATGAGTTCCCCTGGTAGAGAAGCTGATGACATGGAATGGGAAGAGGAGCGTCGACGACATCGTCAACGTCAACAAGTGATGATGATGTATGGAGGTATGATGCACACATCCGCTTGATGTAAGATTATTTCAACCCAAGTCCAACTTATGATGCTAGGTTGTTCAGAAGGCGATATTGGATGCCCCTTCCTTATTCAACCGAATCATGAAAGATGTTGTTCAACACAACTCCTACTTCAATTGGAGCTACGATGTTGTAGGTCATTCCTCATTTTCACCACATCAGAAGCTTACTAGTTCCTTGCGAATGCTTGCTTATGGATGCTCGGCTGACTTTATAGATGAGTATTGTCGAATGGCCCAGACCACCACACTAGAGTGCCTGAGGAAATTCGGCTCCTCCATCATCAACATCTACAGCCATGAGTACTTACGAGCACCAAATGAGGAAGATCTTCGCCGCCTTCTTCAACACAGCAATCGACGTGGCTTCCCGGGTATGATTGGCTCCATTGACTGCATGCACTGGGAGTGGAAAAATTGTCCAACTGGGTGGGCGGGTCAATATAGTGGATACAAGGGTAAACCAACCATTGTCCTTAAAGCTGTGGCGTCATACGACACATGGATTTGGCATGCCTTCTTTGGAAATCCTGGATCACACAACGACATAAGCACTCTTGGAGTATCCCCACTTTTCGATAGAGCAGTCAATGGACAACTCCCAAAAGTTAAGTATACAGTTAATGGTCACACTTACGATCAATGTTATTACTTAGCTGATGGGATTTATCCGGAATGGTCTACATTTGTGAAGACTATTACTGCCCCCAATAACCAGAAGAAGTTGTTTTCAAAATGCCAAGAGGCATACTGTAAAGATGTTGAGAGAGAGCCTTCGGCATACTTCAAGAAAGATGGGCCATTGTCAAAGGATCGAGTCGTGTGTGGGATGTGCAGACAATGGGAGAAATTATGCTAACATGTATTATTCTGCACAACATGATAGTGGTAGACCAACGGAACAACGGGGAAGATGCACTAGCTATGATGGGTCAATACGATACTCATTCAGATTTCACAGTGGATCCACCGGATCATGATATGCCGACACTCATGTCTTACATGGCAAGTCATGGCAGAATCCGTGATCGTCAAGGAAATCACTCATTGAGAGATGATTTGGTTGAGCATCAGTGGGCAAAAGAAGGCGGAGGAGAGTAGGAATATGTTGTGTCTTAAGTTTAATGAATGTGCTTTAATTTCTTTTTATGTAGTGTTTCAAATTTAGTTTTTATCCTTTGAGTATTTTGACTATTGTATTTTCTTGTCTTTTGAGCTCAAAAGTGCAATGCTCTAATAAATAAAGTAGTTCCATTAATAATTTCAAAATACACACCAAAATGAAGCATACATCAAACCAACAATTCAAAGTACTTAAACATTAACATAAACATTAAACAACAGACCATACTTAAAGATAAAAAATCAACAATATAACATACATAAACCCGAAGACTCTCGAGTGGCATGGAATGGGGCTATATGATTCGTCCCCTAGGCTTGAAGTTGGATACTCTTGGTAAGAGGCAATAATGTCATCCTTCTGCCTTTGGTACCATGCTCTATTTTGAGTGCTCATTTAAGATAAGTCCATATTCATTATCTTCTCCTCGTGCATAATCTTTTCCCTTGCTTCCTTTGCCTTCTCGCGTTCCTCCCTCGCCTTTTCTCGTGCCTCCCTCAACTCAGCAATTGCATCATGTCTTGCATTACTTGTCGCCATATCCTCCATAATCTTTTGGAAAGCCTCCATTGTAGAATTTCCATCCGCACCTCCTCTTTTGTTCTTCTTTTGCTTATCTCTACCTTCGGGACGACGGATCACATAAGGATGACCACTTGCTTGAACTCCAGATGGCATGGATGATGAAAATCCATCCATTGGTGGAATGTCTTATACGGGGGCATGGAATTGTTCCGTGTATTTTGGACACTTTTCAAGTATTTCCCAACATGATGTGAATTCGAAATCTGTTTTGGTTTGAGCTCTGAATAGAGCATGAGCATGAACAAGCTAGACAAGTAGTTCAAAAAAATGTAAGTAATTATAAACTTGATTAAATAAAAAGTTTAGAATAAACGTAATAAATATAAGAATTTTACTTACCACGTCGCTTTGATTGGATCCGCTCATTGGTGATGCATTTGCTCTCTTCAACACTCCATTCCACACCGTACAATGACGGTTAATCTTCTGCCATCTTGATTTCACCCCACTATCGGAATGATTAATTCCCGTGCCTTCATTGTTGAATGCGGCTGTAATTCGAGCAATAAACATCGAATTAGATTGATAACGACCGATCGCACTATCCTCCGATATTAGAATCCAAAGTCTGGCTAATTTCTTATCTTCATCATCGGTCCAACTGGGTTGACGAGTAGCCATGACGAGAAGTTGGAGAGGAAGAGAATTGCAGAGAGAAAGAGAAATATAGTGAGAGATTCATATTTGATGAGAGGGAGAGGAAAATGTAGTTGTGGTGTAATTAGAAGTGAAGTATGTGGTGATGTTTATAGAGAAAATTTGAAAAATATAGCTGTTGGGACAAAAAATAGCTGTTGGAGGAGAAAATAGCCGTTGGGGAGAAATTGGTGACTAGTGGAGAAATTTTCCAGGGGCTGATTTGTAGTTTGCCATCATAAAAAAAGGAAGGAAGGGACGCGCGCGTGGGAAGCAGGCGGCCCCTTCCCCCTTCCCATCCCCGCGCATTTCCTTCTCTCCATCTCCCTGCAATGACAACTTTCACTTTTAGCACTTTTTGTTTTTCGTGAGCCAAATTTGGCTCCCAAAACCTTAGAATTTAACAATTTGACTCTTTAGCTTTTGCCATTGCACCCCAAAAGTGCCAAAATTTGGCACTTTAACTCTTGCATTGTAGATGGTCTTATGATGCCAAATCTCTGTAAATTGACATGGTTAATAGTAGAATGTGAACAAGATAGAGCAAGAGAATCATAATCGTTGAGCGACTTTCTAAAGTTAACGAAACAACCAAATGAATTGATTACACAAAATGAGTAAAGGCCTTAGAATTTCTAAGATTAATCAGTTTGAGTAGCGCATGAAACAATAGAAGAGGGTTTCAAAAGAATGAAATTGAACAATCGATTTGAACAGGATACCCAACATAGAACATGGCATGAATTATTTCAACCTATAATACTTAGAAGAGAGTTTCAAGGAATAGTTGAATAATTGATATTGTATTCTAGTCAAGCAATAAATAAATCGGTTGGTAAGCAATAAAAATTACTAATAACATTTACTTCACCTTGCATTGGTTGAGACTTTTGGCTAATCCGCAATTAAAAAAAAAAACTATTTACCTTTCCAAGTGTTCACTTCTATTGTTCTCTTTGTTTGTCATGTTTGTTTTGCTTGAAATGTATGATATTAGTGTTCTTATATAGTCCTTGATCTTTAAAACATAAGAGGAAGTGAGATTTGTTACATCCAACCTAAAACTTAAAACTTTATATGTATTCTACCGTGTTTATTAGTCCATGATTATGACTTGAAGACCATAAACTAAGAAGTTCGATATTAACAGTAGGAAAGCATTGAAACACATCCAATAAAACAATGTAGATCGACTCATAAATATAAATATATAGGAAAGAAAATGGTAAGATACGATCTGAAAGAAAAAGATAAAATCTTACTCAAGCATAATGAACATGTAACTTTCCTCACATGCATACACGACAACAACTAAGTTTTTGATTCGATATGCTTCCTTCAAATTTCTCTTATTAAGACACAGATACGCCCAAAAAGGCAAAGCAATATATGAATATAACAACACCAAGTATGTTTATATGAGGACTACAAAGAAGAAAAAAACAAAATTTCTACCTATCAATCTTCGTTAAAAATTAATTTGATGGCAAAAGTTTCCAAATAATAGTTTGTTCAGTATAAATATCAGCAAAAATAAATAAATAAAAGTATCAAATCGCTTCCTTATTGTTTCATCAATTCCAGAAATCATAATTATGACATTCTGTTGCCATGAGTATATCAGCTATGCAAGAACGAGAAGACCAAATATGCTGAGGTTGTTTAGATGAATTCCCATTGGTACATTGTGAAGTTGAACAAATAATGCATTACTCTTATACAACAACACGCCTCTTACTCGACCATTGATTTCACTCGAATCTTTCTTTTGTTTGCTAATTTCTTCTCTATCCCAAGCATAATTGGATAGATCTACTGGAGGAAAATGGAATTAGAAGAGGGAAGGTAAGAATAAAGAATGAGAGACAAAGGAAGTGTAGGGGCCGACAGTGACAAATTGAAGAATAAGATGACGAAATACTGAATGTTCTATTCCTTTTTTAAAAGAAATAATAATAGAAGGTTGTCATTAATCACAATACTTTTTACTAATTATCGCTCTAACTTTTATAAAATACCTTCATGCCCTTTCTTACATTGGATCACTTACTCATTCTTCCTTCCCCATACACTCTTTTCTTCCTTCACAAAAACTTGAACCACATCAAGACTCAAATTTTCAAAACTTTACTATGAGCTTCATCAATTTCTAACGATGCAAATATCAACTAAAATATTTAAGACGTAAGTTCTCAAGAGCAAACCCATCTCCTGCAACTCAGAATCAAGATGTGTAGCATGGTATTAGGGGTGTACTGTGTACATGGGTCTGGTAGTTCGAGTTTGAGCCATTTAAGTCACCTGCTGTATAAACTACGGTTTGAACAATGTCAAACCCAAACCCACCCACTAATATAAAAAATATAAAAAACTTTGTCGGTTTGTTTCGCGTTGGGTCTGTTTAATTTGGACAATGCATCCATACAAAATCAAATTAATTTGGATTTGATAGGTAGACATCTTCCTTACATCGTTCATATTAGAACACATAAAGGAGACTGTAAACATCAATTGTTGTTTGGATCTCAAAAAGCTGGCAATTTTAGCAGCCAATACTAAAAGAGTTCAATACTCTTCCATCATCAAAAAAATGTTGCATTTACAAAAGTACATGATATCTTCTACTGTCCTCAATTAAGCTATACAGCAGCATCTTCACTGAAGCTTTACAGCTGCCGCAATGTTAATGTACAAAAGAGCTCCTACAAAATTGTGTAAAGCAACATATATATTAGTATTAGTAAATGAATGAACTTGAATAAAAGTTCTGTGAAATCAAGCCATCTAATCACCATTTACGATTTAGACATCAATAATAAGTCCATCATCTTCAGTCAATATGAATGGACTTGAATCCAAGAAATATGGCAGAAAAAGGAAATGGTTAGCTACTTCAAAATGAAAAGTAGTCCATGCAATGAAATAACACAAAAAAAAATCAGCACATTACCATTAGCTTGATCTTCATTTGGATTGGGAAGAGCTTCAAGTGGATCAGCCTCCAAGTCATTTGTAAGTGGCTTTGAAAGCAACCAATTTTGAGTACACACAAGTGCCTCAACCATTCTTGGAGCAAGACTTGATAGGTGCATAACCATGGATCGTGCATCATATCCGGAGCCGATCCTTCAGCGGCGTTGCTATTCTTTCGGTTTTGCCAGTCTACGGTTGTAAGAGATGATTGTGCATCGTTTTTTCTCGTTCTTTTGGCGCATTACAGGATTCCGCATTAGAGGATTCCAGCAACAACTTCATTCTTGAGAGAAACGTTCTTTTATTGGTTTTACGCATTATTTTTTTTATCGAAAGGACAACCCGGATGGAGATTATTTATTTTTGCAGGTCGTCTCCTTTGGAGGATTTGGAGAACAGATGTGGTGTTTATCTTGATCGCCAACAAATAATGGTGGAGACTGTAGCTGCTCAATGGCGATTTCAGGTCACGGAGGCGAATCATGCTCTTCTTCAACGGCCACTAGCTCAGGATTTTCGTGCCTCTCCAAGCCTCGACGTCTTCCCATCTTTCCACATCATCTTCGACCCAATCTGTGGCTTATTTCGATGCAGAAACAAGTCGCTAAGATTATGGCGGATCAACATTTGCTTTACAGGATGCTGCTGGCAAATAACTTGATCATTCGTGCAACAAGATATGAGGGGACCTTGGATGCCTACATTTTGGCCAGGACGAGACTGAGGCCTAAAACTGGATGCTATACCACAAACGATCAAAAACTGATGTTGCTCCGACTTCAAAGATACCACATTTATCAGCAACTAGAGGCAGAGGGTAGTACTAAGTAGAACCTCAAACCAAATGGAGCACATAATTAATGTATGATCAAAATACCATAACATCTTAGGGCTCATTAACAAACTGAAAATTCACCAACATCAGCAAAATGCACGATTCACTTCTATGACAAATATCTCAAAACATAGTCTCCAAAAATCCCTTGTTCCCTACCAAGTGAACAAAAAACAGGCCTCCTTTAATACTCTTGACCCAAACGATTCAGCGGCCAATGCCCCAAACTCGAATCACACCGTCGGTGTATCCACTGAACAAGGTGCTTCCATCTGCACTCCAGTTCAAGCATGTGCAATGGATGTTCTGCGATCAAACAATCAATGAATTTGGGTTATAACACAGAAAACATTACAAAGCATTTAGATCACAACAAAAAAAGAAGGAACGATTGAAAAGGAATCGTGATGGCAAAAGCTAGGTAACCAAACAACTTCAAACGAGGATATAGCACGAGAAAGCAAGCTACGAATCTCAAACAAAATTGCTATCATACAAAACATTCTGAAAGAGATAAAAGACCGACCAGCAAATCCGGCCCCCTACTTATATCATACTATCTATAACCAACTAAAATCATCAGATAGAGCAACTTGATCCAGCTAAATGATTTCTGAGAAAACTTTATAATTTTTTATGAATGTGTAAACAGCAAGACAACGAGCAAAAGAGCCAAGCAAAGGTGGCTATCATTGAACAGACAACCAACAGGAAGAACACATCAATGTGTTCAATAAAAGAATAACCACATGACTAAAACACAAGAGAATAGCCTCATACAGCACAAGCACAAACGGATAACTAGCAGAACAATCAATTAAACAAGCCCCATATACGAAATGTTAGCATACCACAGTAACTAATTCAAACCCTATAATTATCAGGGACTTTCGAGCCGACACTATCATAATTCTAGGCTGCTTGAAACATCAATAATATCAAGGCTAAAAGAAAGTGCAAATATACCTTAAGAGTGTTGGGTGCAGCACCCTCAGATTTCTCAGCCTCGGCCTTAAGGTCAACCTTCAAGTCCTCAACAATCGACTTGCTCTCCAAATCCCAGATCTTAATGCTGTTCTCAGTGGCAGCACACAGCCAGTACCTGTTGGGACTGAAGCAGAGCGCATGAATCACAGCACCGGCATCCAAACTGTAAAGCCTCTTACCCTCTGCCAAATCCCAGAGCAAAATCACACCGTCTTTCCCTCCACTCGCGCACAACGAGCCATCAGGGGAAACAGCAACAGTGTTCACATAGCCACCATGGCCAGGCAAGGTGTTTCTCAGCTTGCAGTTGGTCAAATTCCAGACCTTCACGGTACGATCCCAGGACGCGGACACAATAGTGGGCTGGAGAGTGTTCGGGCTGAAACGAACGCAGCTTACCCAATCGGAGTGCGCCTCGCCGTCCTGGATGGTGTACTTGCACTCGCCGAGCGTGTTCCACAGCTTGATGGTCTTGTCACGGGAGGCGGACACGATCTGACGGTTGTCGATCGAGAAGGCGACGGAGAGCACGTCCTTGGTGTGCCCGACGAAGCGACGGGCGGAGACACCGGCTGCGAGATCCCAGAGCCGGAGCTCACCGTCCCAGGAACCGGACAGAGCGAACTGGCCGTCGGATGAGAGGACGACGTCCTGAACGAAATGGGAGTGACCGGTGAGGCGACGGCGGGGGACACCGTAGGTCTTCTCGACCTTGGTGAGATCCCAGACGATGAGGGATTTGTCACGGGAGGAGGTGACGATCATGTCGGAGTTATCGATGGGTGTGGCGATGGCGGTAACATGGTCGGTGTGGGCACGCATGGTGCCGCGGAGATAGAGTGTTTCGCCAGACATGGTACCGGCGGCGGATTCTGGGCAGGGCTAGGGTTTGGAGGAAGATAGAGATACGGAGGGGGCGCGCGAGAGGCAGAGTGTGAGCTGTGAGAGAAGGGGAAAAGAGCAGAAATGTTCTACTTATAGTCCCGGGTGTTTAACGTGACTAGGGTTTTGAGGAGTGTCGAATGGGCCGGCAGAAGGGTTTAATGGGTCTAACAGGCTTGCTACCCATTCGCCAGTTATATTATGAACACGGCAAATCCATGGGCCTGGCCTTGTCGCCTTATGGGTCCTTGTTTGGGCTCCTCAATTCGTTAGTAGTGGGTGTCATTGGATCCAGACAATCTCCAGGATCCAGAAATGAGCATGTCACCTGAAATTAGAGAACAAATGCGATCGAAGAAAGACAGTTGGGCCACGTTACTAGTTGAGAACGAAAACCAATTTCTCTCTAGAACGTATGGGCAACAGGACAATGAAAAAAAGATGTACAATTGATTTATCTTTCATGTTAAAAGTGGGGCAAACCGGAATCATGTCAACTCCACGAATGGCTAGCGCATCCCTAGCTGGTAAAATGCGGTGAAGACTTTGCCAAAGAAATAAAATATAACTTTAGAGGCACCTAAAGATTCCACAACCATTTCCAAATATGATGGTCAATGGCTCAATGCACACAATCTAGTTTAAGATATATCTGAAGCTAATATTTCATACATATCAATCTCATCAGCGGCGGATCCAGGACATAAGAGAGCACTGGGTCGTATTTGAATAGAATATTAGATACCATAAACAAAAATATATAATAATATAGTTTTCATTACAACGCCAATTATACAAGAAGGTTTTTTAATTTAGCAAATTCATCAATAATATAATCTCCATCCATACTGATAATATACTCTTTTTCAAAGAAAATAGCTAAGTAATCAACGAGAAATTGATCGCTCATTTTGTTGCACAAATCAATATTCATGTTCCATTGCTGAAAATATTCTCTTCATGGTAGTTGTTGAAACGGCTAGGTCAACACTAGACAAATCAACCGACAAATCAATTTGTATTATGTGTCCATCCCTATTTCCTCCAGCTTCTCTAATAATTTTGCAAGAGAAGAAACTTCATCTTCCTCACATGAGAGTGCATTCTCCAAAGAATGCATCTCATAGCCTTCAAAGTCTCGAGGCTAAACTCTTGAGCAAGTTTGTAAATATTTTCTTCATCAAAACACCAGAAAGAACAGTTAGAATCTAGTGCCCCACTCAATTGAGGCAATCTAAATGATGACTCAGCAAGTTTGTAAATATTTTCTTAATCAAAAGAATGGAAAGAAAACCAGCTCGACGGGCTGGCAGAGAAATCCATTTTAGGTCTTCTCGTCTCCTCGTTCTTGTTTTGTTTTGGGGGATTGGGAATTTTTTTGAATTTTGCAAGGAAGGGTGTGCTATAGTTTAGAGTTTTGTATTTTATTTTAATGAAACTTTACACTTTTAGGTTTTCATGTCATTTTTCAAATAAAATCATTGGGGCTATAGAAAATTTAGTATAAATTTAGAGTAATAGTTTGGATATGTTCATCTGAACAATTTTCCTAGTTACACAAAATCCTATTATCAAATAAAACTAGACAGAATTTGAAATAGCACTGTGACAAATACCTAAATCAAAAAATTTTATAACCACTAAACTAACTCTGGATCCGGAGGAGGGCTGGGCCGGGGCCTGGGTTGGCCCAGCCCTGGATCCGCCACTGAATCTCATACTAGGTTTGTTATCATGACAATTAGGGTTGGGAAACGACATGGTTTGGTTCAAACTAAATCATAAATACATTTTATAGTCTAGATCGAGAATCTGAAGTATAGACCAGAGATCAGAAGCAACGTTTTTAGCGCGCTTTGGCAAGCGCTTAGCTTCTGCTAGCGACGGGGCGGCAAGGCCATTAAGTTAAATTGGAAAACCTAAACCAAGAAGGTACGAACGAAGTGACGGGCCCCTTTAGCAAATACTACATGGTCTAAATCAGAACATGCCTATGCAGTTAGGAAAAAATTCAAAAGTACCATTGTTTAAAAAAAATTCAAAAATACCACCCAACCCAAAAATCTAAAAATACCACCTTTTTCAAAAACCGCCACCCCATCTTGCGGTTTACACGAAAACCGCTAGGCGGGGCACGGTTTCCTATGCAAACCGCTGGGCTAAGGGGCGGTTATAAAAACCTATAAAAACCGCTGGGTGGGGTGGGGTGGTGGTTTTGGGCCAAACCGCCACCCCACCCAGCGGTTTGGTCCAATTTTTTTTTTCGATCAACTCCTAACTTCGGCCGAAACTTCAAACGAACGTAACTTTGCACTCGGGTATCCGATCGTAGCGATTTTTTTTTTTTTTGAATCCGAATAACTATTCCCGACAGCCGTAGGCGGTTTGGTCCCGCCTTCGTCTCGAAAAAAATCAGTTGCTACCTCGAACGAGCCTTTTTTTATTTCGTCAAACTTTGGGCGGCCTTAACTTTGTGCTCCAAAATCCGATCGTCATGAATTTTTTTTTTATTCTGCATAACTTTTCAAGATCTACAACTTTTAAGATAATCATAATTTTGAAATGTACATGGATTTGTGAAAAGTAAAGGTTAAGTTATTCCCAAGGTCCCGTATATCCACAACTAATTCCTGTTTTGAAAATTTCATCCTAGTAAAAGTTGTAGATCTCGAAAAGTTATTCGGATTTAAAAAAATCGCTACGATCGGATACCCGAGTGCAAAGTTACGTTCGTTTGAAGTTTCGGCCGAAGTTAGGAGTTGATCGAGAAAAAAAAAATTGGACCAAACCGCTGGGTGGAGTGGCGGTTTAGGCCTGCGGTTTTCTATGCAAACCGCTGGGCTAAGGTGCGGTTATAAAAGCCTATAAAAACCACTGGGTGGGGGGCGGTTTTGACCGCCCCCCACCCAGTGGTTTTTATAGGCTTTTATAACCGCCCCTTAGCCCAGCGGTTTGCATAGAAAACCGCACCCCCACCCAACGGTTTTCGTGTAAACCACAGGGTGGGGTGGCGATTTTTGAAAAATGGTGGTATTTTTGGAATTTTTTGTGATTGGGTGGTATTTTTGGAATTCTTTCTTTAAATAGTGATATTTCTGAAAAAAGTCCATGCAGTTAAGTCTTGTATGGTCTGAACTATGTAAAGCACATTAGGAGAAAATTGAATAGTTTGTTTAGCACACACAAAAATCGAACCAATCGCCGAGAAAAATCTAGTTTTCTTTCCTTAAAACATAAATCCAACATGTTTGAATTTTTTTAATAAAACATATGTATTTTGGATTTTTTTTTAAAAACATGTATATTTTACAAAAAAATTCATCATTTTCAATCGCATCCGCACTCACTCTCTCCTACTCTTTGCACTATCTCTCCCTCTTTTTTTTAGAGAAATATCTCTCCCTAATTGATTGGCCACTATTATGTGTTCATTTGAGGCTCTGCATTTGGTCGTGTGTTGGATTGGCAAGATAAGAATAAGATTGTATTACTAATTATATTGCCCGTAGAGTGTTCCACATTAGCAGTATTGAATGCAAATGAAAGAACCGCCGTTGAAATGCAGTGAGAGCAGAATCTGAATAAGAACGAACTAATCATGCTTCCGGGGAAGTCCCATTTGAATCCTCGTCGGTCGCTGCAATCCAAAAACCAGCTGTTTAATTTCAAACCCAATTATTGCCTTTGCATGGCAGGAAGGAAGCACTGAGTGCGGATAAGATTGGTCATCTCACATCTCTGCTCATAATCTCCAAAACCAGAGACAAAAAACAAAAGCAGGGGATTCACCATCATTGCATAAAATGTTTGTTCTTTGCCCCAATCAAAACTAAAACAGGGATGTATTGTTGCACAAAACCGTGAAACCAATAAGACCAATGGGAAACAAAGACAACCAAAGAAAATGGGGCCAGCCATATCGCTCGCTGATGAGATGAGGGAAACGACAAGGATGGGGGAAGATAAGGGGGGAGAGAAAAATCAGCTGGGAATCTGTTTGGAGATACTTTACAGATTAAATGCAGCTGCAAAATTTTTGTAGAAACCCAGAAGGAAAAGGGGGACCAATAAGGAAACGAGTGGAGGAGGAGGCGGCTAGCTGGCTGAGTGGCGTGGCAGCGAGCAAAGAGAGAAAGAGCGCTTGCAAGTGTAAAAACAGGGGAAAGAGGATGGAAGAAGAAGAGAGGCTTTTTCCCTTTCATTGAAACTTACGTTGCATTGCCAATCAAACAAAAACTGACGCCCCCAGGCCATCATCATCTCCAATCATGTTTCAGCCACATATACTATACGTATCCTCCTTCGCCCTCTCCTTGCTCTGATGTTGGAAACCCTTCTCTAGGGTTCCTAACAAACGTGTTTGTGAGATAAGGAATTGATAAATAATTTGAGGTTTAGGGATTGAGAGAGAGAATTAGAATAGAATTAGTGAACAATTGAGAATTGGGATAGGAAGAACAGAAGAGGAAATTGGAGATTGAGAAGAAGAAGAATGGTCGTTGGTCTTAAAATAAGTGACGAAATTGGGAAAAGAAAGATTAGGGTTTTGAGAGCTTTCCAAGTAGGTGTCCAAGAAAATCCGAGATTCAATGGGATTTCTCAAAAAAAAAAAAAAGGGAGATAGAATTTTCTTAATTTGTCTGACCTGTCTGTTTTATAGCCAAAGGAAGATGAGCCTAGAAGTTGAAGAAGTCTTAAATAGCCAAGCGTTATAAGAACAAGTGTATCCTCCATAGTTGAAACTACATTTGCATAAAAAAAAAAAATTGCCAACCTTCTCGTCTAGAAGTCTTTACTTTACTAAGTAAGTAAGCCCCAATGAAGAAAGGAAGCTTCATGTTACTCCTCCCAAGAGACATGTCAGGGCCGGGGCATCCCAATTCGATGAAACGGGTAAATAGAGTAAGAGTAATGGAAAAAGGCAAATAAGAAACAAAAAAGCCGAATTTTTCTGGATACTTTTTTTTATTAATAATGAAGTAAAACCCAATGTACATGTTTATAATAAAAGACACCTAAATCCTAATCCTACTCGACAATACTCGACCATCCAACCCTAGCAAAATCATAATAATTATTATAATAGTATTAAAGCAGATTTCTAACATATGTCTTCGCCGAGTTTATGATATTGATTTGTAAAATTTAATACCCATCCCTCCCATTATACATTCTCCTAAACTTGAACAGAGAAAATTCATCGACAAATCGGATGGATTGGTATTAAATTCCTAAGATTTGAGAGATGGTTTAGCACACAAGTCATTACATGGTTTGAAGCATGCTTCTCGTGATAGGTTTGATAATTAAGCTCCCTACCAAGCTTGGGTTTTATTCATTCCTAATATCATCACAATTTCACAATGAACCATAGTTTCTTGTCTTATGCGGCTTCACTTTCCGATGTTGATGATATGATCTCTGTTGTGACTTGTGACTGATCTCTTTTTCACTCAACATGTGATGATTATGGGGGGACATTCTCAATCGATAAATGGTCAATCTACCATTGTAATAGATTATAACAATCAGAAAAAGTCTCGTCTCGGGAGCATTTTGACATAAGAAGTGATAGGCAAATGCAAATTTGCCCCATCTACATGTGCTACTATCATCCCCAGGGACAAGAGAAAGACCCATTTCACATTTTCTTTGACATGAATTATGTGGAACGGTTGAAGTATTCTCTTCAACACTAGCATAAGTTGGATATTCTCAAGGATATGGGTGCCACATTTTATTTTCATTTAGAAAAACCATCAAACAATGAGGAAAAATGTTCATATCATCAAAATTACGTCTAATAATCTAATGCCATAAAAAAATTCTACAACTTTTGCTAAAATGAGTTACTATTATTCAAATATTGTAGCTCAAAATAGTATATAGAAAACACATATCCACCCCACCTAGCCCGTTGCCATCCTAAATTGGAGTAGGCAACATTTTCCGTCATTGGGTGTCTAGCTAAGGCTTTTTATCCTTGAGGCCTTAGATCGAGTTGGAGCATTGAACCCCACTTCTAACTGAAAACAACCCGACGTAACATTGGATATCTAGTTTTTCTGCCACTTCGTAGTTTATCAACTTGTAAATCGAGGTCCAAAATAATAATATTAATCGGACAATCAGTGAAGGTCCCAATCCAGTAGTGGATCATTTTATTCATGGTTTTCGGATTAAAAAAATCGCTATGATCGGATACTCGAGTGCAAAGTTACTTTCGTTTGAAGTTTCGGCCGAAGTTAGGAGTTGATCGGAAAAAAAAATATTGGACCAAACCGCTGGGTGGGGTGGCGGTTTGGCCCAAAACCGCCGCCCCACCCAGCGGTTTTCATAACCGCCCCGTAGCCCAGCGGTTTGCATCGAAAACCTCGCCCCCACCCAGCGGTTTTTGTGTAAACCACAGGGTGGGGTGGCGGTTTTTTAAAAATGGTGGTAATTTTGGAATTTTTTGAGGTTGGGTGGTATTTTTGGATTTTTTTTTAACAGTGCTACTTTTGGATTTTTTTCCCGAATATTTGTCGTACCAAATTTACCATTATTTAGTATTACCGAATATCAGGTGTTTCTTTTATATTAGGATTGTGATTCCTTTTGGAGGGCTATTAAACATTTGGAAGCACGAGAAGGAGATCGGTAGATATCAAAGTATCGAGAAATAACAAAAATTTATAATTAATTAAATATAACTCACAATCTCTGGTGGTCTTTCATCGCTCTGGACAACTTGCAAGCCTCCATCCAACCCAAGATTGGCTTTCCATCTTTGTCACTCTCGTCTATCACTCAATCTCTTGTTATTTTCAGAACTCCAAAAAGTGAAACTCTCATTAGTCGTCTCTCATCCTCTAATTCATTGAATCAAAGATTTCAAATGGCAAGAAATAGATATAACAATTACAACTATGTTATCATACCACTACAGTCAATTAGTATGGTGTTAACCCTTATGATTAGCAAGTTAACTAAGCCCAACAAATCATAATATATAAGTCTTTTATTGTTCTTACTAGTATGGTGCTAAGTGCTAACTCATTATAGTTTAGGTCGATACATATTGAGGAAGCCAATATATATATATATACAAGAAAAAATACCACTTGATAGAGGGAGGTATCATATGCATTAAAACAAAAATAGCTCAGACTGGCGACTATCTATTATCTGCCAAGCCATGAATGGTGGAAACAGGTAAATGACAAAATTTATCGCTCTGCCTTATTCTAGTAAGAGAACTGCATGCACACTAGACCTTCCCAAAGTCATATAAAAGGAAAAGAAAAAGACTTCAAGAGACAGCATTTCCCTCCCATGTTAGTGTTTCCACTTATTCCTGTGACTCCCCCATCTCTTCAACTCCATCACCATCGATCCATATGGCTTCATCGATCGAAAAATCTCAGTTCGGCTCTCGACGAAGAGAAGAAATACCAGATTTGAGTGCAAGAGACTATTGGGGTGTGAGGTCTCAACCAAGCCGTGACAACACCAAGTCCAGCAGAAGGTTCTCAGCTTCCCATATCAGAAGTTTCAGAGAAGAGGCCAATGCCAGGTCTTTCAGATCATCACACCTCACCGTTTCAAGCACTGCTTCCTCTCCAGGCTACCCTTTCAAAGAAGAAATCGACCCATCAACATACTCATTCACCACTGCTCTCAAAGGTTAACTAACACTAATTATGCAAAAAAAGTGCCCACCTTTTTCTTCTTCCTTGTTCCAGCACTAACAAGTCTGAGAAAATGAAAAACGCAGCTCTGCAGACAAGGTCGGGACTCTGCAACAGCTGGGCAGGGGAGTGCTTATCCCCAGACGGGTTTGCTCTGCACTCCAAGTGGAACGAAGCTGAGAAGTACATATGCAACCCTCTCTCAGGACAGGTGCCCATGGAGTGTCTTTCAGCCAAGACACTGAGTGGGAGATCATTCTATAACAAGATTTCTTCTGTGTCTGCCCCTCTTGTTTACTCTTCTTCGTCTACCCATCCGAGGCAAATCCTGGTCAAGCCTGCTGCTGTTGATGGAGCTTCCCAGGGTCATCAGAACCACAATCATGTTACCTCACCGATTCCAGGTTCGATTCTAAGCTCAATGTGAACACTTTGGTTCTCTGTTGTTGTTTCTGAGAGCTGCGATAAGCAAGTAGTTCAGTTTGATTTTTGTTCAGAGAGAAAGACAGAGAGCTGTGGAAGTGGAAGTACTAGAGATATTGGAACACAGAGCACTTCACCACCTGAGGAGCTCAGTTCAACAGAAAGATCATCACCATTGAAAAGAAGTGAAGCCGAAGGTGGAGAAGATTCCCCTAACTGTAAGGCGACTGTTCTGAAAGCTGCAGAAAAGGTAACCACCTTTGAATTAAGTGATTTCACCATCCATCAGCCATTAATTAACAGCTAAGTCAAGACAGGAGTCGATCAACTTATGCATCTACACTTGTCTGTTCGTTTTCCTTTCTTGGCCTAAATTACCTGATCGACATGATTGAGAAATTAGGGGGGGGGGGGGGGGGGGGGGGGGTTGCTAGATGGATACTGTGCCTTCTAAAATGGAGAGGCAATAACAGAATAACTGGGTACCTTCGTTGTGACCTGTGGGGTATATAGGTGTGATGTGTCGTGGCCCTCCCCAAGAACAAATGCCACTGAAGGGAAAGAAAACAAAATATAATTGGTCCCCTCCACCACTCCCAAATTCATAGTCATGATAATTGGTCCCCTTCTCGATATCTAAAAACCAGAGATTGCATGTCCCACAAACATAGAGTTTATGTTAAGCATTTCTAGGCGATTGCAGCTAATCAGATACTCAGGTTACATTATGCATCAATCCCACTTTCTTTCTTCCCTATCTTTCAACCTGTTTTCTCATGCCTCGGTTACAAACCTGTTTCAGCTAAAGATAATAGAAATATCACGAAGAAAGGTAGAAAGAAAGATAGCTTTCTGTGAGTACGTACCTTTAGTTTGCATTTGTTTTTAAGTAGTGCCAACGAAAATGCTTCAGCGGTGCCTCCTATAATGACTTTTTGCTGCTTTTCTTTCTGATTTCCATGGTGTGGAGTTGTCAATGAGAATGCCACATCGCTGTCAAGTGTTTCAGAGGACTCTGCAACCACACCACAACATATATAGGAATCTTAAACTTTTGCTGCACAATTTTCTACATTCACTGCATTTAGAGCCGCCCCGTCACGACCTGAAAATCCCCCATGGCAGTTCCGTGAAATTAGTACAATGATGAGGGTTGAACCCAGTTTACACAACAACATGATAGCCAAAAATACTCAGCCTTTCCATTTTCCTGCATGGCTTTGGTCTTTCAATCCTGGGATGATTTGTATGCCATTCATATTCCTTGCTGCCTTTTTGAGAGGTCCCTCCCTAGTGGACAACCCAAAAATGGGAGGTCCAATGTGCATGATAGTCACTGCTGTGGGTGGGGCAGAGAGAACATGGTACTTCTTCCCGGTCTCCGTTTTCGTCACCCAAAATTAGCTCATATCCAGGAACTCTCAACACCCAAAAGAATGAAAAACAGTTACCCACTTATTCAACTTCCTTTTTCCCCCTTCCAGCTCAAACTAGCACGTCAACTATCGAAAGAGTGCCCCTCCGATAGGCAGTTTGAGTTCCCTTTCAATATCTCATTCACCGTCATAGTTCTCTAGCTCAGACACTAATGCCTGCTGCTTTCATAAACAATGATTAACTGAACCTAACACACGTGGAAGAAGAAGAAGAAGAAGAAAAATTCGACATATTGATGCACCAAATTTGTGGTGTTCTATGTGCAGCCTCAAATGGAAAATGAGTCTTCAAAAACAGAGGTTATATGGAGGTGCAGTACCTACAGCAGCAACAGCAGCCAAGGTGGTTGCCTGTCATGGATGAGAAAAAGGCAAAGAGAGAAACACAAACCAACAAGCAAGAAAAACATATTCCTACGCAAGCTCGAAGGCTGCTGATATCGAAACCCAGATAGGCCAGAGAACTTAGCAGTGCGTAAAGGAACTATGATATTGTTGATGAGCTAATCAGATGGTCTTTATGAAACAGAGTTTCAGTTGTATGGTGACAATGTAGGAAGGGTTTGCGGTTCCATATCTTTTGTGGTTCGATCTTGTAGCTTCAATCAAGCTAAGCTTTGTTGTTTCCTCTGCAAAGAGTGAAATATGAAAATGGGGCTGTTGCCTGTTGCCAGCTTTTGGCTTTTGCTGGTGGTGGTGTATGGAAATTGGAGAAGATTCTGTTTAACAGCAACATGGAATTCACCAAATAACTAGTGTGTGATTGAGAAAACTGAAAAGGCTCCACCTCTGTCACGCAATTTGGAGAAGAAAAAAAACAAGAAATGCACGAGGAACAAGGAGTCAGAAGAACACAGAGAAAGGACAGAGGTAGATGCTCTCTGTTTTTGGTGGGACTGGGAGTATTCGTTAACTCATTCCATACAAATCTCATCTGTTCTGCTTATGAAACCACAAGCACGCAGCTTGTCCCATAGTTGTTGAACCACAATTGTCTCTCCTGGTACTTCAGTATTTTGTAGTTTCAGATTCGTCGAAATAACAAAATAAAAATAAAATTTGGCTATAATCAAGCAACAGTAGGTAATGCCAACAAAAACATTTCAACCTCAATAATTGAGTAGCGGGAGAGAATACATTTCAATCCAGCTTCACTGTGAACATCTTGGCAGCATACGTTATGAATGACTGGGGCAGGGCAAGTGATATTGGACCAGTTGCATATGTTTCATAGTTTCGAACATCAACTTTAATAATAGAGATTCTAACTACTCATGTACAATCAATGCCCTGGTGTAGAAAGTAATTCCCTTATATGCCAGCTAGTTGAAGAGCTTTAACATTATTCTCAATTCTCAATAACTGTACATATTATATTGAACTATGCAAATACATTTGCCACATACATATCAGATATCAACATTACCAAATCTTAAGGAAAAATAAACATGTGATGGAAATTGCAAGTTAAGAGCAGGGTGAAACTGTATTTGTACCATCAAGATCTTTACGAAGATGATACTTTGGCATTTGAATTTGAATTTGAAATGAGTCGCACTTCAAATACATCGCCTTCCCCCTTCCCTGTGACACATCACATACTCATTAGCAGCATTACATAAATTACTGATTAATCGCACAAGCAAATCAAGAATTGTGAAGGTTTTAGAATGAAGACACTTAATGTACAACTCACCAACTTCTGCTGTGATATCTGGTCCAAAGAAGGAAGTGAATTTTGCCTGAAAACAAACATCACTTGATCTGAGATTCTGAGCGAATAATACCATTCACAATATTTAATCCTCAAAAGGAAATTAAATAAGAGGTGCAAGATCTAAGTATGAATCATTCCTTTCTACCTGTCTTTTTTCGAAATCGGATAATGTTAGAGCTTTCGCCTCAAATTCCAGGACAAGGCAGTATTTCCCATCATCAGTAACCTAACAGATGACAAGAATATGAGTAAAGCCAGAATGAAGATAAATCAGCTCAACGTGGAGGATGCAATACAAAAGGAGCCTAGAAATTACTGACATGGAAATTGGCAGTTTTTATATGATTTGCTGGAAGGGTGTGGCAATGCATGCTATCTGAAATCGGAAACTAAATACAAAACTGAGGGAACATACTTCTTCACGAATCTTTTGTAGAACAGGTGCACTCCTGCGAGGAATTCCTCCTCCCTGTCATGCGCAAGAAAAGGAAAGTTAGAACAAGATATATCAAACATGACCCTAACACCAAAAGATTAATGACAAGCCCAGCTGTAGATCAGATGCTATAGAAGTAATCTGCAAATCTTGCCCCTCATCTTCTACTAGACTGGAAAATTCTCAGGCAACACCTTATTCTTTCATCATCTTAATCATTGTTATTGTTATTTTGAGCAAGCATTTATCATGACAATGATAAGTACATCAACAAGAGAGCTTCAAGCACCAAAGTTTATGTGGTTCAAACATTTAATTAGGCATGAAGCCGAATGTTAACAAAGACAAATAAGGCAAAGAATATATAAGGTCAAAGTGAACATAGCAGACCTGACCATACTGGAATATTCTCTTCAAGGCTTCCTCTAAATGTTGCTCGTCTCCATATCTGTATCTGATAACATCATTTCTGACCTAATCAAAACAACTAAAAGTCATTCTGGTAATTCAAAGTAATTGCCAAAAGATAAAAATTATGCTGATACAAATCTCTTTCTTTAACTGCTATAAACCACTTTCCAGGGGTATCCGGTTAATATGGTGAAGAGAATGTAAAAAGATATGTTCATTAGAGAATGCAATATAAAGTAAAGCATGCATTCAGTCTACTGGCCACTGCACTGAGCAGCTATTGACTAAGTGTCGTTCAGAGATTTGAATAACAAAACATGTGTGATAAGCAGTTGCTAAATTGATTGAGGACTAGCATGAAAAAACGAGCCACAATTACATGTCTAAAAACAATCGTGTTCATCAACAGCACCAGATCTGTGATCTGAGTGTGACTAATGATAACAGAAAGATGGCAAGGATATGCTCAGAATTCTCACTTAGTTAAAGCCATGATTACACCATTTTACTGATAACAAAAAAAATCAAAGCTAATGACCTGCTTTAAGATGGGAGTGGCACATGTCTCCCTTAATGCAACAGCATCCGAATAGGACAAACATGGGACTGGTTTAAGTTCCGCGTACTGCACATATTAAATAACCCGTTTGAAAATGTAGCGATTAAACATCAGCTTGAGGAATATCAACGTAACATTCTGTGCCATGTATTACGTCTTAATATTAAATCTTTACCTTAAGAGCCATACCAATTATTGCAAGGGGGAATCCATAAGTGAGCATTAAAGCTGACCATTCAGATCCTGGAAGGATATTGAAATAGGCTCCAAACCCATATCTGTATATCAGAAAGAAGTCCAGGATCAGTGTTCCTCCTAGAACGTACTAGTACAGTAGAGTGTTTAAGAACTCACGACAAGAGTGAAACGCCAATACTAAGCCCAATAACACCAAATGATATCTGCAAAATATGGAAGAACAGTTTGATTATCATAAACAAGGAATGCAGCACAGCAAAAGTTTCAATGTGGATAAAGATATTTTATATTCAGATCCCATCATGTTCTACGTCACCTTTCCTCGGTTCCAATGAATCTATAGGTTAGTACAGACTCAGAAGTCTTAGTTATAGGTTTTCTTAGCCTGATTTGCTAGCAAATGTAAAATGTGCTATCCTTAATGGGATGTCTCATATTAGCTTTCGAAGTTCAAACAAGATTGATTATCATAAACTAGGAATGCTGCACAGCAAAAGTTTCAATGTGGATAAAGATATAATATATTCAGATCCCCTCATGTTCCTCTACGTCACATTTCCTCAGTTCCGATGAATCTATAGGTTAGTACAGACTCAGAAGTCTCAATTCTAGGTTTTCTTAGCCTGATTTGCTGGCAAATATAAAATCTGGTATCCTTAATGGGATGTCTCATATTAGCTTTCAAAGTTCAAACAAGTTAGATAAGACATCTAGAATGTTACTAAGTCATGTTGAGGTAGCCAATTGATGAACTGATCAAGTAACGGTATCAAAACCACATTTTAAGTTAACATTACATCGCATTGCAGCTACTAACAATTCCATGGCCACGATGAAGACTATATACGAAAAGAGAAGAACCAACTCCATGCTGAAGAAGAAAAAAAAGATCCACTGCATAGATGTTATTGAATGAATCTTATTGCAGGATGTAGAACCAAGGAAGTTTTTGGGGTTTAGGTGATATATCTAGTTTTATAGTTTGCTCAGAACCAATTGCATCTCTGAAAGTACTTGGATGCTAGGGAGTAGGTGGTTCGTTTTTCTCCCTGTTGGGTAAGTTTTCAACCCCGCAACGATTTATATCATAATAGTATTTCTGAATCACCATCTATCAACGGGAAAAAACGATCCACTGCATAGATTATTCACTAACCTTAGCTGAATGTGTTAGTTTCTACTCTTGCTGCTAGGGCAGTGATAGATTCTAATACAACAGAAAACCAAACCACCAAACGGCAAACGCAGAAAGAACAGAAGTAAAGCTATCGAATTCTTCTTCCCATACTCAACGATGGAAATGACAAGAGGAAGTACAAATGGTAAAAAAATAAACAAACCTTCGCGAGAGTGAATCCATCATCAGGAACAAGGGTTTTGGAGGCAGCGGCAGAAGTCGGCTGAGTGGAATCAGCAGCTTTGGCGACCAAAACCAACCTGAGGGTTTTCCCGTTCCGCTGGAGACCCAATCTTGCCGTTGACGGTGTTGAGGAAGAAGAATTCGGATGCGAAGAGAGGAAGCAGCAGCAGCAGCAGTAACCACGGTGGGTGCCATGGAGACGACGAGTAACAGGAACACGGGGAACGGTTCCCACTTTGGCCACCGCAATCGGAGATGCTGCTATCAGAGCTTTCATCTTTTTTCCCCGGCAGATTATTCAGAGCTCCCTCTCCGATTCCAAGCTTAGTTTCTTTTTTCCCCGGCAGATTATTCAGAGCTCCCTCTCCGATTCCAAGCTTAGTTTCTTGAAGTGAAGCAGCAGGATTAGAATTTAGAACGAAATGTGAGGTTGTAGTTGGCAAAGCTCAAGCAACTTCAATCTATACATAATATTATGGCAATTCAAAAATAATTTGTTTTTTTTTATCACTCAAAAGTAGTTTGTTGCCACATAAGCATTTGGAGAATTTACCGGGTGCGGTGGTGGTGTACACTTTTTTTTACAACAAAAAAGTTAGTTAATGATCAATTAATGTAGCTATATCTATCTTCTTTTAATATTTTCTTTTTATTTTAATGATCATTTATGTACCTATCTATATCTTCTTTTAATATATTTTGTTTATTCAATAATTGTTTTTTGCAATATATATGTATATCAGCAGTATATGTTTGTTTGGAGACTAACATATATGGTAATCTTTTAACAAATATATTTGATTAAATCTGATCAATTAATTTTAATTTTTATTAGAACTTAATACAGTGAAGTTTAGATAATCAACATTTAATAATCAATTGAATTTGAAAAACCAACTATATAATTTTATGTTTTGGTTATCAGACACTATCTTTTTCTAATGTTTGTATCTATGAATGAAAACATGTATTAAATAGCAAAATGCTTCAAAAGTTGTTTTTCATTTAGATAGAAACTTGACGAAGTCATAATATAGTACCTGATTGTACAAATGAAGGCGATAAAGAAAAACAACTTTTCTTCTCTCTTATAATGCATGCTTCCATACCTTATTTTCTCTTACATTTGTTCATATTTTCCCTTATTTTTCTTAATAGTTTACATATTTCGGTCAAACAAAGGTGTTAATTACACTTAAAAATACATTAAACTCTTTATATTTATATATGTATATTATGACATACTTTGAGTAAGAAAATGGTATCTAGACCTTGAATTGACTGGAGTTTGACATATGGTATTATTCTCAAACCCTTCAAGATTAAAATCTAGGTCTTAAATTTATAAATCTCATACCCTAAGATCAATTTAATTATAAACAAAAATCAACGGTCATGCTTCGTCAAAATATATGCAACAAATTACATGCACAATCTTAGGGGTTAAGCTCTATGATTTAGATAACTAAGACATAGGGTTCACTCATCAAGAATTATGGTATAGTATCATGCCCACAAATCCGGTTAATTCGTGGTCCAGATAGCGTGTTCTTACTTAGAGTACAGTATCATGCTTAGATATTGACAATATATGTGGCATTACACCAACAAAATGAAGGTATTAGTATAAGTTTAAGCAAATTCATATTTGATAAGTTAGAAAATTATACACCAATGGACCATGTTAAGATTAGAACCCTCGACAGTGTGTGAGTATCTTTGACCGAGATTCTAAACCAACATCTAAACAACGATCATTAGTTGAGGGTGAGTCTAAATTAAACTTCAGGAATTAACAATTGGTACCTATTGTATAAGATATTAAATTGAGTGTATTGATCGACAAATATGATCTTACAATAAGACAATAAACTTTCAATTGGGATGACCAAATTTACCTAATATTGAAGTACCTTTATAAAAACATTCTAACTAAATTGTCGTCATCTGAGCAACATCATTGGTTGAGAGTTTGTTTAAACTCGAGATTCATTGAATGACATATATTGTATATGATAAAAAAAAATTAGTATCGTTGTTTTAATTTATAGACGCACCACATACTCACGCATTTGAGTATCGTGATATATCTTTGTGACATGATTTATGATCAAAGAATTGAAACATCATAAGTGAACGTGCTAAGCATTGAGAATTTTTAATTTATAAACGCACCGCATACTCACGCATGATAAATTGATTAATATAAATGATAAATTGATCCAAAATAGTTTAAACATATAGATAAATTAATTAATATAAACGATAAAATGAAACTCACCGGCCAACGAGCTGGGTAAAAAGCTAATTCTGATAATCCCAATTTCTGAAACAGTGAAACTATACGTGTCTCAATTTTCCCTCGCTCGATCTTCTTAACGGAAAATAATGAAACGACACCTAAGTGATGCGTTTTACTACCATGAGGTCACCCTGTTTTGGCCTTTTAAAGGAGGTCCATTGCCACACCACCAAACCAAGCACAAATGTACAGATTCAAACATAGAGAAGCTTAGAAATGGGAAGCAAAAAAGGAGACTGGAGCAGCAAACCATAGATGGAGGGTTTCACAGTCTTAAACTGAGGTCATTTCTACATAAAGGGAAAGCTTCTCCCATCTAAACCATGTCCTCAAATGCATGACTTTCATCAATGCAACTGTCCCCTGTTCTACTTCTACCCCCTTCCCCATTAACAAAACGAAACCAAAAAAAATGGAAACTCTGGATTCTACTTGATGGGGAGAGACGCCCATTTACATCCGCATGCATCCGTCCATGAAGGTGAAGCAGTAGTTAGCCTCGACTGCTGGCCAGCCTCGCCATTTTCAGTATACAACAGCGTGTTCAAAGTGCCCTCAAAATATTAAAGGCTGCTGCAGAATTTATGCAAGACATACCCACACAAACAAAGAAAAAGGAAGGGAAGTCAGTGACAGGTTCCACAGCATGAATCCGAAACACAATCACTTGCTTCTGTTGCTAAAATGTTGTTACTTCTTACCAGCTTTGTACAAATGAAGATGCTGCTATGTCTTTACTTGAAGGAAGCTATGAGCTTTCCTCCATGTTGACATATCTGGTACTGGTTCATAACCTTTTCTGACCTTAACATTCCTCCTAGACCTGGAAACCAAATAACAGCCACAAAGCAAAGCAACATTGAATCCAATCTGAAACAACACGTCTGACATTATGGAAGTGGACGAAATGTATTTTATTGACATGGCTTGCCTAGTCACAGATATGTATCTCTCAACTTCTGGTATCTGTGCTTCATCAAAGGTAAACCACTTCTCGCTGGGAGAATCAGAGTCCCAATCACCCATATCTGCACAACGAAAGCAAGTAGGTTTAAATTTAAGTGAAGATGCTCTCTGTTCTATTAAACACCGAACAAGGCCGGATTATGTAACCTTGGAGTAAGATGTATTTGCTATTATTGTAGCTTTTTAGTCTCCAAAATGCACGACCCTTGATATCCAAAAGCATGGGAACACTTCTAACAGCTTCAGATCTTTGTGATTCTGTTTTTTTGTTTTGGCAGCAACAGTAGGTGAGACAAATTAGTACTTGATGCTGGCAAACAGACATATATAGAAGACATGCTTGCATGCCTCTACATGCAACATGCATGGCACCGAAAAAAGGAAGGAAAACTCGAAGTATTAATCACTACACAACATGTGGAAACGTGGCAGATGGTCTCTTGATATTGGATCAAGTACTGAGAATAATTAGTACCCAAAATGTCATCATTATGCACAATATGATGGCAAGAGGATTCAGCCAAATGAATTACTTTTAGCTAGTCAGACACAAATAACCTAATATAGGAAAACCAGTTTAGATTGAATAGTGCAGCCTCAAAGTTAACAGTTAGATCCATGCAACTAGCTGACGCTACAAAGCCTAGAACATTGAGTGGTTCAAGTACTAACTTCTACATTGTCGAGGAAAATCAAACAAACAAATTCATCATACTATAACTCTGGAAGCAAGATCTCCTAACTCACCCTTAGACACCATGGCCTTAGCCTCCTCCATTTCTGCATGAGCTTGAGAAGTTTGCTCTTTTATCTGAGACATTAATGCTTCATGCTCAGAAATAGACAAAGGAGCCCCATTTTTTGCAAGTACAGCTTTCGCAATCTCATCCTGCTTCTTCTTTTTCACTTCCTTTTCCTGCAGTTAAGCAATAAGTATTTAACAAATCCATATAATCCAAGGAGCACTGTCTGCATTATATTTATAGAGAAAAGATTCACATCAAATCTTCCATTACCTTTTCCTTTGCAGCAAGAATTTTTGCCTTGGCTTCCTTCCTACTTTCGTCTAATTCCAAAATTTGCTCATCAATGATGTCTCTTAATTCCCTACAGAAGCAAACAATTAAAAAGAAGAGAATTCAAGACATCTTATAGGTGAATTATCTAGAATAACAAACTCATCAACTTATAATTGCTTACATGGTGTTGAGAGTTTCATCACACAGAAAATTAAGGAGTTTGAGCTTTCCAGAGATGCTCAACTCCTCGTATATGGCATTCCCTTTGTTGAAACGATCAGGAGGGAAATCCTTTGACATGAAAGGATATTTGGAGACAAAATCTCCAAGAGATAGCAGCCATGAATTCTGGCCATCTGTTGGACTTAGGGTTGGACACCTAGAAAAAAGGGCACAATTATGATATATATAGTCACAGAAAACAGTAAAGACAATACCAAAATATCTTTTTCAAGGTAGGATCTAGCACCTTTCATCTATATCTTCTTGTATCAGAGCCAGCAGCTGGATATGGATCTGGATTACAAAAGAGGATTGTGTCCGGCATCCTCTTCGGCCCTTTACCATTTCCCTAATGGCTGCTTCAGCATGCCCTTTCTTAAGATCAAAAGCCTTTTATATGAAGACCAAATGGAACAAACTAGATCAATGAAACAATTTGTACCAAAATTGGCAAGAAATCAAAGGTTCTAAATGCAACAATAAATAAAGCAACCAGAAGATAATTAATTGTCTACTAAGTGCAAACTTATTAGCGCAATTATCTCGTCATTCAGCAGACATAAAACTCAAATCATAAACATAACATCTACATTCAAGACCAATACCTGGCCAAAAGCATTGCAAAATTCCAGGAATTGTAAGACTTGTCCAGCATCTTCAGGGGCCAAGTCAACCCCTGCCACATTGGTTAAAATTGAGCCTCCAGGCAATGGAATCTCATTATGCAGCACTTCATTTATCTGCTTCCAGCAGGACTTTGAAGAAGGATTCATTATGGTTTCAAGGTTATCGTTCCCAATAACATCCATAGCTGATATATCATCATCATGGACTTTTGGAACAACAGCATCGTCATTTTTGGACATTTGTTCAGTTATCCTAGGCTTCTTCATCTTAACCATTGAAGCTGCATCTTCACCATGGCCATTGCTAACTTCTTTCAGCTTTTCCCTTTTTGTTTTCTTGAATTCGATTATCTTGGGACTAGGGATTTCATTCTGCGAATGCAAGGGCAAATCACTTATTCCATCCAAAGAATTCTCTTTCCCTGGCTTCCTTGGCGAACCAACTTCAGGCTCCTGTTAAGGACATGAATGAGCATACAAGGAAAAAGAAACTAGGAACCTTGTAAACATCGTAACCAGAGCAAGTAAATCCATACCACTTTAAAAGCAGTTTTCATCGGGGAAGCATCCTTGTCTTTCACCCTATTATACACAAAGTTTTCAGGCCCTTTCACCTGTAGAAGTTCAGAAACAGATGCAAACCCATTTTGTTTTGCTGTATGCGTCAGAATACCAGTGGGTTTGTGACCTTTCTTCTTCCTGGGAACATGATAATTAATTAGTTTTCCTCAAGTAACATAATTAACGTGTTTAAGCTCCCAATACTGGCAAACTTACATGCAGAAGCTGCAATTACAAATACCCCTACACTTGGGACAATGCCAGTTGTCCATCTGTGGAACATTTTCAGCCACCTCTCCGTACCTAATCAAATGTAATTAAACATCAGTGATAAGAAATCACCAAGCAAAATGCATTAGCTATGCCAATAACCTGAAAAGGAACCTACTACAGAATCAAAGTTAGACAATGATACCTGTTCAACAAGCACTTATGACAATAAGTAACAACACATGGTTTGCTGCTTTCTTTCATGAACCTACACCGAGCCATTACATCCATTGTCTTCTGACGGCACTACAAGGACCAATTAAGGAAAATACAAGAATCAACGCAACAGGAAAGAAGCTCGAACTTGAATGTAGAGGAAACCCTAATTAACTGCTTAAAAGAAAAGACACGGTGCAACTCTAACCCTAAATCTTAAGAAATCCATAAATCATCCATTAACAAAAATCAAATGCACTAGCAGTTTAGCACCTCATGAACACGATCATCAATTTGAGCTGTTAAACGGATGATGCGGACTGTTTAAGCAAAACCCATTAAGCCAAACAAGTAATCCGATATCATAAATTGAAGATCCGTGTTCGCAACCCTTTACATTTACCCTCCTGGCTTCAATCAGCTAAACGCAACCAAACAGTATTCACAATCTACACCAACAACACGCGAAAAGTGTTCAAATCTCGCCAACCCAAAGGGGCAAAAGAAAAATGAAGTCCTACCCATTTCGCGTTCCTATCATTTTCTCGTCAACCAAACAGATCGAATGAACAAAAGAAGAGCCATGACTAAGCGGGAGCTAGACCGTTTACCTGATGGCAGGTCTTCCCATTGACAGAATCATAAATTCTGCCACCAACAACACGAAGCCCAGGATCCTTAGTCCGACTCTTCCCTTCTTTCAAAGGTGACCTCTGGATTTCCACAGTAGGGCTTGCTTGTGCCGACACCATTACTGCACTGCTAGCTGCTAGTGTTGACTGACTCTGGCTGCCTGCCTGCCTGTCACGATTTCTACTGTTCCGTCCGGCCTCCGGACAAACAACCCGAGAAAAAGGGACCGGGTGAGAATGGAAATCCAAATCAAACTTAAGCGTCGACTGCTACAAAACGACTGACTCTAGCCGCAAAAAAGCGCGAAAAATGGGGTTTATAATGGGAGTCCGTGCTAGCTGATCCAAAGTTCGAAACGAAATACTTTGGGTTCCCTCCACTCCACTGGCGCGCTTGGTGGCGCGGGAGAGTTGAAAAACAATCTGAAAAGTTTTTGAAATATGGTGGAAAGGAGATGAAATATGTCTTTCGAACGGGGCCAGGCGCCAATTTTTATTGTCGCAGATGTCATTAGGGTGGAAGTTTGGTTTTAGGGTTACAGGTAATCCGCAAATCGCACACTTTATGAATAGTGTGTTGGGCTTGGGTGTGGTTGGCACTTAGTAAAATATTGCTTATTGTAATTTAGTTGTTAACCACTACCCATTATCCACAGTGTAAACATACTAATTATATTCATTTATTATTAATAATTTATAATATCATAGTATGTGAAAATGGAAGCTAAAAATTAAAGTAGCCACCAAAATCAAATACACACTTACTTTATAAAAAAAATAATAGGCAATGTCTGTGTGATATATTTTTACGAAATAAGTCGTGCCCGTGTAGAATATTTTTATTTTATAAAAAAATAAGTCAATAAAAGAAGTCAGGTAAATTAATCGATTAATTAAAGGGAAATAATTAATTTATAGTTTATTTAACACTTAAGTAACTTTTTTTTATATGTTTTTGTTTTTGAATGAGAACAAACACAACATCAATATTAATTATCATATTCAATAATGAAATTTTCGCGGGTATCCACAACCAACTCACACCAAACGACAATGGGTAGTGGTTAACCATTACCCACTGTGATGCAAGTTGTGGGTAGGATAAGTTTGAATTTGTAGTTGTGGTTAGCTGCAAAATGTGGGGCAGGTAACCACACCCGCCCCAATTTCCACTATTATATAAAGAGTTACAAAATATAGTTTAAAGCACACTGCGTAACAAGACGCATAAATCGACAAATAGTTGAACTGCCCATTAGAGGTCGTGATTCGTCACTAAATGAGTTAGCCTATTAAATGGCTTGACTTTAAAGCGGCATCACAACGCCTTTGAACTCCTTACCAAGCTCAAACTCCATCTTCCAATTCGCGGGGTAGACATGGAAGATGTTACTCATGCACAGTGCCTCCTCACGTATCAAGTCGTGGTTCGTCGCCATTGAGTAGGCTGGCGAGGTTCGAGATAAGTTGGCTCGTGAAGAAGAGACCAATGTCGCCACCTACTCGTCTCTTTAAGGAGAGTTGGCCAAAGGAAAAACTACATCAAATGAGGTGGCCTCGTTCCAAGCTAAGGAAGTCACCCACAAGGCACGAATCACCGAGGTTAAGGCAGAGCTCCAACACCTTGAAGAGGAAGAAGCTCAAGAGCAAACTCGAAAAGAAACCCTAGCACGAGATCTCAATGAGTCAGGAACCAAAATCCGTGTTCTTCATGGGAAAGAAGAATCTCTCATGCCTATGAATGAGATTGCCCTCCAACGAGCCAGGTCTAACCAAATTAACCGTGAAAGCAAATCCAAGCTCACCAAGTTGAAGCCTAGCTTTGACGAGATCCTCAACACCCTCGATGCCTGAATTATCTTTGTTATGTTTTCTTTAGATTATTGAACATTCGGTTTAGCCATTGTTGTGACGTTTGATTTGTCTTTAATTTTTTTTGGATTTCATGGCTTGTTTTTCATATGATTCTTTTCTCGCCTCTCATGACCTTTTGTTCTTCGTGAGAAACTTGCATTGGAATCGAATTGATTACACCTTGACTTATTGAACAACGATTAAATTAACACAATTCACACCTCTTCAAGCAAAGTTCGAACGATGGTGTTCGATGTTTACAAGAACACGACTCATGAGACAGATCTACATTAAATTGCCTTCACTCCTATGGAGGTTCAGTGAGAGCTCCAGATCTAAGACTTTGGCTAAATTTTGCATATGAAAAGATAAAATTATAAAAACTTGATAAATGGTGTCGAGTTGTGATTTATGTGAACACCTTCTCTGTCAACTCCTCCTCATATAGTAGCCATGGGGTAGTAACCGTCGTAGAACACCATCTGGAGAGTAATTTCCATAAAGAATCGCTTCCCTTCTTCCTCATCGTGGCTGACGTGTCCTTGAATGTGGAATAATTGACACTTGTTTCGTTAACCGTCCAGGTGTCTCTCTCTTTTGGAACCGAAGTCATGGTGCTCGCCTCCTCTCCACCATGACTAGCATTGTCAGATCTCACGACTAAGGTTAGCCATGTGGTTTGAATTAGACGATGGCCACTCGCCTACTCGTCGCATCAATAAGCCACGTACTCAGCCAAATGTTGGCTATCCCATCAAACCACCACGGTGGGATGGAACTCAACGTCAAACTTGCTCGTGTCTTAAACCAAATTTTTGCTTCCAATGACCAAGCCAGCTAATGCCGCCAATCTCACACCAAGCTTGTTTTAATCACACAAAAAACTTAAAGACCACATAATGCCATGGCTTGGCTTTAAAATATAACAACCCCTCTTCTTTTCACTTTAATTGGCCGCATTTGCAACCACCCATTGCCCACTAATTTCGTTCCACTTAGTCAGATACGATACAACTCTCCCCAGTCGCCTTCACACGACCACGCTCCTTCTACGACTCGATAAACAAGAAATGACCAGTCCTATTCGGGACAACATATAAAGGAAGGTCGAATTATTAATGTCGAGTTGACCTTATAAATTCATTAAATTTCTTGCAATTACTTGATGTGGTATAAACTGATTTTTTTACGGGTAAACGATAAGCAAGAGGGACAAATATCACTTACACCTAAAACTTGAAAGACATATCACCCATAAAGTATATGCTCATTCTTTCCCCATCCAGCCATCCTTATATAAGCTTAATTCTGCCCCAAACCTACAAACCTTGTATATAGATTTCCAAATGATGCTATTTGCAGATGAGCACTATAGTTTATAGATTTGCAGATTTTGAAGTGATCTGTCACTGTCACCGTAAGCAAACTAATCTGGTGATGAAAGGATTAGGATTCATTTAGGAGGTCACCCACCAGAGATCATTCTTAGTTCGCTCTTCTCCTATAATCATCCTGACAGACGAAGATCAAGCTTCAGTTTCTGTTTTCTCGTGAGGAGAAACTTGTGTTTGAACGCAATGAATGTACCTTGACTTCTCGAACAACAATTAATAACACGGTTCACTCCTCTCCGAACAATGTTCGTACGAGGTTGTTTGATGGTTTTTGGGAACAATCTAAGTTACTCTACTCCTATGGAGGTTCAGTGAGAGCTCCGAAAAACTAAAAGCTGATTTGCAGAGAAAAGATAAATTTTGACATTGTGCGTCAAATGTTTGGTTGTGGAACCCTTTTCCTGTCTTCGTTTCTCCTATTTATAGCCACTAGGAGTAACTGCCTTGGTAAGTGCGAGCTGGCTTGTTGCTCCAACCGCCTTAGGGCCCCTTTTAGTTGCCTTGGGTGCCAATTGGTAACCGTTGTCTTGGTCTTCACTTCCATTGCTTTGGAGTTCCTAGACCCGTCTTGTTGACTGGTCGGTATCCATCGCCTTGGAGGCCCTTGTCCCGTCTTGGGGTTGGTGGGTACTTGATGGCCTCGATGCCGGGTCGCGTTGGTGTTGAGCCTTGTCGCCCTGTCATAACTGGATGGGGTTGAGGCTCTTGCCTTAGCCTCCATGAACCATGACGAGGTCTTGATCTCACCCTCGGCTGCTTGATGACTCCCCACTCTTGTCGTCTTGAGACCGCTACCACCTCAATGACACCAAACCCTCCTCATGAACTTGTTGGTTGTTACCAAGCCGTCTCATCGGCTTGATACCTTCCGGCATGCCACCAAGCCAATGTAATCAACTTGACACCCCTTGTTACCAAGCCAGTCCTGGTGGCTTGGTCTCCATACTTAGTTTTTGTAGACTCGTCAAGTGGTAAGTTGCACCCTGTCGGTTTGGTACCCCGTGAAGGTGCTACCAAGCCCGTCTTTGGACTTTTGTCTCCATATGGCCTCATAAGGGCTGAGCTTGGCATCCTGGTCGATCCATCCATAGTTGGGTGGCCACCTCAGCTAGTCACCATGCCTTCATCGAATTTCTTGTCTTGTTGGCTTGATACTCTGATGTCTAGCTATCAAGTCCGTCTTGTTGGCTTGATATCCAGACTTAGTTTCTGTATGACTCTCTTAGTTGGTACCTGGCTTGGCCCCCTGTTGCCTGGCCACCAAGTCAGTCTTGCCAGCTTGATACCCCCTTGGGTTCATGGTACCCTGTCGCCTTGCTTGGCTGCCAAGCCTGTCATGCCGGCTTGGTACCTTGTAGGGGTCTTGGTACCGAGGTTGCCTTGCCCGCCTGGTACCCTCTTAGCTCCATACTTAGCCAATTTTTATATATTTTGGTATCAAACCTACCTTGTCGGCTTGATACCCCCTTTTGCTTCATACTTAGCCAAATTATATGTCAAAGTACCAAGCCCTGCTTTGCCGGCTTGATACCCCGTCGTTGACATCCGGTCATTTGACACCCTGTTGTGTCACCTTGTTTCCAAGACTTAGTTTTTGGATGACCTCCTATTTGATACCCGGCTTGGTACCCGACTGTTTGGCACCCCGTTGTGTCGCATTGTTTCCAAGACTTAGCTTTTGGATGACCTCCTATTTGGTACCCGGCCGTTTGGCACCCCGTTGTGTCGCCTTGTTCCCATACTTAACCTTTGGATGGCCTCCTATTTGGTATCCGGCTTGGTACCCGGCCGTTTGGCACCCCGTTGTGTCACCTTGTTTTCCATACTTGGCCAAATTTCTTACCTGGGTATCAGGCCTGCCTTGTCGGCTTGATACCCTCTTGTTTGGCCCCCTTATTTGGTACCAGGCTTGGTACCCGGTCGTTTGGCACCCCGTTGTGTCGCCTTGCTTCCAAGACGTAGTTTTTGTAGGCCAAATTTCATACTAAGGGGTGGAGGCATCGTCCGGCTATGGGGGCCTCGGAGACGGGTTGGCCATCATATAGAGGAGAAGGGGGTTGGCCACTTAGGCCCAAAAATCTAACCCAACTAGGTCCAGCTGACTCTTTTAATCATTAATGTTGAGCTGGCCTTATAAATCCATTAATTTCCTTGTAATTAATGGATTGATCACTCTCCAGAGTCTCCACCTCCAGCATGCACAAAGCTATCAATTAAATTTATTAATAATAATTATAATTCTCCTAAAACAATGATCAATTTCAATTCCCCCTTTTTTTAACTAAGCTTCATCACCGTTCCAGCTGGCCTTAACTTTGGGCCCAGTGGGCCCTTCTTCCCCAAGCACCTCCTTGGGCAAATTCCTCACCATCTTATCAAACTCTTTCTTCAGCGTCCCAGGCAGCAACTTCCTCACCTTCGCCAGCTCCTTGTCCACGTCATAATCAATCTTCGGGCCCCACTCCCTCATGTAATTCAGCCACGGCGGCTCCACCACGCCGTCCTTCCCCAGATACTCCGCCGCCACCACCGTGAACCCCGCCGCCGTATCCACCACCATCCCTCCCGTCGCCGTGTCGTCCCGAATCCCGATGTCCTTGCTCCCCAGCATCACCAACCCCGGGCGAGGATACATCGCGTGCCCGTGGAGCGAAGCGTACGCCACGGGCCGGCTCCCGCCCCGGTACTCCAGATCTGCCGACCCGACCCACGACCCGCTGCTGTGCTGCGAGAAGTAGACGCTCTGGAGCAGGCCGTTGAAGTTGCTGATCCGCAGGGTCACGTGCTCCCAGTCCCCCACGTGCTCCCCTAGCTTCCCGAGCTTGATGCTCTTGATGAATTCCACTTTTGCCCTCCCCGGTCCGTTGAACGGGTAGAACACCCACACGGCTAGATCCGTAAATGTGCCTCCCGAAGCTGGCTTCGCGTGTAAATAGACCTGGACGCCCGCCAGCTGTCCTTTCTTCACTCTCTCTTTCGCCGACCCGTCGACCGGTAGGTCCAACCAGTACGCTCCGTCGTTTGAACCGCCCTGCGGGAGGTTCGACCCGATCGGGTCGATCGGGGTCGGGTTCGATTCTTTCCCTTTCTCGTATAGAAGCGATCCGTTTGAGAAAAACCAATCGACGGAAGACGGGAGGAATTCCTCGTCGGGATGGAGAGAAACCCAGGGAGCGTATCTCTTGAAGAGTTCTTCCACTTGCTTTAAATTCGGCATCGAAGAAGTCGATCCGTCGACGGAATTCTGATTCTTCAGACAGGCGACGAGCGTGGGGTGGTCTCCGGGAAGGCCGGAGGATTGGGCGATGAATGTGCCGACGGAGACGCCGGCAGCGGATCCGTCGCCCGGCCTCAGGTTGAAAACGTTGAACCCGGTCAGATCGGGATCGCCGGCGTCGGCTGGGCCCGGGCCCCAGAGCCACGCGTCGGCCTGGCATTGGTCGGTGAGATCGGATCTGACGCAGCGGACTTTTTCGAGCGGGGGCTTGTCAGGAGACGTGGTGATGACGTGTCCCACGGCCCTGTAACCGTCGGGTGGGACCGGGAGCCAGAAATAGGCGATTCCTTGCTGGTTGATTTTTTCGGTGTCGGAGCTGGTCCAAACCAGGGTATAATCGACCGGCGGCTTCAATGCTCCTCCGTCGCCGGCGGCGTCTTTCCCGGCGAGGATCCAGCCGTGGGCGTTAGGGTTCGCGTTGGGCTGGCTGTGGGTGCCGAGCATGTGGAAATCGGGAGGCAACTGGGTTGGTTCGAAGAAGGATGCTCCGAGATTGTCGGGTCCTCCCTGTTGGGTGGACCAGATTTTGGTAAAGGAAGCGGTCTGGAAGACGTGGAGTCCGCCGCCGAGGTCGATTGCTCCGGAGGCGAAACCGCCGTCCACGGACGGCCATGGTGATGGGATCGAGGAAGGAAGCTTGAAGGAGGTGCGAACGGGGAGAGGTATCGATGCCGCCTTCTCCATGGCTGCTGCTGCTGCTGCTGATGATGATGATAATGAGAGGAGACTGAAACTGCAAGGGATAAATAGAAGTTGGTGAGAATTTCTTGTTTAGTATGATTTGAACACTAAATTAATATGATGAATCGAGCGTGCAAGCAAAGCAATGGAGATGACGCCTCCCTTTTACAACAAGACAAAGTAGTAGTATTCTTCTTCATCATCTTCTTCCATGGAATCCTGTGTATCAACTTGGGTTTTCATTGTTTGCACTCTTTCGAGAGGACTGTGACGTTTGTAAGGCCAGGTTGTTAACGGAGGAGGTCAGCTTTGTGATTGTCGATATGGAAATAATTGGTTGCAGGCAGGCGGAGAACGCTTAATTTGGCTTTGCTTAACAGGCATTGTTGTTGAGGTTCAGTGTGACGCAGATAAGCTTTAGCGTGGCAGTATGATATGATAAGAAGAGGTATATATGTTTCTGTTACCTTTCAATCAACCAGATATTGGTTGGGCTACAAGCAATCAAACCCCGTGATGGAAAGACCTATACTCAATCATGATCCTCTGTTAAGCCATTTAATTAAAGGGTAAATACAATTTAATATCCAAATCTTTCATTTTAAACAATATAATAGCCAAACTTTTTCGAAACAATCTAATATCCAAATCGTCAACTTTCAATCCGTTTGACCGTTAGTTGACACTTCAAAAAAGTTTTGTTTAGGGGGAATTGTCACAATACAGCTTTGTTTTCTTGTTTTGGCATTGCAGATGACTGAATATTTAGATATTCTATACTATTATGGTAGAGTCATGGACTTCTCGGGTTTGGAACCACGATATGTTGGTGGTTTTTTAGAGAAGATATCGATGGATATTGATGAAGTGTCATACTTCGAACTTGATGAAGTGTCAACTAACGGTCAAACGGACGGAAAGTTGACGATTTGGATATTAGATTGTTTTCGAAAAGGTTTGGCTATTATATTGTTTAAAATGAAAGATTTGGATATTAAATTGTATTTACCCTTTAATTAACTATGGTAAAGTTGTTGGTTGGAGGCTTGGAGATGTAGATAACATACTGTGCGTCTCGTCACATTTCAGTTTTAAGTAAATGAATTTTTTAGGAAAAAAAAAGTCGATAAAAAAAGACTAGTCATTTTCATTTGAAACCAATAATTGAGGTTGATTTCAAGTAAATGAAGATGTTTTTTTCTGCTATCAAGATTCTTGTGGTCTGTCGAAATACAAGAAATTCTACTATCACTTTTAATTGAACCTTTATGATTTCACTTAGTTTTACCATATTACTACCAAGTATTAAAAATGCGAGAACATTTTTAGCCTGACTAGCTGGATTCGGTACTCCTATTTTGACCGGTTCTCTATAATATTATATTCAGTTGCATTTCTACCATTGCATTTGATTTTAAGTTATATCTTAACTTTATTAAAAAAAAGTCATATCTTAACTCTTATCTTGTGCAAAATATCAATTATTAATTATCTCACTCTATAGTCATATTATTATCTCACTCTTTTATTTTGATAAATTCCCTTATGTTTTGGCATCTAGAAATCAAATTGTAGCATATATATTTTTAAGCGGATCACATTTCCATACGAAATAACACCATTATATAGGACTGTCGATTTATTTTGATTTGGCTAACAAAACCATTAAGTACGAAAAACCAAAAATCAACTCAGGGAAATTCCTAAGAATCAAAATCAAAAGGCCTAATCATTTTTCGGTCAACCAACGACTGGTAAGGGGCCCTTAACGATTTTGATTTGGCTTGAAAAGTCCAAAATGAAATTAGAAAAGACAAAAAGAACAAGAAGCATGAAGTTGTTGTTCATGGGTATTAAGTTAGTTAGGATGTCTCCGATTTTCTCATTGGGTTTCCTATTAATTTTAAGATTTTAACTGGAACCAATTCGATTTAAAACCAAAATCGTTAAACTTCTCATCGATGTAATTTTGGTTAAAGCCGAAAAACCAAAACAAACTAAAAGACCTACCATCAAACCACCCCATTGTCCATTTGTCATTTGATGTCATAAAACATGGACTGCATAACATCGATTTTCAACTTTCTGGTCATCAACTAATTTAATAAACACTATCAAATTGAATTGACTTTATCACCCAAAAGTACTCAAACGTTTGACATTTGTGCTTTGTCTCCCATCCTTTCAGAATCTAGTAGGTATGGTTTGAAACAAAAAAGCGGCATTCATTTTCAAGGAAGAGAGAATTATAATATAATACAATTAATTTGAACTAGTTTGGGAAAATTCATAATCATCAAGGAGTAATTCTATTAACCAACAAAAATCAGGGAGTAGTTCCAGAAACCCATAATTTGGAAGCGGGGAAAAATATATTGTCTGTCGGGTTAGATGACCTACTCGTCAATTTTTTATTATTATTCCAGTTCCGGGACAAAACTTCAGCCAACAAGAATAATACATACATGTAGTGCTAATAATAAATCTGAAACGTAAATCTACCCAAAAAAGAAATCTGTTTTCATTTATACCACTAATTAAGGCCGGTGAATCTTAAATCCACTCTGTAAATGAATCAATTAAATTAGTTTTTTGCCTTGATTTCTTGCTGGTGGATTTCTAAAAAATATCTTGATCTCAATTTCCAATAAATACCTAATCCTATATCAACTTTATACATGAACAAGAAATTTTACAACCGTAATTTTCGGATACGCATGAGTAATACCCGTCTTATATATCTGTAGTTATTACAAAGGAAACATGGTGAGCGAGGTTTAGAAATGGCAGCTCGGAAATATATAGGTTGGAAATTAATGGAAATAATGATTTTACTGAAGCAATCATTCAGGGGAGCCGAGGAGGGGCCGGGTGAAGGGGGAAAAGCGAAGGAGAAAAGGAAACAGATTGGGAGGATTTTTAGCAACTGCAATGACGACGATTACTGTATTTTTGCTGATATTCTGTTGGCCAGAAAGTCGGAATGATGGATGGCAATGACATCACCTAAATCAAATACTTGTGTTTGTCGCGGAAAATGAGCAACTTGAAATTGAAACAACAGAGAAAAAAGATGGAAAAGGAAAGGCACACGCAAAGCAAGAGCCGACGAAGGGAATTGAGGGGGGAAAAAAAGGGTATAATGAACTGACCAGAGTAAGAGGAGGAGGAGGTGGTGGTGGTGATATTGGGATAACAGAGCAGCGCCACCGCCACATTGGCGTCGGCCGGAGGAGGAGTCCATCTTCGGTGGCCGGCTGAGGGTTTCTTTCCCTCCTCCTGCTGCTGCTGCTGCTGCTTCTGCAGGGAGTGAATGGAGAAGGAAATGGAAGGCAGGGGATGCTCTAAGGTGATGAGATCCCTGTAAATAAGAAGAGGGTGGTATCATTAGATTTAAATAAATAATAATAAATGAGATTAATTAAGTTGCTCGCTGGTGATGGGGTGAAAATGGAAAGGAATGGGAATGAAATGAAGAAAGCATTTAAAGAGATTCTCTGTCTTGCCTTGCTAGCTAACATTTTGAATGGAGGGAGTAAATGGGTGGTAATTTGATTTGATTTGGTGTTTAGGCAAGTAAGTAAATGAGTATAGTAATAATATCATGATACCTGGGCAGGAGCAGGAGCAGCAGAAGAAGAAGACAACGGCGGCAATATGTTAAGAGGCGGTGAGTGGTGGGGCTGGAGACAAGTAGTAGGAAGAGAAGAGAAGACTGACAGCAGGAGGCTGCAATCTGCTGCTGCCGCCCCCAACTTAATTCCTCATGCTCTGTGGGCAGTGGGGAAAGGGACCATGAATTGTGAAAGCAAGAGAAATGAAAAATCTGGGTGGGACTGGAGAAAGAAAGAAAGAAAGAAAAGAGGTAATGGTTTAATGCAGAAAGCAAGGAAAACCGAAAGAACAGAGCAGGGGCAGAGGGCTAAGTCATTTGTCATTGTCAAGCAGGTATAACAATAATAATGATACCCATCATTTCATATTCATTCATGTCCATTCAATCTCTACCAACTAATCTATAGTAGTGGTACTCCCGTGAACAAAAAAAAAGAGGAAATAGAAGAAATTACTAGAAATGAAATGAGAGCAGAGCAGAGGATAGTGCTCTCTCTCTCTGCCGCACGTCCCTACATTATCACCTCCACTTATTATTGGTTAGATCTTTATTACGTGGCAAGTTGGTATTGCAGGAGCTCTCTCACCACCATCACCACCGCCGCCGCCGACATACGGTAAGCAACAGACAGACCACATTCCTCCCAACCAAAATGCAAACTCACCACCATTGCCTGCGGGCATTCACCTTCCACATGGCTTGGGTTTGCCTTCTCTAGTTCGTATTTGGAAAATGGAATCATGCAGCCAACAGCAGCAGACAGAAGAACACAGGGAGTTTGGTTCCCTAAATAAAATCAAATTAAATAAAAAACAGAGAGCACCAATCTCCGTCCTCAGATGCTCGTCCGCGTGAAACCCTGCCGCAGTGCCGCCTGGCAGAGAGTGAGTGAGTGAGAGAGAGATTCACAGATTATTATTGTATAATTTACCATCCACTTGTTAATTTAGACTATTAGATTCCAAAACCTGAAATATTCCATATGGTCAGTTTCCAGTGAGAGGAAGCTGGCTGGGTCACCCACTACCACCACCTCCTTCCTAATCCCCATTTCACTCTTCCTCCCAATCAAATACCAACCATTCACATTCACATCCCAACTAGGGATGATAATGGGTCGGGTTGGGTCGGGTTTTGTCAAACCCAAACCCAAACCCATGGGTTTATCCGCCAAAAAAGCTCGAGGTAAAATCCGTTGGGTTTGAAAAACTCAAACCCAACCCGCTGGGTATCCGCGGGTTCATGGGTACCCGTGGGTTTTTGTGGTAAAAATTTACAATAACAAGTTTCTTTCAAAATAAAAGTTTAACATCAATTTTCTCATACAAATTAATCATACAAAAAACACCAATCTAGAGCATGCGCAAATGATCAATACAAATTATTCAAAATTAAAGATAAACATATATAAACAATAAGATTAATTGAAAGCTTCTTCCTCGTCAACTAAGTTTCTTCACTCTCCACTTCATAATATCAACTTCATTCTAAACAATTAGAAAGAACAAATTATACATGTGTTCATAAACATATAGATATTAGTTGTTTAAGGAAGATATATTATTTAGAATATTAAATATACCGGGAAAGTAATTATATGTGTGTGGGCGGGTACCCATGGGGCGGGTTTACCTAAACCCAAACCCAACCCGACCCGGTGAATAGTGTAGCGGGTTTAAACCCAAACCCGGCCCAAAACCCGTCAACACGAGTTTTACCCGCGTTGACCGGGTTGGGTCGGGTGGGTACCCGTGGGTTCGGGTTTTGTTGCCATCCTAATCCCAACACTAACTTAAACAGGGTGACCAAAGACAAATACCCATAACACAGAGCAAGTATATTAATTAATCAATATATATAAACTTAAATCCAATTTACTGCTTTCATTGGCTCTTCAATTAAAATGGGTACTTCGTTTGGGCTATATGGGTGATGGGTTTTTAGGATTGTGGCTCCATTTTCATTTATTTACATTATTTGGAAGATTTTATTTGTATTAAGTTCCTTTTTATTCTTTATTTCATAATTGTCTCTAGATTTGAATATGTTTAAATTAGCTTTTCATTTTTCATTTTTGTTAGGAACCGAAGGTAGATATGGACGTCTTACCATCACCTAATTGAAGAGTGAAGAATATTTAACCCCTTTACTTACAAAAAAATAATATTTATTTTGTCCATTTGGAAAAATTATTAACAATTTTTTTTAAAGAATATTTATTGAATAACATGACACCATGTTCAGTAATATATATATGATATGTTATGATATTGATACTGGCATAATTTTATGTCATTTTAACATAACACAAGTATGTTCTAGATTTTGTCACTTCACCATTAGAGCACTAATACCCCACAAAAATTATTATGTATCATGGACTCCGATTCGGTCTAAGTTAGGGTGTATAATCGTTGGTTATGCATTTGTGTATATTTGGATATGACCCATTTATTTCCAGTATGATAAGATCTAAAGGGTGAGATTAGAAAGTCTTTTATTTTTCCTACTTTTACATCGATTTTTATTTTCTTAGTTTTCACTCTAATTTTAATCTTTTTAGCATAAATGGAACAATTAACATGGAATCAATTTAAACTCAAGTTGAGAACCTGAATTAGTCAAACTAGACATATGGGGTTGGAGAATTGTTCAACCAAATTGAAGAAATTTAAAAATGAACTTATTATAGTTTGATCAGTAAATGTTGAAACCCCCTTTGTACAAAACGATACAAAACGAGCTTACATGTATGTGTGATTGAGAGTTCGGGCCGTTGTAGAGCTCGACCACCACGTATCTAGTATATATATAAATAGTAACTCATAAGGATCTACACATTCCACTACCCATATCTCATAGGAACCCAAAGTTGATGGTGTTCTCTAGTGGGGGTTGGGTTCACCACCTCCATTCACCCCTCCACCATATTGCTACATCTACATGGTCCCCTCCCACTTCTTGCCTACTTCAACTTGTGCAGAGTCAGACAACAACCGAATAGGTTTAGAGTCGTTCAAGCTCATGTGGCGCTCCATTATGCAATTGGCAATGTGTGTCTACCCTCGCAACCAACAAGCTTCGCTCTCCACTTTCCTTCACCTTCTTCCCCACTCGGAGATGAGATGTTGATCGGTAATTCGATTAGACACCCTGCTATTGCCTTCCTCCCGTCTACCAATCTACCGTGGTCCCCTCTCCTAAACTGTTTCACACGTACAATCATCATTGCAAGAAACCCAGGTCACCCACTCTCTATTCTAGTTTTACAGGCATTGATAACACCGTATTTATACATATTTTCCCACAATTTCTTGGCCATTTGGCTTACCCTTTGATCGCCTTTTGGCCCGTTTTACGCTAGGTAGTGCTTGTTGATTATGTTTTAGGTCCTAACACGTGAATGGAGGCTGAGAAGCAAGTTTGTGTGCAACTGGAGAGCAGATGGGAACCGAAGGTCAAAGCAGCTAAATCCAAGGTCTGGAAGCTACGACCGTGGATTCCATGTTTTAATCGTGGATTATTGGCAGGAGTATTCCCCGGTCTGGTGGCTCAATTCCACGACCAGGGATTACAGGGGTATGATCGTGGATTTTGCTTCGAGGGCCACTAGAATCCACGCACAATTTGGAATTCCACGATCTGAAACCCAATTCCACGGTAGTGGACTGCGGCGTCTATGGGTGTTCAAATGGTTTACCATAGTAATTACCGAACCAAACAAGTCAAAATTCTATTAACCATGGAATACAATATCATAACCAAACCGTCCAAACTAATACAACAACCAAATTAATCAAATTACAGTTTAATCGGTTTGGTTAATTGCTTTACCAGATTACCCAGTATAACATCACATTATCATTAAAGGGAGAAAATTTTCGGTTAATGCATCAATTCACGATTTATATGATGAATAAAACATTACAATGAACACATAGTTATAGTTAACCCTTGTAGGAATATATGCAACTAACCGAACCACCTGAACCAAACAAGCTGAATTTTTTAATCAAAGCAAACCAATTATCCAAATTAACCAAACCAAATTAGCCAAATACTACCGGTTAAAACGGTTACCACGGGAACCACACAGTTTGAACACCTCTAGCGGCGTCAGGTCTTCTAAGTTGCAGCTGAAGGGATTTGGTTGACTATTCGGGTTTTGCAAGTTCTAAACTGAGAGAGAACCCTAGAGAGAAAAAAGTGATGAAGCAGAACCTTGGGAAAGGATTGGAGCGATTTAAGGACATTGGAGCTCGATCTTTCACCCTCGGAGTGGCAATTTCCAGCATGGAGCAGACTCTCATCCCTCACATGATGATTTCTCTTCCAAGCTTTGCGTTTTCTCTTTTCTCTATGGAGTAAACTCCCTTTTTATCTGAGTATGAAGAACCCTAGTCTTGTATGTTAGGAATGGTTGTATGAACCCAGTTTGTGAATGATTGATTTGATATATTCAATTGAGGCATTAATAAGAATTGCATGAGTCCTGATCAAACTTTTGTGATTCCTACTTTAACCTAGAACGATAGTCTCTACATAGATTAATAGAGCAACCGACTCGCTAAAACACAACTCCTAACAAAGGCCAAGTGTAACCAATGAAAGGGACTGCAGTATAGTGGCTCAAGTAATAAATATCGAATCCATGGGTCTCTAGAGTTACAATTACCCAGCTTCAGTTCATTATCTAGCAAACCAAATTAAGATGGAAGAACTAAAACTACTCGAGCAAACTACAGTTAAAGTTAATCCAATTACAGGTTGGAAACTCACTTAAGTATGATTCCCCTAGCCACTAGCCAGATTAATGATTGATGATCTCTAACCTGTTTCACTTTCATTCACAATGTGAAGAATCATTGACTAGATCTTGAATCTCGAACAAAGGATCAAGGCCCTCTTGAGTCGATTGTCTAGAGGGACGAATCCTTCTCTAGAACAACCGATCAAGGCGTTCTGAACTAGACTCTCTCTATCGAATGAGATTCTCAATCGATACAAATCAGTGAATCGACCCTCTACTAAAGCAATCGATCCAATATTATCAATCTATGATGCTCAATTGACCTAATCTGGTATTCGCTCTCATAAGATCAAAACAAAATCAATAATCTCGACTAAAGCAGAATTGAATCATGAAATCATGCATAGATTGAATATGAACTCATAGTTATCAAGTAGGAGTACTCATACAATCATCCAATCAAACAAACATAGCTAGGGTTCGTCAAAACCTAAGTGAAGGGAAGTTACTCCATAGAGAAGAGAGAGACTGCAGTAAGAATCTTCAGATGATCAGTCTTCAAGTCCGGGCTTGTTCCTCTAGCTTCCAAGGCGAAGAAATCCTCCAATTCCACTCCAAGATTGCCCTCAAATCACCATCTCTCTCTTTGGTTCGTCCCTTGGGTGTTTGTGATCCAAAACCCAGCTCTCCTCCTCAATAAACGCACAAAACAGGCTTTTAATAACCCGAGTTCATGAAACCCGGTCTAAATTCCTGGTCGGGCATTTAGGGATCCGGTCGGGTATCAATACAATGCTCCGGGTCACTTTTCTAGGCAAAGGGAAAAATATCTAATCGGGTATTTTTGGTTCACGACCGGGGGGCCTTCTGAGTTCTGATCAAAATAACCTATCAGATGCTCAAACTACCCTATCGTGTATTTGACTCTACTGACCGGATATTTTACAATTTCGGGTCCCCTGTCTTTGATTTTTCGTTTCTCCCTCGTTCGGACTCCAAATCAAGTGTCGTTTTATCCCATACGCTCGTAGTCTCATCCTCTTTCTTCTCATGACAAGATTACATGATTATTTAGTCACAAAATGAGGTAGAAATCCATTCTTCTTCAAGTCATGTCTGAGTTTCTTCCCCCGAGTCGCCATTTGATCTCCGATTTGAAACTTGCACCTACACTTCATTTATGTGCTAGGACCGGAAATGTGACAACCTAGCGTAAAATAGGTCAAAGAAGCGATAATGAAAGCATAAACGATCAAGAAACAATGAGAAAACATGTGCAAATATCAGTCATCAACAACCTTAATTGGAATTAGTGGATCAATAACTTTAGTCGAGGAACTGCTCTGTATTGGAATTAAAACCAGTAGAGGAAGTTTGGTGTGTTATTGCCTCGGTCAGTCTACGTCGGTGGAGGTTAGTCGCCCGCCTGGTATTCGAATTGAGAGGGTCTGGAATTCTTTAGTCGAGATTCCAGACTTGTCCAGAACTTTCTGCTGTATATCTGTCATTTGAACTGAATTGGGGGAATTACAATCTGAACTAACTGCAGACTAGGGGGATTCATATCTGGATGACCTTTTGCATATTTCAAACTATAATATTTTCTATTTTCTGTTTGTTTTTGTTTTTGATAATTTTCACTCGAATAGAATCGCTAGATAACAGAGATTCACAGAGTAGATAGTAAATCTAGGACCCAGATTGATAAGTAAAATTGAGCCACTTTACTGCATTTCCATACTGCGATTATATTTGGTCGCAGTTTGGTGTTGTGTTTTAGCGAGTCAAGTTTTTGGCGCCATTGCCGGGACGTCTTGGTTATTGTAGAAATGTGAAAGTACGTTACTTTATCATTTACTTTTTTTCATTTTATCTCTTCCACTTGTGTGCCTTCATGGGTTGTGTTTGCAGATTGTGTGTAGGTAGTGCATAAATCATAGCGAGAAAGAAGAAGAGATGGGGGATCCTACAAATCAGTTGGGGGATCCAAATGGGGCTCAAGTTCATCCCGAGGAGCGAACTACAGGGTACTACTAGACCCCCAGGGCCGAGGATTTGAGGTCAAGCATCCAACATCCTCAAGTTGATGCCAACAACTTTGAGGTGAAGACCTCTATCATCACAATGTTGAAGGGCTATGTGGTCTTTCATGGAAGGACATGTGAGTGCCCACGCGAGCACCTGCGGCGGTTTCACGAGCTGATTGATGGGATCAAAATCAATGTGGTCCCTCAAGAAGCCATCCGGCTATGCTATTTCTCATTCACTATTGAGGGACTGGCCAAGACGTGGCTGGACAATCGGGCTCCATGGTCGATCACCACGTGGACCGACATGGCCAATAAATTCATGATTTGCTACCATCCCCCCAATCTAAAATAGAAAATCTACAGAAGGAGATAACCCACTTCAAACAGAAGGAGGATGAAACTCTCTGGGATGCTTGGGAGAGATACTCAGGTCTCTTCTTGAAGTGCCCAAACCATCGGTTCAGCTGATGCCTTCAAGGTAGCACCTTCTGTCGGGCTCTCTTTCTCAAAGACAAGCAGTTGATTGACTCAGACTGTGGCGGGAACATGCTAACCAAGATGCCAACCCAGTTGAACAAACTCTTTGAATAAATGGCGGAGTAGAGTTATGATTGGGGTTCTGCAAGGAGATCTCTACGAGCATCGGGCTGCGGCACCAGCATCTTAACCTTTCCTGTGGTGGCAAGAGCAATCCTAAGCCATTAGTCCAATCAACATGCCGTTAAAGTTCTTGACGGAATAGCTTTATCTGTGTATTTTTCAAAATTTGGCTATTGTTGTCACAAAGTGCGAATTTGTGGCTATACAAGTGTATTTAGCCTTAAAATTGAACTCATGTTTGCTACATATATTCAGGTGTAGTGTTTGGTTTTACTAGACACATTATGAATTTTTCTGGGATAGGAAAGAACTTTCAGAACCTGAAACTGAGAACATGGTTTACATTTTGACATGCATTTTCCTTACACAGGATAGCGTTTACCAAAGTGTGAAAACCAGGAGCTTCAAAATCTAATCTAAGAAAATGCTTAGAGCAAATCGGTTCACAAATCTTGTCCGTTCGACCAGAGATTCATTCTTCTCATGTGAAGTCCCAAGAGGCTAAAGCTCATCACCGTATCATCATTGACTTGAGGAGCCAACCATGAGATTGTTTAGAAGGTCATGAAGAAAAAGGTGAAGTATGGACCGAAGGAGAGCCCAAGATCCGCAAAAGAGTTAGAATGTTTTGTGTCATGGTGGACAACTTAGAATGTTTGGTGATGCTGAACAAGGAGTTAGACTGCTATGAAAATGATTGTAATGTTTTGTATCTTTGGTAATCTTTCCATTATCATATTGCAATGGAGAAAACAATTTCGAATTATGAAAATTTTAAAGCAGGTCAGATGTGACAACATGTCATGTCGTCACATTATGTACATTGCCTGACAAATTGTTCTCTTGTCATATTAGACATGAGATAAATAAACCACTTGTGATGACAACCTATACTCGTCATAATATGCGGTTATGACAAAGTATATTCGTCATAATATTCAGTTATGAAAAAATAATGTCATCACAATAAACACTTGTGACAAAATGTAATCGTCGCAATATACAATTATGACAAAATATAATCGTGTACTATGACGAACTATTCTCTCAAAATCACCAGATTATGACAATCGTAATGACAAAATATGTCGTCATAACATCTCTGTTTGCCACAATAGACTACCCAGAACCTCGGCCATACTGAAAACAAATATGATAACCTTGTTTTAAATTTTTGTCACATTTGAACTATCCTGACGACGATAAAATGACAAACCTTTGTGACAACATCTCTTATCATATTATACCTAATATGAAAAAATTGATATCTAATATGACAAAATTGCCTCGTCATAATAGGCCGAATTTGTTGTAGTGATCTCTTCTTCTTTCTCGCTATAAGATCCATCGACGACAACGACCTTGTCCAAGTCCTCCTCCGCAGCCAGTCTCGCTTGCAATGCTTTCTTAAACTTACGACAAGTCCGTTCGAGCTGTTGATCTAATGGCAGTGAATCTCCCGACTGGCTACGGGTTATGCACTACCTACACTCAATCTGCAAACACAACCCATGAAGGCACATAGGTGGAAGAGAGAAAATGCAAAAAAACAAATGCTAAAGTAACATACTTTCACGTTTCTGCAAGATACATAATCTCACACTCATAGAGATTCTATATCTCGATTTACCAGCTTTTTCCTCCTACTTTATCGCTTCCTTTTCTTAATTATCCCACCAAAATATACGTATCAATAAATTCTCCATATTTCATGAACTGATCTATTTTTTTTTTATTAAGGTGTTTAATATAATATCAGAATTTTTATTTTCATTGAATGTTAACAATCTTGGTGCCAAACAATGAACATTTTAAAATCCTTTTTCAACAATCCAAAAAGTTAGAGTCTTTGGATTGTTTACAATATGTAGATTTAGACTCATAGTCATATTCGTCAAATAACCCATATATGTAAATGTAACCACCAAACATTAATCCAAAATCCTAATCCACGTTAACCTACAGTCAAAGCCCAATGCAACCCATGCTACAACCAACATAACCAAGACATACCTTGAAATGATATAAGCTCAATGAACCTTTTTCCTTATCTGATTTTTGGTGCTCTTGTTGCTTCTTTTCTATTTGTGTGTTGCAAAATGAAGAGAATAATGAAGAATGCAAAAAATGCGAGGGGGCTGGGTATTTATTTTCATTAAAATGAGATTCTATATCTTACTTAGGTTTGTGGTTATTAAAAACGAGTCGAACCGGTAAAACTGGCATCCGACCACCAGTTCGGCTCGGATAAGCTAACCTTTTATCAAACTGGTCGGTCGGCGAGCAGTCGCACTCAAATCGCTCAAACCGTCCGTCCGTCCGGTTTTGAGGTCTGCCCAACAATTAAAAGAAATTAAAATTAAGTTCCCCGATTAAGGACAGCTGGGTAACGAACCGGAAAAAGAAAGAGCCAAATTTAATCGGTCCAGTTTACTCCCTTTCATTCTTTCCATGGAAATAACCGGAATTAAAAATAGGTTTACAGGTATAATATACCCCTCTACGGCTCTACTATGCAGTTCTATCAAACATGCCCCTCTACTACTTTTTACATCAAGCTTACCCTTATACTTTGAAAAAATTCTCAAACATACCCTTATGTTAAAATTTTTATAAAAAAATGTTCAACCACGGTGGAACCGAGATTCGCACGACCCGACATCGAAAAAATTGGGGGAGGGGGGGGGGTGGTGAAATATCAGTTTTTCTTCCTTCTCCATGTCTTTTTACCGTGAAATTATTAGAGGTATTTGGTTGTACAAAAGAAACAAAACAATTCTAAAGTGAAATTGTTAAACATATTTTAGACATAGGTGTCGCCCAAACTAAGGTTCGAGCATGGTCGATGGTTTTTGGATGCAAATTTTAACATAAGGGCATGTTTGATCATTTACAAAGTATAGGAGCATGTTTGATAGGGCTGGTTATTTGGTCTGGACTGTTTTGTTTTACCCGAAACTGGACCGTATAACCCGGATCAGGACTGGACTGGGACCGGATAGCAAACAATCCAATCTCATATTCGGGCTTAGATTTGAGGTAAAAAACCCGGATAAAGACCGGATAAGATACCCCAACACTCAAATCCCCACAAGCTCAATCTAAAATCAAGATCAAATTGGGACCGTACCGGGTCAAGACCGGACCAGATCAAGACCGGACTGTATCCAATCTAATCTTTGGTCCTTATATTCCTGAAAAGACCGGACTGGAACCGGATCAATTTGGTCCAATTTAACCAGACCGGACCGTATAGCCACCCCTAATATTTAATGTAAAAAATAATAAATGAGCATGTTTGGTAAAACGACATAGTAAAAGGACATATTATACCTATAATCCTTAAAAATAACTCTCCCAATTTTGAACAAAATGCTCTCGCCTGAAGCTATCGTCTCTCCTTCTCCGCCGACAACTCCAGGGGTTACAGGGTGGCCACCGGATGCTAATTTACCTAATCCCCCAAGGGCGGGATCGCCAGTCCTCACAGCCTCCTCTCAGCCCTTGAACTTTAAAGCCGCTCTATCGTGGATCAATCAAGAAACACCAAGGAAAGCTTCCCAATGGACGTTCGTGGGCGCGGACGACATCGAGACAGGCTGTTTCCAAGGGGAGCCAGAATTGAAACTGTCATCAAAATTCAAAGAGAGGCTTTGCCAGCCCTGGAAAAAGACGCTTGTAGTTCGTCTGTTGGGACGATCGATTGCTTATCCGTATTTGTGCTCTCAGCTGCGGCGGATGTGGAGGCCGGTAGGCTCTCTGGAAATTTTGGACCTCAGCAACGACACCTTTTTGACAACATTCGGGAATGACCAGGACTATCTGAGAGCGCTTACGGGCGGACCTTGGGTCATTTTGGATCACTACCTGGTGGTGCACCAGTGGTCGCCGACGTTTCGTACCTCCGACAAGCCTCACAGATCGGTGGTTGCCTGGGTACAGTTCCCAGAATTACCAGTTCATTTTTATCATAGAGAAGTTTTATTCGCAATTGGGAATTTGATAGGCAGGACCGTTAAGCTCGACTATCACACGGAGATGTTGGAAAGGGGCAAGTTTGCGCGTATTGCTATTGATCTTGACATGACGAAGCCGCTTCCGACCAGAGTCAGGCTTGACGGAGCGTGGCAACAAGTGATCTATGAAAACATTCCAACAATTTGCTACTCATGTGGACGGATTGGGCATACAGAGGAGGAGTGCCCATTGAAAAAGCCGACACCGATGATGGCGATTACGGTAGGGACAGGTACAAACCTCGAACTCTCGCCGGTGATAGAGTCATCGGAGATTCCCGCCGGTTATGGACCTTGGATGCAGGTTGCCAGAAAAGCTAAGCGACACACTAGGAAACCAGCGGATTCTCAGCCACAAAATCAAGGAAATAATAAGGGGAAGAAACAAGATACAGCCCGTGATTCCGGTTCAACAAAAGGAAAGGGAAGTTTCGATGGGGGGAAAGTGAATCAAGACACAAAAGTAAAGGGTGAGCAGAAGCAGGGAAATAAACATGCCAAGCAGGGCAAACTCAATGAAAAAGCTACGACTGAGAGTTTGACTGAGAGTTTTGAGGCTTACGGTCAAAAGAAGATGGGATTGGGCCAGGAGTGGCGCCCAATTGGTCTTGGACCCAAAAACAAAGGGGAAGCCTCTACTAGCGCAGGACATGGGCCCAACGATTTAATTGATAAGAATAATAGTTCAGAAACTAGCCCACCTCTCTCGCAGAGCTCGCATGTCATAATTGGACCAAACAACACTAAGATTCAGGTCTTGACCGTCCCCGATTTGAAGATGCAGCAGAAGGAAAATAGGAACCCCAACACCGGGGAAGCTGCAAATCGGAAATCTGGCTACAAGCAAGAGAAGGAGCAAGCTCTTCACCTGAAGGGCATTAGTCTAAAAGCGACTAAGAGACCCCTGCAGATCTGCAATTCAGGGAAGAAAGAGGGGCCGATGAAGCACAAGCAAACGGCGTTTCCCCTATCAATTAAAGCTATCGAAGAGTTTTGCACGACGTCGCAGAAGAAGATAGACTGTCTCAATGAAGGGGAAACAAAGGACGTCGCCATGATCGAGCTGCCAGTTGTGGATATGCCCACCAAGGAGAACCATACAGGGGAAAAGGGGAATCCGATTCCTGCTCCACTCTGACCCTTTCCTTTTTGATTTATCTGTCTTCCCCTTCTCTTTATTTCCATGATTTACAAAACTAACTTTAAAATTTTGTCTTGGAACGTCTGTGGTGCAGGAAGCAAAAAGTTTAATCGGGCCATTCGTTTAATGAAGAGTATGCATAAACCAGATTTTTTGATCATCGTAGAACCTCAAATCAGTGGTGGTCGAGCAAATGTGGTGTGCAGTAAACTGGGTTTTGATGAAGTTCTTCGGGTGGATGCGGATGGCAGGTCAGGGGGGATTTGGTTGGCTTGGAAATCTGACGATTTCAAGGTAACTCCTCTCAGTGCTAGCAAGCAACACATAACAGTCAGAGTGTCGAAGGAGGGGCATCCAGACTGGATTCTCACTGGAGTTTATGCTAGTCCTAAATATAAATACCACTCTCTTCTTTAGGAGCAACTTATTCATTCTAGTAGACGTTGGAACCTCCCCTGGATAGTCACCGGTGATTTTAATGCCTTCTGCACACCTGAAGAGAAGAGTGAAGCTTGCTCAACTAGAGATCTCAGACGCTGCAAGAAGTTTCTGAATTGGATGAATGAAGCATGTCTCACTGATATGGGTTTCTCGGGTCCTCGCTACACCTGGTTTAGAGGAGATTCAAACTCGACCCATAGGGCTAGCAGAATAGACAGATCGTTGGGCAATGACTCTTGGAATGCTATCTTTCCAAATACTGTGGTTCAACATCTCCCAAAGTTCCATTCCGACCACCTACCAGTTCTCACTAGCTACAATATGTCACCTCCTACGGATGCAACCGCAAGACCATTTTGCTTTGAAGCGGTTGGGCTCCTACATCCGCATTTCAAAGATTTTTGTTCAGAGAACTGGAAGAAAGAAGCAGAACTCACTTACTCTTTGAAGGAAATGGCAGATAAACTGAGTGTTTGGCAGAGGGATGTCTTTGGTTCCACAAGCCGCAAAAAGAGGAGGCTGCTGGCAAGGCTCGCGGGAGTAACCGAGTGTCTGGCTAATTCATTTAGCCCGGGTCTTTTGAAACTTCAAATCCGATTGGAGAAGGAATTAGACTTAATCATAGCTCAAGAAGAAGTCTACTGGTTTCAACGATCTAGTGAGAAATGGGTGAAGATGGGAGAGCAGAACACTTCTTACTTTCATCAACAGGCAACTAGAAGAAGAAGGCGCAATAAGATTATGGCTCTGCGCAATGCCAATGGGGATTGGATTGAGAATCAGGAGAACCTTAAAGACTTAGTGGTTCAGTTTTACCGTTTGCTTTACACTCAGGAAGAGGGGATCTATGAGGACAGAATGCCCAAAAACAGGTTTCCTCGACTGTTGCAGGATGATCTCTTGAGTTTGCTTCGTCCCTTTCATATTTCAGACTTCCATAAGGCTATTCTTGAGATGAAGCCTCTTGCAGCTCCTGGTCCAGATGGGTTTCAAGCTTTGTTCTATCAGAAGTTTTGGGCCTTGGTGGGAAGGAACCTCTCTGAGATGGCTATTCATTTTTTTGAAACAGGGAACATAGCGGAGGAAACTGTGGAGTCTACGGTGGTTCTCATCCCCAAAGTTGACCACCCTGAGACTCCGGCTCAATTCCGCCCGATAAGTTTGAACAACGTTGCCTTAAAAGCAATCACCAAGGCAATAGGTAATAGACTTAAACCGCTGATGCCTAAACTGGTTGCTCCAAATCAGAGTGGCTTCATAAAGGGTAGGCAAACGAATGACAATATCGTTCTGCTTCAAGAAACTTTACACTCCTTAAGGAACAAGAAGGGTAAGAAAGGAGGTCTGGTCATTAAGATAGATCTTGAGAAAGCGTATGATCGTCTGCATTGGAGTTTCCTGAGAGACACTCTAGGTGAGATTGGCCTCCCAAGCACTTGGATCATCAGGATTATGACCTGTGTGGAGCAAAATCAGATGCGCATCAACTGGAATGGAGAGCTTACCTCAGTGATCAGGCCATCAAGAGGAGTCAGACAGGGAGATCCTTTGTCCCCTTTCCTTTTCGTTCTTTGTATGGAAAGACTTGCACATCGTATTGATCAAGCAGTAGATGAGAAACTTTGGAAACCAATCACTCTGACGAAAGATGGGCCAAAGCTATCTCATCTATTTTTTGCTGATGACTTGATTTTGTTTGCAGAAGCAGAAGGAGGGCAAATTGATGTCATCCGATCTTGCCTGGAGGAGTTCTGCGCGAGCTCGGGTCAGAGAGTAAACTTCAACAAGTCTGCCATGTATGTTTCCCCAAATATCCGGAGGGACAAAGCGCAGAGACTTGGAGAGAGGGCTGGAATCACTCTAACCAACGACCTAGGGCGATATCTGGGCCTTAAAACCATCAATGGAAGAATCACCAAAGGGAGATACCAAGAGCTGATTTTGAGGATCCAACAAAAACTGGCTACCTGGAAAACCAACCATCTGTCCGTGGCGGGCAGAATTACCCTGGTGAAATCGATCACTTCTTCTATGGCAATTTATCCCATGTTTACAGAACGATTACCTACTGCAATATGTAATTCTCTTGACAGGATCAATCGGCAGTTTGTTTGGGGAGAGGAGGATGGTAAATCTAAATTTCATCCAGTAGCATGGGAGCAAATGACAAAACCGCGACAACAAGGAGGAGTTGGGATAAGACCGACCAAATTAGCCAATCAAGCGATGTTAGCTAAAGGGGCTTGGAAGCTGGCTACTGGGAACCAAGCCCTTTGGGCTAGAGTAATGAGAAGTAAATACGGGAGAAATCGACAAGGACTTTCTATACTTCAAAAAAGAAAGGGAAGTTCTTTCGCTTGGAATAGTTTTTCACACACTGTCAACTTGTTGCGCAAAGGGGCAGCTTATAATGTTACTACAAGTCAGAAAACTAAGTTTTGGACTGATGTGTGGGCTATGGAGGAACCGCTTTTGGAGGTAACTACAAGCGAGGTGCCGCTGGATAAGAGGGATAACAGGGTAGCTGATTATTGGGAGGGTCCGGGAGGCTAGAGAATCCAGGAGTTACAGCAATACTTACCTCCCGAAATCATAAACAAAATTCGGCCATCAAACTATACCCCTTGGCGAACAAGGAGGATCAGCTCATCTGGAACCTTACGTCTTTAGGCAAGTTCAGCACCAACTCAGCCTACACAGCGAACTCTCCAGATCAAGACAATGCAGGGACGTTGCAATGGAGCAAGATTTGGAAGCTTCACTGCCCGGAAAGAGCGCGCTTCTTCATTTGGTTAGCAGCGAAAGGAAAGCTCTCGACCAACAGCATTCGTAAGCTTAGACATCTAACTACCAATGACACATGCCCTTTATGCAACAATGTTGTAGAGACAAATTTGCACTGTTTGCGGGAATGTACGGCAGCAAGGAAGACTTGGGAGAAAGCAATCCCAGCCCAGGCTCACTTCGGTTTCTTCAATGCTGATAGGGAAGCATGGTTCCGAATGAATTTAGAAGGGAAAGTCAAAGAGGAGAACCACGATCAATGGCCCAACATGTTTTCTTTGATGTGTTGGTATATTTGGAAATATAGATGTGATTTTATTTTTCAGGGGAAGAAGATGGCTGAGTCATCCATTACCAATTATGTGACCTCCAAAGCGACAGATTGGATAAATACCTGGGAGAAAGCTAGTCTCAACATCGACTCCAATGGAGGGCATAGGCGAATGGATCAGATGATCGGGTGGACAACCCCCGCCAGGGGGTTGGAGGAAGATGAATACTGATGGGGCGTCTCAGGGCAGCTCGGGTATGGCGTCTGCAGGTGGGGTTCTCAGGGATAGCGAGGGAGCTTGGATTGGCGGTTTCTGCTGCAAGATAGGGACCGGCTCGGCGATTCTAGCAGAGCTATGGGGGATACACCAGGGACTCATCTTGGCTTGGAATCAAGGAAGTCAGTTTTTGATTCTTGAAACGGATTCGCAGCTAGCTATCGATCTTATTAGGAACAGAGAAGAACAGACTCACTGTCATGCTACTATTCTTACGGCTATCAGAAGGCTACTTGTTCAGAACTGGGTGGTGAGGTTGGTTCACACGTACTGAGAGGGGAATAAAGCCACAGACTGACTCTCGAAGCACAGTCTCGTCTATCCCTTCGGTATGAGTGAACTAGCTAATCCTCCGCGAGAGTTGGAGAGAATACTATTAGAGGATGTTGTTGGTGTCAGTTTCCCTAGGATGGTCTTGCAAGACAGGTACGATGTGTGATCCCTGCAGGTGTAGGCTTGGCCTTTTCATCTTTAAGCTCAGGGACACTGTTTCTTGGTTGTTTTTAAGGCATGACCGAATGTAGAGAAGCATTGGCAGTGCCCTGCTTTTGGGATTCTCTCCTGTAACTTTGCTGGCTTGTGCCTCCCCTTTAATAAAAAAAAAACGGAGTAAAAAGGAAAAGAGTCTTTTAATTTTATTATGGAAAAAGGAGTCATTTAATTGGTCCCATTTATATCACTTTTCAATCTTACCATGGAAATTTCCATATTAGTGCATGGCTTTTACTTCTTAGTTTATTCAGTACTCTAAATTGCAACTTTCTTCTTCAGGATATACGACTATAAAATGAAAGTAGTTATGTTTTATTTGAGTAATTTTGTTACGATTTTTAATAGCTATTTTAAAGATACGTACTTCAGGAATAAAGTGATATTATATATTTCAATTATAATATTCTTGTTTGTTAGTGTAAGACACCAATTCGTTAAGAATATTTTAAAAATTTGATATTGGTTAAGTCAATTAAGTGTGAATCACTTGCTATATCGATTAGTACTCCAACTCAATCCTAACAACAATGCTTCTTGTACATCTGGTAGTAGCGAACTAGTACAACAGTTGTAAAAATATCGTTGTCAAAACCACAGTAGTTGCTTTGCTTACCAGCGAACTACGAGGTTGTTTGGAAGTTGCGTATGTTAAATGGTTGTATTGTGAAAAATCATTGCAATATATAATACATGTATTGATACAATCGTTGCATTTAACATTACATTGTTTGGTTGTTGAGTTTATAAGTTAGTGATTAACTTACATTAACTTTTTGGTGGAAATATCACATTTACCCTTTATTTTAACATACAACATATAACTCTTTTCCCCCTTAGTAAAGGATATAAATGAAAATACAAAGGAGATATAAACCTAAAAGCAACAATCACAACAATCTCAACTTTTAGCTGAGATTGTATAATACCTTAATTTTTGTGATTGTAAGTGGGACCACCCAAAACAATACATGTATTGTTTCGCACTTTGACAATTCCAAAGGTTATATTGTGGATAATGCATGTATTCTATAACTACAATACTCACAATCGCAACTTTCAAACGAAACCTACATCATCACTTCACTATCCAACGAACCACCACAAACTTTTTGTATTTCGGCTTTTTTTCCGGTGATAATTTGGTTTGGCCCACCATTGTATTTTAAGGCTTTTTCCGCTTATAACAACTATCGTCGATATATCACTAAAACATTCAATCGAATTGAAATCAGCCTCTAGAGCAAGGTTGTTAACCTGCAAACCGATTCGGACCTGGTCGAGCTAGTGGGTCCAGGGTTAATGGATCACTCGTTTTAACTCGATTTAGCTCGGAAATCTACAAAATACTATAAGCGGATGTCAATAAAGAGCCTTTGCCACATAAGCTCTTCCTGCGCAACCCGTACTGCTAGGGAGGACACCCCTGTAATTACTCAACCCGTCCGTTAATTAGTTATAATAATTAGGAGGTGGATTGAAAAAAAAAATACGTTACAGGAGGGATAATTGGTGGGGTAGGGTGTAGGGTGTAAGTGTAACGGGTGGGGAGTGGGGTTAATTCTCTTCTTTTTTTTATTATATAATAATAACAATAATAATATAATCAATATTATGATTATTCTTAATCCATGGTTGTCGCACGTAACCGTTCATCCAACCGTCCCTTTATTAATTATTGTTGAACCTGAACCTTAAATGTTGGAGTGTTACATAATAAGATAATTTGTAGGATCAATAATCAAAATATACTCAATCTTATTCAATTCAGTCTAGATATCGATTCAGTACAATTTACTTCGATGTAGACTAGATGATTACCCACCTAAAAAAAAATTGTACCTGAGATTGCAGTTCCGCGAGTAGTATTTGGCAAAGTCCTAAACTCCGGCTTTAACTTCCTATAACTGTATGTCTATCAATTTGTCTAATGCTTTGCCAAATATGAATTCAATAAACTATTATACATGAACAAGTTTTATGCAATTCCAATAACCAAACTCCACGTCGGTCCAATTTTAGGTGATTCCGTAGCTTTTGATACTATATTGTCCCCCTTCTACTTTGGGTTAGGGATATTATTGCCAGATAAATTCTAACTTGGCCTCTTCATAGATTAACACCAATTATATACCAAAGCAATAGATTTAACCCAATTTAAACAAAAATATGTGCTCCAATTTGTGGACCGTAGATATACAATGTAATCTCATGCTTACCAAGACAAGAAAAACTTACCATGGTTTCCACAAATAGTGATAAGTGCGATAATGATCATACACCACAAAATTTGCATCCCTAAATTCGAGGATAAACTATTCAAATGTATATTCACAGAGACTAATAACGAAAAGATGTCAACTGGTTGTTGTGAAAGCCTTTTATGGATAGAGATTGAAAGTCTACAAACAAACGATATTATTTCAATAAAGAACGAAACTCATCTATTTGTTGCCCTAAAATAGTTTAGACCAATCCAAGCAAACTTATATATACTGTCAATATTTAGTAGGTCAATTTTCATGTATGGGAATTGTTTCTGATTTGCGTTTTGCTTAATGCTTACCATTCTGCAAGGTGATCAATTGGAGTTTCAATGTGTAACTTTATAACTTGAAGTTGGTTTATCCAATTCGTTCGCAATTGTCAACTTCTTTAATTTTATATACACACTTTACTTCTGTCATGATAAATTTGGTATTGTTGAAGTTAAAAAGAATATATGACAAAACTTAGTTAAAATTTTGTTTCACATATTCTGTTGATATTTCACAAATTCAATCTTTCCTTCAAGAAGAAATAGAAACCTCCGCCGGCCAACGGGCCGGGCACGATTACTAGTATAGAAAGAGTCATTGTATTGTACTTATCCTGATAAATTATATCATTTCATTTTAAAATGAATTACTATCTAGAATTCCCAAATCAATAGAAATAAATGAATTGAATTCCCAAACCATGTTTGGTATATGTTTAGAATTGAATTAAATTAAAACTTTCTCCAACTACACCCTTATTAATTACCGGAAGATACAATATTCATTGAAAATTCATCTTTAAAAAATGTCTTTGGTCTCATACGTAGAATATCAAAACTGTTCTTGTGTTTCTATTTTATTCATTAATTCTTTTCTAATATTTTGTCCATGAACCCTACAATCTAGTTGTACTTTCTCAACGTACTAATACAATCAAACTAGAAATACAAAATAACCAGCATATGCTATTAGCGTTGCAATCAAGTTCTTGGTGACGTTTCCCATACTGCATCAATTAGCGCGAAATAATATATGTAGAAGTAATTTCGTTAATAAATGAAGATAATTATGTCATTCTATTATAATTAGTAAATACTCGTGGAATTCATTTGCAAATTCCATCTCAATTTCTCCAAATTTCTCCGAATTGCTACAACTAGTTGCAATTCCATAAAATTCAAAATTTAGAATTAAAAATAAATTCTATTAAATACCAAACACAAAAAGATTTCATTTCAAAATGAATTCCTCAAAACTTATGAAATTCATTTATACCAAACGGTATGATAGTGAAAATTCACACAACACTTATATTATATCAATATTGAAATGTTCAACTTAGCATTCCAAAAATTGAGTTAAGCGAAAAGAAAAATCGAAAAATAGGCGCATTTCGTAAAACAAAGAAAAAAAATGACACAATTTGACCGCCAACCCGATACCTTGTAGCAATCGACCCAACAAGTGCGTACGGCCCGTTTTTCTCACCAGGTTAAGGGTCAAAGTGGATCGAACCGCACCTTGCTAAGAGTGAAAGGGTATAGAAAGAACCGTTCATGCGATTAAAAAAAGCCAACACCATCCACACTATCTCAACCCGATTACCAGAAGCTTTCGATAAGATGTTGAGAATACAAACCGTCAGTGTCGGCTGGTCACACTAGAGGAAAGCATAGATGGAGTTCATATCAAATCAGAGACTACAATACCCCATATCATGGAATCCATGGTACGACATCAAACGATAATAGCACAGAGAAGAGAGTAGACGTATCATCCTAGAAATGAACACACTATTGCTGACCCTCTCCTGATTCATGCTTTGTTGATGCTTCCTTGATCTCGTCCCCAGCATCGTCCTGCAAAGGAAGACAACACATTAGTCTCACTTTCCTAAGACACCAGCGAGACACAACCAATCAAGAGCAATGGACCGAGATTGCGAGTGGAAATTTAAGCACATTCTAACCGTAACGTTGAATTTTAAGATGCGAGCAGTTCAACGAATGATAGGTAAAGACAGGACATGTGAGAACCTCACCGTGATATCAGAAGTCCATAGTGTTAAGTTGTCACGGAGTAGTTGCATGATCAAAGTGCTGTCCTTGTACGACTCTTCACCTAATGTGTCCAGCTCGGAGATGGCCTCATCAAAAGCCTGCACAAAGCAAAATATGAGACTTGAAGATATGATAGTATAGGAAGTATGAATACTGCAAAGCGATTATAAATCAAGAAAGTCAAATAATCAACTGAACAGCAACGTAAAGCATCAACAGGAAATATAATGCAAGTACTACAGTAAAAAGGATCATTCAACCACAAGTTAACACACAGGTATTCTCCAGCAACAAGTTCAAGCCCATCACTTAAGATGTCATAGCCAAAATGGCAACCCAATAACACTTTCCTCAATGCCAATTTCCAAAAAAGACTAAAAGATCAAATATATTGGTAAAAATTAGATCTTCCTTCATACAAACAAGCATCAAGAGGATAGTTCCGCAAGATGAAATCATGAAAATATACCTGTTTCGCAAGACTGCAGGCACGATCAGGTGAGTTCAGGATCTCATAATAGAAAACAGAGAAGTTGAGTGCCAGCCCCAGACGGATCGGGTGGGTAGGAGCCAAATCAGCTAGTGCAATATCCTATACCAAGGAAACAATGAGATGAAACTTCTGAAATGTAATAAAATACACGTAGCCCAATGAACACTGAATGAGCACAATAGAGAAATTTGTGGCCAATAAAAAACCAACAGATGACTGAAACAAACATTATAACAGCAAGTACTCTTTCGAACGCACCTGTGCAGACTTGTAAGCCATCAAGGTGCTCTCAGCAGCTTCCTTCCTCTCTGCACCAGTCTTAAACTCAGCAAGATACCTATGGTAATCACCCTTCATTTTGAGGTAAAACACCTTAGACTCAGCAGCCGAGGCAGAAGGAACGAGATGTGTCTCAAGAAGGTTCAGGATGCCATCACAGATCTTGCTCAGTTCGGTTTCAATCTTAGACCTGTACTCTTTGATAATAGAAACATGATCCTCATTTCCCCTGCTCTCCTCTTTCTGCTCAATGGAAGAGATGATCCTCCACGAAGCTCTTCTTGCTCCAATCACATTCTTATAAGCCACGGAAAGTAGGTTCCTTTCCTCCACAGTCAGCTCCTCAACATCAACTGTCTTTGCAACTTTCTCCATGAACTCCACCATTTCCTCATAACGTTCAGCCTGCTCAGCCAACTTGGCCATGTACACATTCTCCTCGCGGGATGCTTCAGCAGACATCTTTTCTCAATCTAAAGAGTAAAACCCATGGAATTGGTTTATTAACGAGCATCATTAAGATGGAAACAAACAGTTACAATAGAAACCAACTTTCATTCTCATTTAAATAATCATTGAAGCCAGACTACCATCACTTACAAACAGAAATGTGCCAAAACATATGGGCACGCCATATCATTTCTGTTTTACCTTGAAAACCAACAGAAAATCTGAAGCGACAAAGCAAAACCAAGGCACAAGGAGGATATCATTTCACCTCTTATCTTCCTCCGGAATGATCCAAACTATGCTAACTAATGTTTATTTATAATTTATAAATAAATAACACAGGTTCCAATCAATGTGTCTTTGTTCTTTCAAAACATATGAAAACCCCACCAGTACTGTCTTCCATTAAATTGATTCCATACAGTTGCAGATAAAGGCACACAGCCGACCAGGGAAGCAAGTACAGCATCTCGGGAGATGTAAATTCAGGAACAAAACCCCAATCTGGTACAATATTAGGATTTCCTTGTATTGATATCTTCTCCCAAAAGCCAAACTAGCAGATCAGAATCAACAACAGGAAAAGTGCAAGTCAACGCCTAGCCAGAAATTTCCACAAAACCGTTTTCACCAGAGTAAAAATCCCACCACGAAACCAACTCAACAGCAGTTAGATCCCGGAACAAAGAAATCGACAAAGCCATAAGAAAGATTCAAACGAAGAACCCTACAAGCCGTAATCAAGCAGCCTAAAAACACTCGGCAGATCTTGAGAAGGGAAGTCGCGAATCAAGATTGGAATAGCATAGATCGATAGAAATGACCTATTATCAATCATCAAAAATGGATTTAGTGATGGGTTAAGAAACTAGGGCTTACCAATAAGAAACTGCGAGCGGGCGGGCGGAAGGGAGGAAGATCGATGCGGAACTATGACGCCGGAGAAGAAAGATAGAGAAATTAGGGGAGAAGAATGAGGGCGGGGGAAAGGGGTTGAAACTTGAAAGGCGAGTGGAGAGAGAGGGAGGGAGGGAGGCTTGAGGGAAGGAGGTCGAATGAGGAGCTGACAGGTGGTGGGTGGCGGAGATGAAGAGAGAGAAGGCTAGGGCTTGACGGTCAACGCTCTCACACGAAAAATACAATCAAATTGAAGGAGACTATTTTTTAGCCAATTTTTTTTATGATTTTAAAATATTAGCTAAATTTTTAAAAATATGAAATATCATCCAAATTTTTCATAAAGCTACAAAATTATAGCTATCTTTCGTTAAAATTAAGGTCAGACTTAACAAAATTACATCTAAGCTAAATTGTCAGTCTACGTTTTTGACACATCAACGCCATGTCAATTAAAACATATTTTTTTCATAGGGGAATCCACCCCACTTTGTCATTTTTATACTTTTCCAAGTGTTGTGATGAAATTCCACGTCTTATATGCATTTGTTATTGACCAAGAATCGATTGGAGTTCATCCGAACACGATTGGGAAGCATAGGAGCAAGCAGGGGAGAAGATGCACAGGTCACGACCACATGTCACGGCCGTGACCACCATGCCATGACCATGTTCGTGGTTTGAGGATCACGACAGTGAACAGAATCGCGAACTTCAGCATGCAACCAAGAAGAAGGTAGAGAGTTATCCCAGTCGAATCGCGGACATGGTGCAATTTGGCCGCGAGAAAAATCGCGCTTGGGACACAAAGATCATTGTCGCGATCTCCAAGTTTAAAGACGGAGCCAAAACTCGTCATTTTGGGCGACTCGGAGACGTTCCAGCTGGTCACGGCCGTGACCATCACGTCACGTCCTAAAGGCATTGACCGCCATCAGCTTTCTATAAATAGCTAGGAGGTTTCGACCCTAGGAAACCGTCTCATCTCTAGCGTTCTCCCAACCGCTTGGTTGGTTGTTTAGAAGTAGGTGATGCTCTAAAACACAACACCTAACAATGGCCAAGTGTAACCAATGAAAGGGACTGCAGTATAGTGGCACAAGTAATAAATATCGAATCCACAGGTCTCTAGAGTTACTATTACTCAGCTTCAGTTCATTATCTAGCAAACTAGATTAAGGATTGATTAACTAAACTACTCTACTAACTAAACTAAGTAAAACTACTAATTACAGTTTGGGAACTCACTTAGGTATGATTCCCCCTAGTTCCTCAATTAGGTCCAAGTTGTAATTCCTTTTGGTTGATTTACTGTTGATTAAACTGCGGAAGATCCGACAGTAGCTTGGAATCTCTTAAGCTGACCAAACCCTCTCAGTCTAACTATCCGGCAGACGACTAGTCTTCACCGGGATAGAAAGCTGAAGCAATAAGCACAGAACTCCACTACTGGAATTGGATTCCAGTACAAAGCAGTAAACTGGCTAACTCTCGTATAGCCAATCTCCTACTACCGAATGATGAGACTCTAGCAACCTAATCAGATTCTATCTATCTCAGATTGCAGCAGGAATCAGGAAAAGTTGATCAGACTTCAATTGACTCAATAAACATGCATCATTCGATTATAATCAAACAATATAGCATCCAAAACTTCATACAAGAAAGATCCTAACTCATGGAACTAAGGTTCCTCAAAACCTAAGTGAAGGGAAGTTACTCCATAGAGAAGAGAGAGACTGCAGAAATCTGATCTAGATCTTCAATCTCCATCTCCAAGCTTGATTCCCGAGCTACAATGGCGAAGAAATCCTCTGAAATAGCTCCAAGAATGTTCCCAAGTCGCTTTCTCTCTCTAGGGTTCGTCCCTTGGGTGTTTGGGATCCAAAACCCAGCTCTCCCTCTTTCCTTTTGCTGAAAATCGGGTTTTAAACAGCAATTCCCGACTCACACGGCCAGGCCACACGGCCGTGTGGCTTTCTCAACTGCCCGTGTGAAGGCTCGGTGATTTCCACACGGCCACATGGCCAGTTCACACGGCCGTGTGGGTCGTGCCCGTGTGGCTTGCTCAGCCTCTGTTTAATGCTTCGTTTCTCCTTCGTCCGGACTCCGAATCAGTCGCCGATTGATCCCAGACGCTCGTAGTCTCGTCCTCTTTCTTTTCATGACAAGCTTGCATGATTCTTTGTCCATAAAGTGAGGTATAAATCCATTCTTCTTCAGGTCATACCCGAGTTTCTTCTCCCGAATCGTCAATTGATCTCTGATTGACTTGAAACTTGCGCCTATGCTTCACTTTATGTGCTAGGACCTGAAATGTGACAAAGGAACACAACCTAGCGTAAAATAGGCCAAAGACACGATAATTCAAGCTCAAACAATCAAGAAAAAAAGGGGAAAACATGTGCAAATACCGAGTCATCAAATCCCCCCACACTTAACTGTTTGCTTGTCCCCAAGCAAACCTAAATCAAACCAATGCAGCTCTCCGGAGCTCTATAGCAACATACAACCCCGATCGTCGGTAGAGGATTTCCTAGATCATATAGCAGCTTACGAGGTCAACTGGTCTTCTAAGACGTTCCCTATCTCTCTCAATGCGAGTACTAGACTCAAACCAGGATCATGAGAAAAAGTAGAAGTAAGACAGTCAGTTCATGGATAAAGGGACTCACACCATTCACAACCAAGGATTCGTTGTACCGGGGTGCTCTTTCACTTCATTTCACCGTTGGAACCCCTTTTTCTCACTTTCATTTACAATTTTTCTTTCATTTGGTGGGGTTCCAACTGCAGTCTTTTGCACGGTCGACCCTTATTAGTCGAGCAAGAGCAATTTCTGTACATCTGGAGCTCGCCAGAGTACTTCTTTTAACTCCTTTTCCTCAACTCGTGTGGAGGGTCAATGAAATTAAGGGGGGTCGGAAGCTCTATCCGTGCCCTTAAAAACACATCCTCAAGTAGGCAAACCGTTCAACGGGTGGAAGTTTTACTTGTACTAGAGACAACTTAGCTTCACCTTGTAGGAGTACCCCACTAAGGATCACTAAAATCTCTTCCAAAACCCGATTTTGTGCAATGAACGGTGCCGCACACGTTGGGCTTACCCCATGTTTAAGATTTAATGATTTTGACATGGAGGACCAACTGCTTCCCATTTTCCATATGAGCACCCTGTTCGATACACGAGTCCATAACATAATCCAAACAGAGTCACCATTACCACATGAATTCAACGGTCTTAACTCCACTAATTCACAAAATCAACTGGCACAACAGAGAGCTAGATAGGAAAAATCTTATACTTCAACATCCTCTATAGTGCTACACTACCTCCCTAGGTTGCACATTACTATAGAGACTGTCAATTCAAAGCATACTGAGCAGGCAATTTGCAAGGAAACACGTACTTGGAGCCCTCAAATTTAAAAATTTGGACAGTGGACTAGGCTCCAAGCACACAAACAGCCAAACATTCACCCGCATACATAATCGAACACCCCCCCACACTTAAGCACGACATTGTCCTCAATGGAGGAAAAATAAGGAGGGTAGAACAAAGTTACCAGATCAAGGGTGAATGATGATGTACGGGTCAGGCAGTGCATTCCAGGAAGAGAGAGTAATCAGAACACAAACACCACACAAAATCTCACAAAGGTTGAGTTATTGACTCTAAAATCAAATAACAAAACTGACTCAACCGAGGAGAAATAGAGAAAGAAATGCAAACCGACTGGTTGGGTTGCCTCCCAACAAGCGCTTCTTTCACGTCGTGAGCCGGACGATGGCTCCTAAGTTTCGGTCCATGCTAGAACCTCCTTGAAGTTGAGGTTCTCGTCGATGAGGTGGAGTCTCAAGTCACGAGCATGTGGTGTGGCAGGTGATGAAGGCTCGTGCACTTCATGCAGATGAAGTCTCCACCCTCGAGACCTCTTTTTCTCTTCTCTCGTCTCATTGCCCCAAACCAGATAAGACAGCATCGATTGGCCACCATCGCGTCCACCAAGAGGGACCGATGTTGATGTGGCCTTGGTCTGGCAAAGAGACACTGCAAATGGGTCCTTGCTAAGCAGTTCCTCGAAGTTTGGTGGAGATATCACTTGCAACTCATGGCCGGTGCATGCCTCTTCCACCTCAACTTCATCCTCAGCCTGGACGCCAATTGCTTCCTCAACCTCCCTTCCTTCTTCAAAATGTGGTCTCTCCCCTGGGAAAAGATCAAGAACCACCTCTTCTTTTCTTTCTTCCTCATCATCCACAACTTCCTTCCTCATCCTTGCTCGCTCTTCTTCTTCTAGAACAGATTGGAGAGCAAGTCGCCAAGCAATTTCTTCAATGGGATCATCTTGCATCTCCTCGCACGGGCCCAGCATGTTAGAGCATAAATGAGGAAAGGTGTGGTCTGCAACCAAAGGACTTTCCTGATCATGGTTATCATGGGAGTTCTCTGTGATAACTTCTGTATGCTCCTCAACGCTCCCATAGCCTTTGTCATCCTCCACCTCTTCTAGCGTGGTAGCAGAAAGGTGATCTTGAGCAAGATGTGAGCAAACTTGCTTCACCCACTCTGTTTGCTTTGCTGAGCGCTGAACAGTCTCCTCCATATCATGGAGAAATGAGGGATCGGAAGTGGCAAGGGCTTTGATTTGAAGATCCATCTTGGAGCATGATTTCTCAGTGTCTCGAGCAAACTGCTCCACGAGAAGCCTTAATTGTTCGTTCGGATCCTCCAGTGAAGTGTAGCATGGCTCTGCAGAGTGGCCCGTGAAGGCCGCCATGGGTAACTCCAGCTCCGATGGCCCTTCTGGTTGTGGGAGAAAGTCTTCTTGGTAATGAGGTTGTTCTTGATATGCCCAGGGGTCTGATTGTTCTCCGTAGTAAGGGGGTTGGTACTGGAACCCGAATCCATAGTCTTCTCCTCCTTGATTGCTATAGGGAGTCGCGGGGTAATACCACCCGGATGGTGGTGGATACCCCCAATGATTGGAGAAGCCATTAGGATCCATGATTCAGATCTGCACCAACAAAAACAAAAACACCCAAGTGCAAAGCAAGGGTGGAAAAGAAAAGAAAAGAAAAACGCTAAAGTAACAAACTTCTGCCTTTCCTAATACTCTAGAAAGTCCCCGGCAACGGCGCCAAAAACTTGATGCTCTAAAACACAACACCTAACAATGGCCAAGTGTAACCAATGAAAGGGACTGCAGTATAGTGGCACAAGTAATAAATATCGAATCCAAAGGTCTCTAGAGTTACTATTACTCAGCTTCAGTTCATTATCTAGCAAACTAGATTAAGGATTGATTAACTAAACTACTCTACTAACTAAACTAAGTAAAACTACTAATTACAGTTTGGGAACTCACTTAGGTATGATTCCCCCTAGCTCCTCAATTAGGTCCAAGTTGTAATTCCTTTTGGTTGATTTACTGTTGATTAAACTGCGGAAGATCCGACAGTAGTTTGGAATCTCTTAAGCTGACCAAACCCTCTCAGTCTAACTATCCGGCAGACGACTAGTCTTCACCGGGATAGAAAGCTGAAGCAATAAGCACAGAACTCCACTACTGGAATTGGATTCCAGTACAAAGCAGTAAACTGGCTAACTCTCGTATAGCCAATCTCCTACTACCGAATGATGAGACTCTAGCAACCTAATCAGATTCTATCTATCTCAGATTGCAGCAGGAATCAGGAAAAGTTGATCAGACTTCAATTGACTCAATAAACATGCATCATACGATTATAATCAAACAATATAGCATCCAAAACTTCATACAAGAAAGATCCTAACTCATGGAACTAAGGTTCCTCAAAACCTAAGTGAAGGGAAGTTACTCCATAGAGAAGAGAGAGACTGCAGAAATCTGATCTAGATCTTCAATCTCCATCTCCAAGCTTGATTCCCGAGCTCCAATGGCGAAGAAATCCTCCGAAATAGCTCCAGGAATGTTCCCAAGTCGCTTTCTCTCTCTAGGGTTCGTCCCTTGGGTGTTTGGGATCCAAAACCCAGCTCTCCCTCTTTCCTTTTGCTGAAAATCGGGTTTTAAACAGCAATTCCCGACTCACACGGCCAGGCCACACGGCCGTGTGGCTTTCTCAACTGCCCGTGTGAAGGCTCGGTGATTTCCACACGGCCACATGGCCAGTTCACACGGCCGTGTGGGTCGTGCCCGTGTGGCTTGCTCAGCCTCTGTTTAATGCTTCGTTTCTCCTTCGTCCGGACTCCGAATCAGTCGCCGTTTGATCCCAGACGCTCGTAGTCTCGTCCTCTTTCTTTTCATGACAAGCTTGCCTGATTCTTTGTCCATAAAGTGAGGTAGAAATCCATTCTTCTTCAGGTCATACCCGAGTTTCTTCTCCCGAATCGTCAATTGATCTCTGATTGACTTGAAACTTGCGCCTATGCTTCACTTTATGTGCTAGGACCTGAAATGTGACAAAGGAACACAACCTAGCGTAAAATAGGCCAAAGACACGATAATTCAAGCTCAAACAATCAAGAAAAAAAGGGGAAAACATGTGCAAATACCGAGTCATCAGTTGGTCAGTTAGAGTCTTCACCCAAACATCTGATTCGATTAGATAGTAGTTCGGAGCAAAGTAATCGTCGGCTTAGAGTTCCCGTGAAATACGACCGAGCCACTTTGCTACAACCCTATCTAAATAATGTTTGGCTTAGTTAGGATTGAATAGAGAGTGTGCATCGACTTATAAATTTAAAGCTCGATCACGCAAACGATCACCCACCCTTAGTGTGGGTGAACACTGAAGAAGATGAATCGTCTTTTTCAATGTTAATGTTTTTAATGTAGAATATAATAAAGAAATAAAAAATTATTCTTTCACAATTGCCATCTCAGTATCACATCTGGAAGCTTATCATCACCTAAAGGAAGTATTAACGAAGACTTAATGGTTGATTATTACTTTGTATTTCCATAGGTTTGGCTAATATTTTAGAATGAGAGAAATGTTTGGCTAACTAATACTATTTATCTCTTTTTATGAATCGTTGATGTTATTTTTTTAATAACAATATCAGTACGGTAACACCCCTATCAAGAAAGTAAGGCATTATAAGAGTAATTTAGCTCACATCCTCCTATTATTGAAATGTAAATTGTTTACAAAATTGTAACAATACTTTAGTTCGAAAAAATCTATAAAGTTCTCATATCATATGGCTGAAATTTGTCTGACCCCATCCCTTTAGGATCAACTTGCATAAGGGACCCGACACGTCCATATTCCCTTCTTAACCTTGTATGACCGTGACGGGTCAGGACGAGTCGAGTTAGCGGGTTGACCCTTTCTAATCACAAAATTAATTACCAAATTATAAAATTAGAGAAAATTAATTAATCAATTCCATAAAATTATTTATTTATGAAATTATACCAAAAAATTAATTAGTTAACAAATTATTTCCATAAAATTGATAACCCCCTGAAGAAGAAGCTTAAACTAAACATCTCAGAGAAGCTGGTGGAATATCCAGTAAAGTACGTGAAGTTATCTATGTTTTGCTATTCCTGTTGAAGAATGGGTCACCTTAAGCTTAAGTGTAAAATGGAGCCAAAGCCACCAGTGGATCCGCTTAGCTATGAATTAAGGGTGGCAGCCCCAAGGCCAAATATTTGGCTTTCTTACACAGCTAACAAGGAAGATGATGAAGTGTGGGCTGCTCTGAGGCAGAAATTTGAGATGGAAAGCATTGGCTCAAATTTTGATCATGACTTGGCACTAGAACAAGACGAAACTAAACAGTCTGAGGAGAAAACCCTGAGCCAACAATGGGCAGTAGGGGAGAAACAGATTCAAGAGGTTCCAAAAGCTAGAAAGCCACTAAAGCCTTTAGTACATCAACAATCAACCACTCATACGGTGCAACCACCTGAGCAGAAGGTGGAAAAGTATATTGGAACTCTACAGAAGTTCGTGATGGGTAATGTGGAAGGGAAGATGACTGGCAGGAGCATTGCGAGAGTATGTAGGCGACAAGAACAAGGGCATAAAAAACAATTGCAAGTGTTCAACTTACCCCCCAGAAAAGGTAGGCAATATCTCTAAAAGAAGGGGAACCAGAAGAGTTACATAAAACCGAGGTTGCAAAGAAAGAAAAAATGCTTTGTTTCACTAAACAGGAAGGACAACGGGTATGAAACCACAACAACAAATTGGATGACGATGCGACGTAGCCTACAAAAGATCAGGCTCGCCAAGCTCTACGAGTTATTTAAGTTATAATTGTCGGGGTTTGGATAGTTCCTGGAAATTAAAAAGCTGTATCAACTGATCCAATGACAAAACCCCAAAGTGGTATTTGTTATGGAGACCAGAAAATAGGAAAAAGAACAGGAAGAAGTTGTAAAGAAGTTTAAGGGATACAAGGGAATTGGAGTGGGCTCGGTGAGAAGAGCAGGAGGTCTGTTAGTGTTGTGGCTGGAAGATGTTCAATTGGAAGTTAAGGGGTATTCAGAGAACTACATAGATATGAAGATAGAAGAAGAAGGTAACATCTGGCGTTTGAATGGAATCTATGGCTTGCCTGAACAGGGGAAAAGCACATGATCTGGGAACTACTTAGGTAATTGAAAATATTAACAAATGTGTCATGGGTGTGTTGTGGGGATTTCAACTTGATTCAACACTATGCCGAAAAGAAAGGTAGACAACCAACAAATGGTTATGAGATGGATAGGTTCAATGAAGCCCTTGAGGACTATCACTTGGAAGAACTAGGTTTCTATGGGAAGCTATTTATATGGGATAAAAATCATAAATACTAGACCTATTTGGACTCTGGAGGAAATTATTAGACAAAATAGTGGCCACAGATTCATGGAGGAAACTCTACCCTAAAGCTGGGGTGTATCATCTTCGACGTTGTGGCTCTGACCATAGCCCCATTCTCTTGAAATCAAGCGTTGTAGTTGAGGATGTGAAATTGGGGCAATACTTTAAATTTGAAGATTTCTGGCAAGATCATGAAGTTTGTAAACAGGTTATTAAGGAAAGCTGGGAAGCGGATGGCTTTGGCTGGGTGATGGGGAAGATCAGAATCTGTGAGGAGAGGCTATGGAGCTGGAGCAAACAAACTTTTGACAGTATGAAAGCACGAAGAATTAAGACTGAAAAGGCTCTGGAGAAAATAGACAGAATGAGTAAAAATGAGGCAATTTTGGCCCAAAGAAGGGTTCTTGAGAATGAGCTGGAAGAGATCCTAATTCAGGTGGAATTGATATGGAAGCAACGATCCAGGAACGAGTGGCTCAAACATAGGGACTAGAATACTAAATTTTTCCATCAAAGAGCCTCAGACAGGAGAGCAAAGAACATGATTAAAAGACTTGAGGATGAAGAAGGGCGAATCTGTATAGGACACGAGGAAGTGGCACTCTGCATAGTGAACTTGTACAAGAAGTTGTATGCTTATGGGACAAGATCAGGGTCCAGTACATAGATGTAGTACCACAAAAGGTCACAACAACTATGAATGAGGAGCTCCTAAAGCCTTTTACGAGGGAGGAAATCTGGATAACTCTAAAGGAAATGGGACCTTTAAAATCCCCAGGAGCTGATGACATGCCTGCTATTTTTTTCCAGAGGAACTGGGATATTATGGGAGATGCAATCACTACTGAGCTACAAGGCTACCTTGAAGATGGTAGCTTCCCACAGGAACTGAACCACACCCTAATAACTCTGATACCTAAGAAGAAATACCCCCAAATCCCAGTGGATTTTCGCCCCATTAGTCTATGTAAAGTACTATACAAGATTTTATCCAAAGAATTTGCCAATAAACTAAAGGGGGTATTGAATGAGGTAATAGTCCCTAATCAAAGTGCTTTTGTGTCTGAGAGGCTTATCACGGACAATGTGATGATAGCTTTTGAGTGTTTTCACACAACGAAGACAAGAAATTCAGGCAATAAAGGTTGCATGACCGCTAAACTCGATATTACTAAAGCAAAGTATTTCGAGGAAAGAGATCCTCTGGAAGCATAGGTTGGTAGGAATCCCAACTGCGTTTGGTGTGGTCTAATAGTTTCTAAGGACCTAGTTAAACGTGGCATGAGGTGGATAGTGGGGAATGACAAAAAAAATCGATATTTGGACAAGTGGGTGTCGTCTGGTACAAATCTACGAGTAACTTCCCCAACATCTCAATGGGGTAACTCAACCTCAGTAGTAAAGTTGATTGACCACGATCCACGAAGATTGCGTACAAACTTACTAAGACGTATTTCAACCCCACACATCGTATCAATATACAGAAAACTCTTATACCAAGGCAGCATGCTGAGGATAAGCGAATTTGGGGAACAAAGAAATAGGGTGAGTACACTGTAAAGTTTTCTTATAGGCTTTGGGAAGACAAGAACGTGGAAGAGGAGTGTGAGTTCTATTCACCAATGGATTGAATAAACTTTAGAACCTAAGGATCCCTCCAAAGGTGATTTTATTTTCATGGAGATGGTTGCGCAACATAATTCCTACAGAAGTTCGGATCCTAGATCGGACACAAAAGGGAAGTGAAGGATGCCCTTTTTGTGATCAAAGGGATATGCAAGAACATATATTTCAAGATTGTGGCTGGGTTCAAAGAGTTTGGCGGTCTAACCCTATCCTATGTGTTCATACATTGACAAAGGAGAGGATCTTACCTCGGAGGAGTGGTACTGCGAGCTCCAAGAGATAGAATTTGAAGAAATGCTTGGATCGTTCCTAGTTGCACTCTGGTATATATGGGATCAGCGCAACTGCCAATTATGGAACAAGAAGAAATTAGAGGAATGAGGGATATTTCCCCAGAGCAATGGACTGGTTACAAGATTAACTGAAAAAGCAATTGAAGCCCTAATTGACGGAGCGAACGAAAGAATAGTGATGGCAACCACTGGAGTTGGTTCCAATGAAGATCAATATTGATGCTGCATGTATAGCAGAGTCGGGAACGGGATGGGGAGTGGTAATTCGGGATAGTCAAGGAAGATGTATATTTGTTGCGGTAAGGAGATCACATATTCAATGGAACCCGGAGGAAGCAGAAGCGATGGCCATTGATTTTGGCCTAGAATTGGCATGAAGGTTTGAGATTAGAGAAATGGAGATAGAAACGGATTGCCAGGGTGTGATTCAGCAGCTGCGACGGGAGGAAGAAAGGGAGAAGGATATTGGGCTCGTTTGTGCGGAAATCAGGGCCAAAGCCCAGACGATGGATCGCATTCTGTGGAGCTTTGCGGGCTGAAACAGAAATAAATCGGCCCATCTAGTGGGCCATGTTGACTGCAGCTAGGATAGTGAAGAGGTGTGGATTGATAGACCACCTTATTTTCTTGTACCTCTCCTTAGAGAGGATTATTCTGGAAACTTTTATGCTTCTTAATAAATAAATGAATGCAGTTTTCGCTCCAAAAATAATTCCAGAAAATTAATGAATCACCAAATTAACTCCAGAAAATTAATAAATTACCAAACTCTTATAATATGTGTTCGATGAAAGGGTGAAAAGACAAGGAAGATGCATGGTGGACGAGGCATCAATTGTGGCAAATGATGATACCGATGGGCAACAATTCATCTAAAATCCAAATTACAACTACAAATACATCATTGTTCGATAATCACCAAGTACATCATCTTCATGATCACATAATACATCATTGTTAGCTAATCATCAATTACATGATATCATGATTACACAATACATCATTCTTCAATCATCGTCAACCAAATCTTTCATGATAGTACCATCATCCAAGCAATACTCTTTCAACTCTGCAAAATTAACAACACAACAAATAAATTAATAATTATCTAAAAAAATAGTGAATGTTAAAAATAAATTACCTTGTTCAAGTTCTTCGATTTCTTCAAATTTTTCTTTCATCTCAATTGGAAGAGTACTATATCAAAGCCAATCTTGACCACAAATCAAACATTCAACAACCAATGGAGTCAAAGAGCTCCAAATGCATCTAAAATGCACTCCCGGTACTCAAAGCAGACTCAAATGCAAGTATGCAACAGTGGATACTGGAATCGCCAGCATATCTCTAGCTATCAAACTCAGTATTGGATACTCACTAGAATGCTTCTTCTACCATGCTAAAATGTCAAATGTTTTGTCCTCATCATCCTCAACATTCGCCTTTAAGTACCTCTCAAACTCTGAAAGTGCAGTTTCTCCCATCCTATCTTCTATTCTCTTTCTCTTGAATTTTTTCTTCAAATAATCCTCCACACTTTCAGATTCATCATTCTCATTTGGTGCTATACTCTCCACACTTCTTGATGAGCTTCCACAAGTAACCCCTCTCATTTCCGAATAGTCCTTGAACATATCCTCCAAAAAAACTTTCACCTTCTCAACCAACTCATCATGAGTCCAAATTCCTCCATTTTCTATCCCATAAAAACCTCATGGAGCACAAAACAAACATACTCCAATCCGTACCTCGGGTCAAGAACCACAACAATAAACAACAAGGGTTGATGTTTTCAAAGGTGCCCCAATACTTATCATGCTGAACTTTCATTCTTCTTGCCATGGATTTACGGCTCTCAATTTCTGAGAAAGTTTCCTTTGTAAGCTTACAAGCAATTTCATATATGACATGAAAGAGATAATTGTTTGTGACATACAAAGAACCTGAAACTTTCATTGTACAAAGCAGTTCAGTTTTTATCTCAAACAACAAAAGTAAGGCTGGTAACTTCATTTTTAATAACTTCAATCAATAACCTCACAATTCACATTACATTCAAGCCCTGCATTTTCTTACATATTTTCTTCCATTGAATATCATAGTTACCAAGTCACATGTTCTTCCCATATATGCTTATTCTTAGGCGTACTAATAGTCAAATCAACTTCTTTAACCCGTTAATTACTTGGAATGTGCATAGTGCTTTGTCCCAATAATCCCATGAATATTTTATTACTGATTGAACACTCAGCTAACAATGATCCAGTGTTTCAAAACCTTAATTACTCTACATCAGTCCCTTCACAAACACCCACAATGAGAACTTGTTTTTAGGTGTTGCAACATTTTTCCATACCAACCTGAACCTTTCAAATTTCAAATAGGTCTCAAATCCTCACAGACACTCTTAATAGAATACATTGTAACGAGGATTTTACATAAAATGAAAAATGAGGATAAAATCAGAATCGTAAAATCGAATTGTAAAATCATAGGATTTTAAGGTCAATATAAAAATGAAGACAAAATAATATTAATAAGAAAAATCATGAATAAAATATAAACACATAATATTTACAATGATAATTCTCAAGGTTCATGTTCCAATTTACCAAGGTTAACATTGGAAAGTGGTGAATCGATGATGATTAATACGTTGATGTGAATTGATGAAGGTATGGTGGTTAGTGTGAGAGAAGTAGATGCTGTTAGTGGAGAAGAAGGAAAAAGGTGTAATTTTGCAAATTTTGGGGAAAATAAGTAAAGTTGACTCAAAGATCTTAATTGTAAAATCGTAAGATTTAAAGATTTTAAAGATTTAAATTGTGAGCAGTGTAGGTTTTAAGGTTCATAGATTTTATAGTGAAATTAGAACCGTAACAGGTGAGTAAAATCATAGGATTTTAGGATTTAAATCTCGATTTTGACTGCATTGGTCATGAGAGCACCATTCCACAACACTTCATCATTCCTGCATTTAAACAAAGGTTGAAACAGCTTATGGTAGCTTCAAGATCCAAATTTGCCTCTGTAATCTCTCTTCAATTTATAAGCAATGATCCCCCCATCTAGAGTGAGCGTTGCTGAAGCAGAATAGCCCAGATCCGTCTTACCACGTAAGTCACATTCCATACTCCTAGATTCTTGAACCTCAGACCTCCCTCTCATTTAAGATATGCGATTATGTCAGAGATTATTAGAGCTCTCTTCCTTCCCCCATTCCCCACAGGAAGTCACTACAATTTGTTTAATTCTCTTTATCACATTTTTGGGAAGTATAAAAAAATTCATCCAATATTGAGTTAGACTATATAGTACAAATACTATAAGTTCAATCTTGCTTACATTGCTAAGAGCTTTAGATTTCTAGTTCTGCACTCTAGTAGTTATCCTATCAATTAAATGTTGACACACCTAAATTCTAGAACCCCCTAATTATTTCCACTCGATTGAGCGAGAGTTTTGGATAGAAGAGTGGATACACTCCGAGAAGACTGCCTACGCATTCGCATAGGAAAGGATATTAATACACCACTACGTCAAGAACTAAATTTGAAACTACAACGAGAGATAATAAAATTTCCAGTGAAACACGAGAAATTACCCATGTTTTGTTTCTCTTGTGGTATAGTGGGACATCCAAAAGCATATTGTCCATGGAAAGCTGCCGAGGTTGCAGACAAATATGGGCTAGAGCTGCGATTGGGAATACCTCAAGGAAGAACCTGGCAATCCAGATAAGAAAAGGAGGAAACGGATGAGCTTTGGATGGTGCTAAGAGCCAAGTTCGATAGGGAAACAATCACAGAAAAGATGAGATTGGAAGCATTGAGGCAACCTGAGATAAGTTTGAATGAGGAAACCAGTCTTGAGATGGAAAAGAAGAGGAAAGATGCGAAACATATCTATGAGAAGCAGAAACAGATATATAGTGTTGCAGAACATGAGAAACACCCACCCGAGACATACCATGGGTCAGCAGAAGAAGCATGGAACCAAAGGGAAACCACAGCAAGCAGAAAGCTACTTTGGGAGCAAATGAGGGCCAATGAGCAACAAGAACAAACGCCTGCAGATGAATCGAATCAAGTATTAACTGGAAGCAATAAGGTGGAGAATGGTAACATGGTGAAGGAGGGAGAGCAGCAAGTTTAAAACAAAACAAATGACAAAATGCAATTCAGGATGGGCAGTGGAGATAACATAGGAAGTCAGAGGAAGCCAAAACGCTGGCATAGACAACCATCACTGCCAAGAATGCAAAGCAATGCTACGTTACTTCAACTAACACCCCAAAAGATGAGTTTGATTGATAGTATAGGAGAAGGAGAACAGACGGAAATGGTAGCACCAAAAAAGACGGATGAGGAAGGTAACAAACGAGTAAAGCTTCAAAACAAAACTCAGATGCATGAACCAGAAAAGGGGTACACCACAACCCTATTAAAGACACCAAACAATGCAGGACATGAACATGGATGGAGGAAAGGCAGACCTTGTGCAGACACAAGGCCGCTAAGCCCAATGAGTCTTATAAGCTACAACTGTCGTGGTTTGGGGAACACCACGACAATGAAGAGGGTAGCAACACTACTTAAAGAAACAAGAAGGTGAATGGGAAGCAGTAATGGAGGAAATGGGATGGGAGCATGGCAGAGGAGTGGGATCGAGAAAGAGAGTGGGTGGTTTACTTTTGATGTGGAAAGAGCATGTTCAGGTAACTGTTAAAGACTGTGATGATCACTATATCGATGTAGCTGTAGATGAGCATGACCCATTAAATGCTTGGAGGCTAACTAGACTGTATGGATGGCCAGAGCAAGGAAATAAAAAAAAGACTTTTGACTTAATAAGAAGGCTGAAAAGAAATAGTGATCTGCCTTGGCTAATGGTGGGTGACTTTAATCAAGTTCTGAGGTACAAAGAGAAAAATGGAACAACGTTGCCAGATGAACATAATATCGAGGAATTTCGGGAAGCACTAAATGAGTGTGGGCTTGAGGATTTGGGATATAATGGAAACATATTCACCTTAGACAATGGGCGTGAAGATGAAGATTTTCTGGAAGAGCGGTAGGATAGAATGGTGGCCAATTCTGAGTGGAGGGAGATGTTTAAAGAGGCTCAAGTTTACCATCTAAACATATGGGTAGGGGTGTTCAAACGGATTGGTTACCGTGGTAACCATATTAACCGATAGTATTCGGTTAATTTAGTTTGGTTAATTTGGATAATTGGTTTGGTTTGGTTAAATAATTTAGCTTGTTTGGTTTAGGTTATTTGGTTTGGTTTCAACTTTGCTAACCAATGAAACCAATTAACCAAATAAATAATTAATGATAATCTGATAATCTCCACTTTCCAGTTTCCACTGCCATCAAGTGGGCCTCTCTCAACACCAAACAAAACCAAACGTTTGGTTTCCCTCTGTCATCAATCCCCATTTCCAATTCCCACTCCCCAGAACATTGAACCCTAGATTGAGAGGGAGAGAGAGACAATCGAATACAAATATTTCCATTCATAACTGTTCGAGAATGGTATCTGAATCAAAATCCACATGAATACATGATGCCTTCTTGATTTTATTTGAGTGGTATTTGTTAATCTTATTCTTGTTTCTGTCAAGTGCTATATGTAATAATAACTAATTATGTTTATTTTGTTAATTTTTCAAGCAGGTGGGAACTAACTAACGTAGGCATGGCATTGCATATTGGCAGTAGCTCTTTTTGTACATGTTTTTTAACAGCTACTAGACTTTCTTTTGGATCACGTATAATACCATGACAGCCAGCTCATCTCAAACTATGTATAGTGTAAGTGTTTTGTAGGAAGAGATTTTAACTTCCTGATGAGGGGTATATGTATGAATTTATGTTAAGGGTTTGTTGTAAGTTAACTATATTAGGTGCATATATGATGAATGATATATTAACTCGAACGATGATGATATGTTTTCATGTAATGTTATGTTATTTGGTTAATCCGATTATCCGATTAACCAAAACAATTAAACTTTGGTTTGGTTAATTTGGTTTTCGTGTTAATTTGGACGGTTTGGTTAAGACATTTAATTCCATGGTTAATGAAGTTTAAGCTTAATTAGTTTGGTTATAACCACGATAACCATTTGAACACCCCTACATATGGGTATCAGATCACCTACCAATCAGATTACAACTGTATCTAGAGGGAGAACGAGTTAGTTGGGGCTGGCATTTTCGCTTTGAAGAGTTCTGGCAAAAACATGAGGAATGCTTACCACTAATTGCTCAGGAATGGAATAAGGAGGCAGATTTAGGACTGGAGGCACGAATTAAAGGGTGTGTAACCCAACTAATGAAGTGGAGCCAAACAACCTTTGGAGATATAAGGGAAAGAAAGAGGAAGACGTATAAATCACTGAAAAAGATAGCGAAGCAGAAGAAGAACAAAGCGGTAATTCTCCAAAGAAAAACACTTGAAAGGAGTTAAATGACCTACTTCACAAAGAAGAAATGTTGTGGAAACAACATTCTAAAGTTGACTGGCACAAAGGAGGGGACAAAAATACCAAATTCTTTCATCATAAAGCCACAGCTAGACGATGGAGAAATACCATTGTTGAACTCAAAGATGATGAAGGGCGGATTTACAAAGGGCAAGAAGCAGCCTCACAATGTGTGGTGAACTATTTAAAACATCTATTTTTGGCAAGACCAAAAGCTAATTCACAGTATGTCCTAAATGCTATCCCAACTAAAGTTACTAAACAGATGAATAGGGATTTGCTCAAACCTGTGACAGAAGAGGAAGTCTGGACCGCGCTGAAGTTTATGACTCCTACGAAAGCACCTGGGGTGGATGGTCTTCCAACTCTATTCTTTCAAAAAAATTGGACAACAGTAGGTTCGTTGGTTGTGGCTGAAATACAAAAATATTTTCAGGAAAGAGCTATACCACAGGAAATCAACAAAACCTTAATAGCACTGATCCCAAAGGTGAAGCAACCAGTGAGCCCCAAGGAATTTCGTCCAATCAGCCTTTGCAGGGTTATATATAAAATTCTTTCCAAGCTTCTTGCAAACATGTTAAAGGGAGTGCTTAATGAAGCGATACATGAGAATCGAAGTGCGTTCGTACCAGGAAGATACATAACAGATAATATAATGTCGTCCTTTGAGTGCTTTCATGCTATGAAGAACAAAAAAGAAGTGCAGAAAGGCTGCCCACGGTAATTGGAAGGTCTAAGAAACCAGTCTTCACACAACTTATAGATAAAGTGAGGAAAACAGTTAAGTTATGGAAAAGGAGGCTTCTGTCGAATGCAACAAAGGAAGTATTAATAAAGGTCGTTGCACAAGCTCAGACAATGTATGCAATGTCAGTCTTTTTAATTCCCCAGGGGGTGATTCATGAAATGCAAAGCATAATCTCGGGGTTCTAATGGGGAAGTAAGAATGGAGAAAGAAGAATACATTGGATGAAATGGGATAAATTGTGCAAGCCTAAGAAGGAAGGTGGTATGGGGTTTCGTGATCTACATGGATTCAATATAGCTTTATTGGAAAGGCAGGTCTGGAATCTACTACAGAACCCGGACTCCCTAGTTGCAAGAGTGTTAAAAGCTAAATACTATCCCTACACTACTATTCTGGAAGCTCAAATGGGTAATAACCCAAGCTACATATGGAGAAGTATCATTGCAGCCCAGGGACTTATAAAGGAAGGCACAAGATGGAGAGTGGGAGATGGAAATAACATACGCATCTGGTGGGATAGATGGGCCCCAGAAGCCGAGGATTACAAAATTCAGACCATTCTCTCGAGTTTAGGACTGAATGCAAGGGTAGCGGATCTTATTGATCATTCAAGGCGATTGTAACACCCTGAATTTTGGGTTATGGTTCGACCATAATACGTGATCGGTTGGGTTGACAGTTGCGTACTAAAAATTGCAATCGCAGATTAGTAGACATAATAATAATAATAATAATTATTATTATTTTATTATAATTAAAAAAGTATATTTCCGACCTAGGGCCGAACGGCCCTCAGCGCCCTCCCCTCCTTTTATTCCCAAACACTGCCAGCATTAAACCCCGCCGGCCTCCTTTTGTAACTCCCACAAGCCTCAGTGAGAAATCACCAAAACCCTCCCCCGACCAATTGCTTTTCCCCACCAGCAGCACCAAGCAAAGCAATCTTGGGGGGGGGGGGGGGGGGGGGGGACTCCGTGTCTCTTTTCCTTTTGTCTTACTCATGATAATGGCGACCCTTGGGATCTGAAAAGAATTCAACAGCGGAAGCGGTTTGGACTGATGCTTGCGTGTATGGTGTTGTTTGTACCTATGGTAATGGCAGGCTGGCATTTGAATTGTAACAAGATACTCTTCTTTAGCGGCGCCCTTTCATCAGTCTCGCGCTTGGTGAACGAAGTGGTGTGGGATATGAAGCCTATGCGAGAAGAACTCCTTGTTGCTGAATCCGATGGTGATAACGTTGGTGGTGTGTCATCGGCGGTAACGTTTGAGAAGAATTGGGGGTGGTCGAAGTCTTGGATAGTGATGGCGATGTAATCAATTGGAAGGTAAAATGTTCGATCAAAGGGAAAGGAGAAGAAGAACAAGGAGACCACGGGGATTGGTTTATCTCAAAACACATCAAATTTGGGGCTTATTCGAGTAAGACGTTTATGCTAAGGTGAGTGTAAATGGGGTAAATTCTGCGCCTTACGTATTTTTCAAGTATCTGCCTTGCGTGTTTAAGAAGTTGTTTTATGTGAAATTGTGTGCTTACGTATGATTATGGTTGATGATATGTGATTTTGTTTGAGCTATGTTTGATGTGAATGTGCATGAGTTCTTACTTAAATTAAAGATGTAAGCTTATAAGTTAATGTTAAAGTTAAGAAGCAAGTTCTTTTTAAGAAGTAACTCACCTTCAAGAAGGTGAAGTCGTTTTAAGTATTTTTAGTCACTAGCGCCAGTCCGTTGCCTTGTGAGACAGTTTGAGATAGAGCATCAGTTATGCTCTTGAGACTTTTAAGATGGGAAGTAGTTATGCCCTTGAGAATCGCGGTGAAGAGCCACCACGATAAGTTTAAGATGTTAGGGGGGGTGAATCGTTACGACTTCCCTAACTAAGTTTAAGGAAAGCCTAGATGGCTTCTCATACGTATGAGTTGGCAGCCAGACTAGCTAGTAGCTAGTGAGGGATCCCCGTGTCAGTCAAAAGATTTAAGTCAAGATTTGAGCTTTAAGAGAGGAGAGTAACTTCAACTCCCTCAAAGTTTAAGAGTTAAGATTTTAAGATTGGAAGTACAAACAACTTCCACTAGTTAAAGTTAAGTATTTAAGTAAAGTACTCAAGTATTATAAGTGTTGGGCCGCGTAGTTGAGCGTACTTGGGCTTTGGGCCCAAGAGAAGCGAGTCGGAGTTGAAGGCCCAATAAGGAGGCCAGGCCCGATTGAAAGACCAGGTCAGCGGGCGGTCCATGATCGACTGCAAACCCGAGGACTAAGATAAGGGCGCCTGACATAAAGCAACTGAGCATCGCAGAGGGGCAGAGAGCCGTTGAAGATGCGTATCTGGTGTCAGGCAAGACTGAGCATTTATTGCCCGCCACAGGCGGCCTGCAGAAAGGCTGAAAGCCTGCCCAGGGCGCCTGACATTTCCCAAAAAGCCTGAAGGGGCGCCCGACCAGGTCTGAGACGCCCGACACAGCATTTAATGCCCCAACCACCCTTCAACCAGGTATAAATAGAGGGTGAGTGCATTAATGGTAAGACCAACGACTATCTCTCTCTATCATAAATAAATCCTACCTCTACTTCTCTCTCTAACTTAAGCGTCGGAGAGTGTCCCGGGCGACCGCCCCGGACTCTTGTTTTACAGGATCTCTGAAGTCACTCCGTCATCCCGATATAGACGCCTCGTCCCAGCTCCACAAAACCGCCTAGTATTTACTAGGCTCAAACAATTTGGCGCCCACCGTGGGGCAGGAGCGAAGCGTTGAGAAGGGATGGACGGAAACTTTAGAACTCCGGTGAAGGATGTGGTCGGAGGAGAAGTCACCAGAGGGCTGGAAATGCCGACGGTCGAAGAAGAAAAGGACATGGAGGAGCGGGTGAAGGACCAGGGGCAGCAGATCTCCAGTATGCAAGAAAGCCTGAGTCAGATCCTTACCATGCTCCGAAACAGAGACGAACCAGAAGGTTCAAGGAGGCAGGGCGACAAGGGTAAAGGCATTGAAGGAGACGCACCACCCAGCCCCCCTCCGACGGAAGGAAGCGAGTCCGAAACAGAAGAGAATACCGAAGGCGCCCACCTAGACCTCCTCGAAGAACACTTACGACCCGGTTATGGGAGGCCTAGGGGCTACAACGTGCTGCACAACCCGCTGGCGAAGAGCTTGTTCAAAACCCAGGTGCCCGCGAACTTCTCGTCACTGGGGCTGCCCACCTACACGGGAAACTCAGACCCGTCAGACCATTTAAGCGCCTTCATGCTCAAAATGCAGCTGATAAACGCCTCAGACTCGGATATGTGCAAAGCGTTTCCAGTCACCTTCGGAGGGCAATGCAGAAGCTGGTACGCATCTCTGCCAGCGGGAATTATCGAAAGCTTCGAGCAGTTCGCTACCCCATTCTCATCGAAGTTCGCGTCTCAGCAAAGACGGCAGCTCACGGTATCGGCCCTCATAAACTGTAAGCAAGGAGAGGAGGAGACCCTTGCCGATTTCTATGATCGGTGGAACACCATAGCGTGTGAAGTCAGAGACGTCTCTACCAGCGTGGCCACGGGAAACCTGAGAATGTCAACACACAGCCGCGAGCTCAAGAGGGCTCTCATAAAAAAGGAGCACAGTATCCAATCATGGCAGGACTTAGACCGCGTCGTGCGCAAAGCCATAGTCCTGGAGGAGGCGCTCAATGCCGAAGAAAACGCGAAAGGAGCGCACGCCCCGACGGGCAAGGCGGAGAAGGGTAGGAACGTGTCGCCAAAGCGAAGGGGGCGCTCGCCCGAAAAACGCGGCTATAAGCCACGATTCAGCAATAGGGACGGGAGACGCGAGGTATTCTCTTCTGAGAAAGAGGAAGAGGGGCGCCGAGAAGGAGGCAGAAATCGAGAAGCGCGCCCCCGACAAAGAAGAGAGGACGACCAGAAGTGGTGCGACTGGCACCAACTCCCAACCCACGACACCGCAGAGTGCCGGGAGTTCAAGGCTAGCCTCAAGTACCTGGCCCCAGGGGATTTGAAAAACCGCCTGGACACACGGGCACACCCAAGAGAGGGAGCCAGGGAAAGGGAAAGGTCTCATAGCCCGAGAAGGCGATCACGCACGCCCAGACGTCGGAGATCAAGATCGCCCAGGCGAGAGCGGACGCCGCGGAGAGAGCGCCTACCCCCGCCCCCGAGGCATGCTCCTCTCCCGATTCACGGGCGCGAGGAAGAAGATGGGGTCGAGATCATAACCATCGCCGGGGGGCACAAACGCCTTCGGACAGAAGGAGACCACTTGGTCCAGTGCATGAATGTCCACAGAAAGGAGCAAGTTGAGATCAGCTTCTCTCCATCCGAGCTAGCGCCCGGGGAATGCGGGGAAGACCCACTGGTCATATCCCTCAGAACAAAGAAATTCAAGGTCACCAGAGCCCTGGTCGACAACGCGAGCTCCGCCGATATCCTGTTCTATTCCACGCTCAAGAACATGAAGCGTGGGATGCAGGACCTCAAGCCCTCCACTACTAGCCTAGTAGGGTTCTCTGGCTCCAAAGTTCGAGTCCTCGGCTCCATCACCCTCCAGGTGACAATCGGCGAGCCGGGGGCGACAAAAACGCGCCTCATGGACTTCCATGTCGCGGATTGCCCGTCTGCCTATAACGCCATTCTCGGGCGCGGCTTCTTGTCGACCTTCTCGGCGGTCGCTTCCACTTGTCATCAGATGCTTAAATTCCCCACCAAGGGCCAGGTAGGACACGTCCGCGGGGACTCCCAGCAGGCCAAGGAATGCTACCAGGCTACCATCAGGAGCCTGGAGGTGGACCAAGTGGACTCGCGAGGAAGTCACCCACGTCCGGAAGCGGCCGAGGAGGATGTGGCGGTCGTCCTCGACGAAGAAGAGTCGGAGAAAAAGGTCAGAATCGCAGCTCACCTCACGGAAGAGCCGGCGCGGAAACTCATAGCCCTTCTTAAGGAATTCAAAGATCTGTTCGCTTGGACATCGGAGGACATGCCGGGAGTCCCGAAAGAGCTGGCCGAACACTCCCTATCGGTGAGAAGCAAAGCTCGACCGGTGCAACAAAGGAGAAGAAACGCCTCGCTCGAAAAGCAAATGGCGCTAGAAGAAGAGGTGAGGCGCTTGTTGAAGGCCGGCTTCATCCGAGAAGTCAAATACCCGACGTGGCTAGCCAACCCGGTTTTCGTACGCAAGGCGTCAGGGCTATGGAGGATGTGCATAGACTTTACAAGTCTCAATGCGGCCTGTCCCAAAGACGCATACCCCCTTCCCCGGATCGATCAGCTGATAGACGCCACCGCCAATCACGAAACCCTCAGCTTCTTGGATATGTTTTCGGGCTACCATCAGATACGCCTATCAGAGGAAGACCAAGAGAAAACCGCGTTCATGACGCACATGGGAAATTTCTGTTACACGGTCATGCCTTTCGGACTGAAGAATGCAGGAGCAACCTACCAAAGGATGATCGACTCGGTATTCCAGAAACAGCTGGGGCGGAACGTGGAAGCCTATGTTGATGATGTCCTGGTTAAAAGCAAGAAGGAGTCAGACCACTTAGCTGATCTGAGAGAAACGTTCGAGACGCTCAGAAGAGAACGCCTCCGCTTAAACCCTCTAAAGTGCGTATTTGGGGCCAAAACAGGAAAGTTCCTGGGCTTCATGATCACTAGCAGGGGCATAGAGGCAAATCCAAAGCAGATCGAAGCGATACGCAGCCTAAAGCCGCCCGGCACGGTCAAGGAAATCCAGGCCTTCAATGGGAAGATGGCCGCCTTAAGCAGATTCATTCCAAGGGCAGCGGATAAATGCTCTCCTTTCTTCAAGATGTTGAAGAAGTCCGCCTCACCATCGCAGTGGGGTCCGGAATGCGACAAGGCCTTCTTCCAGCTGACGGAACAGCTGGCCTCCCCCCCGTCCTAAGCGCTCCCCTTCAGGCAGAGCCCCTATACCTGTACCTGGCGGTCTCCGACCAGGCGGTCAGTTCGGCTCTAGTAAGGAGGAGCGCCGACGGCGCCGATCACCCAGTATACTATGTTAGCAAGGCCCTCCTCCCAGCAGAGCGGCGCTACATGCCAATTGAAAAAGCGGTGCTCGCAGTCGTCTCCGCGGCAAGGAAGCTGCGCCCCTACTTCCAGGGGCACCCCATAACTGTGCTCTCCAACCTTCCCCTCAGGAAGATACTCAAAAGTCTAGACGCCTCCGGACGGCTGACCAAGTGGGCGGTCGAGCTAAGCGAATACGACATCTCGTAAGCGCCACGGCCCTCCATAAAGGGTCAGATGCTGGCCGACTTCGTAGCGGAAGGTTTCAGTCTGGAGGACTCTGCGGAGGAAAGCCAAAGCCAAATGTGGCGCTTGTTTGTGGATGGGGCCGCAGGAAAAAGCGGAGCAGGCGCAGGAGTCGTTCTCGAGTCGCCAAGGGGAGTCATACATGAGTTCTCTCATAGGTTTCAAGAGCTCAAAACGAACAACGTTGCAGAATACGAGGCCCTCCTAAGCGGCCTCCGAATCGCCACTGGAATGGGCGCCAACCGTATCCACGTCTGCTCTGATTCCCTGCTAATGGTCGACCAAGTCCTAGGGGACTATGAAACCAAAGAGGAAGCGTTGGCAAAACTAGCCGCCGAGGTCAGGGGCCTTCTCTCCCAACTGGACGAATGGAAGCTAGAGCACGTCAAGCGTGAAGACAATCACCACGCTGACGCCCTATCAAAGCTGGCAACCGCGCTGGACTTCGAGGGCGACCGACAAATCACTGTAACTAAGGAAGCTCAACCGGGTTGCGGCGTCATGGCCATTGAAGAAGGAAGCGGGGACTGGCGCCTCCCCCTAATAGAGTACCCGCAGCAGGACACGCTCCCGAGTGAAGAGCCCCAAGCGAAGCAAATCAAGCGGAAGGCGGCCCATTATAGCATGATCGAAGGGCAGTTACACCGGAGGTCATTCTCAGGAGCATACCTTAAGTGTCTAGGTCCCGCGGACGCCAAATGGATCATCAAGGAAATCCATCAGGGCACATGCGCCTCCCATGCAGGTCCCAGGAGCCTTGAGAAAACAATCCTATTGCAGGGGTACTACTGGCCCACCGTGAAGAAAGACGCAGAGAGAGTTGTTCGTAATTGCCACGAGTGCCAAACTCACGCCAACAAGCAGCATTTGCCAAGCGCGGAGCTAAGGAGCATAACCGGCCCATGGCCATTTGCTCAATGGGGTCTTGACTTGCTAGGCCCTTTCCCAACAGCCCCTTTGGGAAAGAAATACCTGGTGGTGGCGGTCGATTACTTCACAAAATGGATAGAAGCTGAACCGCTCGACACAATAACTAGTGCCAAGATCCAGAAATTTCTCTTCAACAACATAATGATCAGGTTTGGAACACCCAACACAATCGTCACTGATCACGGGACGCAATTCGACTGCAGGCCATTCGAGAATTTCTGTGCTAGGAACCGCATCACATGCAGGATGGCGTCGGTTGCGTTCCCTCAGGCCAATGGGCAGGTAGAATCATCCAACAAACTCATCCTTCGAGG